TGACCTTGATATAGTTGTGTTGTGACAGTCTTAATAAATTATAAATAAATAAATAAATAATATATTACATAAGTAAACACCATGAAAATTCACATCCAGAAGCAAAGAAGTTTTATGTGGAGCATAAAACGAAGCTGGACAGAAGCAGATAGACTGTCGAAAACAAGGCATTAACGATCTGACTTTGCATTCCACTTTTTGCTGTCTATGTGCAATGTCTGTTAGTATTCAGTCATCCAAGGCAATTACGTAAGAAAAGCAGAACAGCATGACAGTGAGCTGCAGAGTCCTTCATCACAACAACCTGTAAACAATAAACAGAAGATGACGAGTGAATACTAATTGACACTGCATACAGAAGGCAAAAGGGGAACACAAAGTCAGATCTCTACAGATCAACAAGATGCTGCAATTTAATATTAAGACATTAAAGGCATTTATGTTACTTCCACATTCCTACTGGATTGCAGTTGTCTGGACATGATAACTCCATGTAAACATACAAAACAGAATGAATCAAAGACATATACAAATTATATGGAACTTAATGGAGGATTTCCTATGGAAGTTATGGAGGCTTCATTTCCAGTGTGTAGTTTTATACAAATTATATGGAACTTAATGGAGGATTTCCTATGGAAGTTATGGAGGCTTCATTTCCAGTGTGTAGTTTCAGTAAGGTGGAGGAAAGTAGCACTGCATCTATACAATACTCTTGAAATACATCACAGAAATCGTTCTCAACAGTGTGCCTCGTACATGCTGGATCTATTATAAAGGGTTCTGATTGTATTGTATTACAGTCAAGATTAATGAGTTTTTGGTTCTTGTCTATTGCCTCCCATTATTAAAGAACATATTTCATAAACTGGATGTGTATGCAGTGATTGAAATTAGCTCTTTCTAATGGACTCAGTTGAGTACATGCATTCCCACCATTTCATCTGGGGATTGAAACAGATCCAATTTCCAAAACACTCGTTTAGAATATGAGGTGACAGAGAAAGCCCAGAAACTCCATAAATTTGACTGATGGGTCTGTTGGCCAACACATCCATTCCAGCTGTGCACTCTCTCCCAGTGCTCCAATAACGAAGAACTGGCTGCACAAATAACTTCAAAAGGAGAATACTGACACAAGCATAATAGCATGTGTTGCACATCCCCTCTATCAGTGCTCGAGCACCAATTTTGTTAGATACAGGTGTCTAATCTAAGACTAGAATAATTTCTGTGAGCTGTTAAGTCAAGCATTCAGCAGCAGACCGGCCTGCTCTTACATTAGACACCCTCGCATGTTTGCAGGTTCAATGGACTGTACCGCATTTGTCAATATATATATATAGTGTCTCAGCATTACAATTATTTGTATTTCTGAAAGACTGGTATAAAAATAAAATATTAATGACTAAGTCTTTTAAAAAACTGAAATAACCAGTATAAACCATATCACAGCATCTCAAATGGTTCCCTATATGCCACACTTACCACAAAAAAAAAACTATAGGCACTACAAAAAAATTTAGCTTTTGCATAAGACTGTAAAAAATAAGGTCTAGTATACGTGTATATAAAATACAAAACATATTCTGCAAACATACAAAATATCAGAAGTGAATATCCATCATGTAGTTACTATAGGATTCTGACGATGGTGTATAACACACTGATATATTGGGTTTTTGGACTTTATCCATCGTCCTGGTTTTTAAGATAACTAATAAAAACACGACGTTTCGGATTGGTCCAGTGATTGAGGCTAGCTCTTTCTAACGGACCCAACAGAATAGGTGTTTTCCTTCACCTGAGGACGGAAACAGATCCAGTTTCCAAAACGTCGTGTTTTTATTAGTTATCTTAAAAACCAGGACAATGGATAAAGTCCAAAAACCAATATATCAGAATATCCATCATAATTCTTCCAACACTTTCCTCCAATATATAATTTTAAGCACTAAAAAATATTTGATATGTTCAGAAACTTATCATTTCAATATGATATGGCTTTGAGTTTAGAAATCATGGTTGGTTCTACAGCCTTACTAATCAAAGTAAAAATCTATACATCACATTTATGAACAACACATTTGTGTTGGAGTCAAAAAATTTTTTGTAAAACTATTCCAACACCTGCTGCTCTCCAATCACTAGTCCATATCATACTTATTAGATTCTACTGAAGTCACTGCTTGTCCTATTACAAACGGTGAAGCCGTAGAGTTATCAGCATACAGCATGACGCTTGAAAGGTTAACTAATAACTACAGTCACTTGCATGAATTTCTTCCTTTTAATTCTCATTTTTTCAACTGTACAGCAGGAGAGAAAAAGTACAACAGGACTGTTTAACATAGTGTGAAAATAGTTGTTTCACAACTGTAGGGCATATATACTTAATTCTTACTATACTTACCAAAACATGTGAACCTTAGTTATTACAGATCATACAATGTATGCATTTCCAGTTACTTGAACAAGGTTCTAACATTTCTTCAACACATCATGAAAGCAACAGAGATTAAATAAATGTGGGTAAATCATGAAAGGAACAAATTGAAACTGTTTCCTTTTCAAATTTAAAGGAAAGAAATTATGCAAGTAAACAGAATAAATTTTCAGACTTCAGACCTTACAAAAAAAAAAGGCCCAAATTCAATGATTTCAACAGCAAAAAACATGAATATTACTGGCTTCCTGGATGTGACACTTTGCAGTCAGGTAGATATTTACCAGTGTTTCAAGGGAATGATGGCAAACATCCACTGATACATACTACGTATTAATGGGTGACAGAAGTAACTTCAAAACTTCACCACTGTCAGCCACAGGAGTTTACATGTAACAAAAACCCAAAGCCTAACATTAAATGGCTTCAGACCTTTATTTTTAAAGAAAAACCTAACTTTGTAGACTTGTTTTAGTGTAAAATCTTAAGCTTAGTTTTGGGTCTCACTTTTACAAACAGACTTCTAAAGCTGTCAATGCTAATGTGGCAGACAACATGTCTGTAACTCTTAAAGTTACTTGGGGTCACCTGCCAATGTATAAGTTACTATCATACTAGATTGCATCACATGCCATAAGACAGAAATGTTCAGTCACTGCTGTAAGAACGTTAACTCTCAAAGAGAAAGAAATCCAGCTGGAAAAATACTATGAAATATTAACACAAGAGCTGTTATTCACACTGTTCTCTTAACCAGATCCTACCAACATTCAACAAACTGTAAATGTAATTCTTTTCCAAGTTATGGAGTAACTGAAACGAAATGCAACGCTGACAATCAGTAACCACCTTTAAAAAAGCCTTATAAACTATGTGCATATGCTACAGTTGTGTTGTGTGCACTATCTGGCACCACTGGTGTCTCTGTTATCTCCGGAGTTCCCAGCTTCTTTCTTCACGGTATGCTTATCTTTCTTCCGTGGCCGGTATTTCTCCCAGTGTTTGTGATCAAGACTGTTGAAATCCTCTTCATGAACAATGTCCTTCAAGTATTTGGCAAGTCTAAGTAGTTCCCTGTCCTTGTCACGATTCAAGTGGGCTTGCTTGAATGGTCGAATCTTCAACCCATTACCAGGGTTCATCAGGAAGTTGCGTCTGATGTCATCAAACATGATCGTATTGCGAGAAGAATATTGATCAAATTTACCCCATATTACACCCAAGGGTTTAACCTGTAGTATAGAATTACATGACTTGTAGTAAACAGATATGACTTCCTTCAACATATCAAAGGAAAAGCTAGGCTGACAGAGTGTTCGCTGCATCACACACAGTGTTGTTTTGTAAATGTATGTTCCTGAAATCAGTTGTAATGTTTCACAGTTATTATCTTGCAAACAGTGTCATATAAAGGAAAGCATGTGTTAAACAAAAAGAGTCTGTTGTAATTTTAGTCACAAACATGTTTTAAAAAAGGAAATACTAAATTATTGCAATGTATTTTAAAATGTATGAGTAACTTCACACTCAGCAGTAAGTAACGCTGTCCAATCCAGAACATAGAAAGAGTAGAAATGTGTATTGCAATGGAATACACATATATATGAAATGCATTTTCACTACTTTGCACACTTCACTGGCCTCCAATAATTCAGCAGTTACAAATCTAATTACATTTCAGTCAGCATAATTCTTCCTTGTATTTTGCTAGAATTTATCATCCTGAAAATGTTTCAAATAAACATTGTGGGTCATAATGGAATCTACTGTTTTTTTATTTCATGGAGTGGGGTGAGTCCAAATGCATGCTGTACCAGCTGCAAATGACAGATGAGTATAAGCACTGATACAGTGAGAACTGGAAGAGGAAACCAAACGGCTCTGAGAAAACCTGCCACAGCGTCACTCTGTCCACCACAGGTCCAACATGACCTGATCTGAGGTTGAGCTTAAGCCACCATAGTGGCAAGCCAGCAACTATGGCATGGCTGATATCATGAACTAACTATCTGTGCCATGAGCAGTTTTAAGAAAGGGATGTTTGATTTGAGTTTAATATAAAGCATAGGAGTTAGTGATAACTATCTTTTTTACCCTACTATATTCATTCATTTAAAAGTTTTGGAGATGACACATTAGAATAGAAAGGCTGATGGCTGATGCATTCACTTTATACACTTTGTGCAAAGAATGCTTATACTGGGCCAACAAAATTTGGGAAGGATAATTACAAAATTTGTTCAACCAGAAGGGAGTTATTGTTCTGTGTAAGACAGATGCAGAAGATGATGCTAACAGCTAACTCAGTCTTGCGAAAGGTATCTGATCAGAATAATTTATCAGAAGACTTAATTTTTTTTCCCAGATCTGTCATTTCTTTATGACTTTGTTTCATGCTTCAGAACTGCAATGGTATTTCAGATACTTTTACATAGAGAAAATATAACATTAAGTAGAGGAGTTACCCCTGACATTATTATAGAACTGATATAATGTGGTGGATAGCAGTTTGCTGTGTAAAAGCAAAAACTGCCATATAACAATGATTAAACCAATCATCGGCAGCTGGTCTGCAATGATAACAGAAAACAGAGTTTACTGTGTTTTTTAAAAAAAAAACAAGACCTATGCCACAAGGACCACAATCTGAAGAGACAAAACAGAGATTAGGTTTTTGAGGTATTTCACTATTCTGAGCAACAGACAGAGAACAGAAGACCTGTGCATGGTTTTGCCAAATTTCAAGAATTCATTGCTCAGCACGAAATGTTAGAAGCACACAAGCACTCCCTCACCTCAGCAATGTCGCTCACTCACTATCATTTTTCAATCTTAATACAGATGGAGACAAGTGGTCAATACCATGCTCTGGCCCTTGTGAGTAATTAATTCAAAACTATAACCTAACCTGCACAACTCCATACTTAGGGGTAAAGATCGATATCATGGCGAGGTTATCCAGATAGAAGACAACTTTATAGTCACTGTGAGTCGACACACCCAGCAACTTCATCTTCTCTTCAATCCACTTCATGCTTGTTGCCGACCAGATAACAATGTCGTAGTCCTTTAAGAAACAAATCACACACGCAATGGGATGGTGAAGATATAAATTTCTTTACATAACCATTCATGAACAGTACATAACAATAATATTTTGTGTGGAATATCCTGGATACTGAGAGAGAATCCCTAAAATGCATAAACTTTGAATGTCGGATATGTAGAAATATCAGAGACAGCTGTGGGAGCCTCCTACAGTGAAACAGACACTACCCAATCAGCGCTCACCATGGCAGCTCCAATGCCCAATGGTACACACACAGCCCAGCAGCAAAAGTACATAGATGTCCTGGGATGAGATAACATGTAATTCTGTAAGTTGGTACTAATGTTTCAGAGGAATCTTCTGCTTCTGTTTTCAGGGTACCTTGAACCTCAAAAAGTTATTTCTCCATTTGTTACAGGTAACCTCTGACAACTCTGTAAGAATTCAACTGTTCTTACAAAACTCAATGATTCTTCCTTTATTCTAAGCTGATTTAATGCTGTTCACATATTCACCATATGCTTCACTATTTCTTAATATTATCCTCCTAGGTTCAAGTTACTCTTTTAACATTTTATTTTGATATATTTTGTGACAAAACATTTCTTATCCAACTCCATAACATAATTAATTGCTGACTATACACAAAAAGTTTATTTCAGAATTCTAGTATAAGGATAGTGCCGATTAACCAAAAAGATTTCCGAATATCAGCTTAGTCTTCTATCCTTCGGAGATTTCACAGTATAAAACATTATAATCCACTGATCAAGAGCATAACTGGTACCAGGTCATGACATAAATTACCTCAGCATGAACAGTTTTAGCAATATTTGCTTTACTTCTCTAAAAAGACTTAAAAATGCACTACACTTACAAAACGTTAATACATTTGCAGAATATCTCAATGTAAGTGGATGAACTCACACTAATATTAACATCCTTACCTCATAAGCTGACGTGAGAAATTCATGTAGAAATGGCCTCATTAATTCATAACCTGTTTCAGCTGATGATCGGTGATCATACAATGTGTAGTCAATGTCAAGTACAAGCAGCTTCTTTCCCGGTCGAGGCTCATTCAAGATGTTGATTTTATACTCTCTCACCCGACGTTCAATTTTTGCTAAGTACACCTATAAAGTAAGTACAGTAATAACTCAACATGCTCATCTCAGGAAATCTGGTTGGTCTCTAACACACTATGCTAAGTATACAACTGGGAAATTTTACTTATGGAAGTAAGAGACATACTTCTCTGCTTTCTATTGCAACCTCTTCATCTTCAATATCAAGATCATTCACTACATCAGGAATATCTTCAGGAGGGGCTGAAGCATCAGCAATGTCTTCTTCTAGAGAGCCCATCATCATGACTTTAAAACCTTGCTTGAGCTTAAGTGTCGACAACTGGCATCCATCTTCTGGTGTTTTTCCTTAACATGCATAACTTATGGTTTAATTACGAATATATTCACAATCACACACAGTACCTAATACGATACTTACTAATTCCCTATTCCCTCCCTTGAATTCCACCCTCATCTTCTAACTTGAACTCCGATACTCTGCCCACAGCCACAAAGCAAATTCGTGACCTTACATAGCAGTTAACCTAAAACATAAACAACATATATATGCCAACCTTTAAGTTTAAGATTAAGTAGCTTTTGTCTTTCCGGACGAACGCCAGTTTCTTTATGAATTGCACTTTTTAAAGTACCAACGGAATCACTCTCGGATAAATTACATATTTCGTATTCCTTTCCACTCCATTTAACAACAATCTTTACTTCGTTCTCCATGTTATACACCATGTTGCAAAACACAATCTATCACTACTGCCAACATTTGAATTAAAATCTGCGATATAAATGTAAGGCGCTGTGAATAATGTTAATATAACCACGGTTTATTATATTCTGTGCGCTCTATATTTAACTCAACGATTGAAAACACGTCCGTTTTTTTTATACATGACTCATATATTGGTATGGAACGTTGGCACTAACTTCGCGGACAAGTGGAGGTCGCTCAGTCGGTATAGTTCGCTTGCGGACTGCAAGCCACGGAGTTTGTTGTTGTTTAAAGGTTCAACGGATCAATGATGTGAAGTCTTACATTTCACTTTCTCCTACCCCAGCCGGTATGGGACCGATAGGGACTGGCTATGGACTGGATGGGGTTCTATTCCCGGCAGGAGCAAGAGATTTCTCTCTACTCCGCAGCTTCCAGACCAGCTCCAGGGCCCACCCAGCCTCCTGTCCAATGTGTACAGATAGCGCTTTCCCCAGGGTTAAAGCGGCCCAGGCGTCAAGCTAACCAATCATCTCCATCTCTCACTGAAGTCAAGAATTGTGGAGCTATGCTACCACTCTCTAATATGTCTTTATGGCCTAGTACATAATAAGTCAGAGGGGCAACTTTGCCCTTACCATATGTCATACATGAGAACATACACTGACCATAGAAAAAAAATTCTCGTGAGAATTTGATGGATTTACGTGCTCTAGGCACCATTGCATACAAAAAAGGGTTATTAGAATGCCTTCTGTTTGTAAACGTGTCTTTCTAACCACTTAACTGTTGATGGCTTTTCTCAAATCAGTATTTACCAGTTTATCCATTATAGGTTAGTGACCAGTGAACATTTCCATTTTAGCCAAAAAAAAAATAAGTCCTTCATATATGGGCCCAAATACAAATTGTCGATTTTCTAAAAAAACTGCTCCACCAATTTAGATTACATTTCAGTAACTTGTGGAGATGATCTCCCTAAACGAAACTGCATAGGTGATATGTTCAGGAAAATAATTACATGCATAAAGGCCCAAATGCGAAATTCTGATCCTGTCAACAGAGCCTTACTGGCTGGACTGATATCATTATTATTCAATATTAAGCAACCAACAATAGCCTACCCAGCTGCAAAGCAATTTCATTTCCAAGGTCATGTATGAGAGAGTATGTTCAATGTCTGCACAGATTTGTTTAAAAGGTTGTGATGCATAGAATTACTGTAAACAATAACAATGATGATGAATCAATTAGTGCAAATTTTTTCTCTATTTTGTTCCATCACCACAAAAACTTTTGGACATCAGGTCAAGTAAGCCAAATGGTTGAATTCTGTAGAGCTGAACTTTCCTGATGCTTTGAATACAGGAACTGAAGAAAGAGAACATAAAACTTTGTTTGAGAAGAGTAAAAGGTAAGGTAAAGTTGTCCCTGTGCTTAACTAAATAAACACTATGCCATGAAGTCGTATTGGGGAGTCGATGTATAGACCCCCATTTTCTTGACCTTGGCACTAGTCGGAGCTGAGTGGTCAGCTTCATGCCTTGGCTACTTTACCCCAAATGGAAGAAACGCCCAGTACCCATTGGACAGGAGGCTGGGTGGGCCCCGGAGCCAGTCTGAATGACATGGAGAAGTGAAAATTCTTGCCCCATCCAAGACTTGAACTCCCGACTCCTCGGTTGTCCAGCCCATAGCCAGACCCTATACCGACTGTGCTATCCCGGCTCTTAGCAACAGAAAGTTTCTATTATCATTACTGCAGCCCTTAAAAGAAGTATCAGATGATCTGTATTTTTCCACAACACCTTGTGAAAGTAATTGAAAACTCTCACTGTAATGTTTGGCCATTTCTTTGCCATCAGTAGGTGGAGCTTATAGAAAATCATATCCTCCTCAATAACAAAGCATCAGTCACTTGAAATCTGAACCAAATCAGATCCACCAGCTCTTACTTGTGCCTAATTAGTCTAGCAAGGCAGCATCATCTTTGATAGATCTCAGATCTGCCTTGATGTTTACATTACACACTGTAAGTGATAATTAGAATCCTATAGATTGTTCTGACAATTATAGGATTTGTATCCTGTATTTGTAACAAATAATTGTAGTGCTGGTATATCATTAATAATCTCGGACTTTAAATCATGGCTAACACTCCTCTAGAGTGAAGTATTTTCTTACATCAGCATCAGAACCCCTCAGTTCTTCCAAATTATACAGCAGTTCATAAAAATATTTTTGAATCATCGTTATGTATTTCCAGAATTTACTGTTGCCTTCCCCCAACTAATGACACAGCGAGCAAAACAAGATCTTTCATTGTAAAATACTTTAATATAGAATGTACTCAACAACTTTCATTTCATCACTTGCAATACAGTCAGCTAGCGGCCTCCGTAGTCTAGAGGTAATGTTCCTACCTCATGACTCGCGGGTTCAAATACCCGGCGGAGGTCGTCAAATTTTTAAGGGTGGAAAAATTCAGGGAACAAGTCCTCCAGGAGGGACTTTAAGCCGTGGGTCCCATGTCATAGCTTTATGGCACGTAAAAGAACCTCATATCTCCAAAGGAGGTCACTGAGCCAAATTAACGGACGTTTCCCGCCCAACAGCAGTCTCTAATACCTCTGGTAGATGGGGGAAGCATTATAGATACCTCTCAGCTAGTAGAGCCGGTCTCACTGGCTGGGCAGGACTGATGGTAAGCACCAGTACCGGTAGGATACAGAGACTGGTAGAAATCATAGAGGGAAGCACAATGGACCATTACAGGTCTCAGTGCAGGGGGAAACCCACCCTCTCCAATAACTAACTAACTAACTAATACAGTCAGCTGTATAAATGCAGTAGATCCATTTTGAAATACACTGTGGTTGAATGACTTTAGTCACTAATAAACTGCTGATTCAAAGTGATCGCTCTGCATTTATCCAGTCAAACAAATTCATCTGCATAAACCTAACTGGCCTTGAATAACAGGAAAGGTCAGTCAAAACAGAAACATTTATTCAACAAATATACAGACATTAAAGAAAATCTGGGTGCTTAATATATTAGTAGGTGATTCAAGTAACTTCACAATTTACAACCATGCTGTCATATTAGTGCTGCCAATCTCTGAAGCTTATTTCTAAAGTAAGACTCAGAGCCTAACCTTGGAGCAAGCATCCAACAAGAAACCCAAAAGGTTAGGTTTTGGACTTGTTTTTAAAATGTTATGCCTTTCATTCTGCTTTTAGAAGTTTAACTTTTTTTTAAATAAATATCTAAAAACCTTCTAATATTAGGCTTTAGGTTTTGTATTTACAAATAAACTTACTAACAATGTGGACAACATGGCTGTATAATTATGAAGTTATCTGGGTCACCTGTTAATACATAAATACCAAAATTGGTTATATTCTTCCAATTATATAAAGATGATGAACATATGAAATGAAAAAATGTTCACAACATTCACACAATATGTCTTACTACGATAAATATGACTGGAAGATATACCAACTCCATACATGATTCTGCACCATCAGCCCAATTCTTCTTGGTATCTAAAAGTGAACAATACAACAAAATCAATAAAACATGACAGTTAAATAAACTCCCCACAAAGTAGAAACAGACATAATTTATGGTAAAGTAAGGCTTTCCAAGTATTCCTGGAAATTATATACCATTTTAACTTCTATATACCCATGAAAAGTCTGAGTAAAGTTGAGCATTATAAAGCAGACAGAGTACCTACCTGATTGATTGTCTAATAATAGAACCCACAGGTTCTACACTACTGGTACTAGAGCCCACAAAGTACATGGTGCAGTGTTACCTCTGAACAAATGTTAATCAACACATCAAAATGTTATATTTTATGGAGGAGATGTTCATAAGAGCCCATCACTGGACTCTTAAGTTTGTAAAATTCTATCCTCACCTTCAGATCCTGCTTCTACAGAACCCATTTTGAAATTTTCCTGGAGATTTCCAACCATAATTTTGGATGCATTTCCCATTGCTCCAGTATTGCTACTTGACCTGCCAAACTCATTCCTCTTCATTTGTCTTGATGATATTAAATGAGGACTATAAATTACATAACTGCTCAACATGTTATTTTTTTCCAGACATTTATTACTTCCTTAGACAATTCACATAACAGTGGAAAGCTTCAAGAAATGAAGACAATGACAACGATGACAAGGCATCATATCATCTCTCTCATGCTGTTATTCTCCTCAGGATTTTCCTCTCAAATACATATACTTAGTTCCTTCAATGATTAATTCTAGACCAAGTTCCATAGTAGCTTAAGTTGCAATAAAAGTAAAACTCTTTGAAGATGAAGATGGTAGAAATACAGAGCATGGTATTAACAAAAGGAGAAAGTGACGAAACTACAGTGGTTTGAATCTGAAAGGTAAACCATATGCACAGTATAAAATATCCCTAACTTTTATACACAGAATTCTGTGCCCTTTTCTTCTGTTCTGCATATTTTGGTTCAGAAATTTTCCTGGGGAGTAAAGCACGGCCGGCATATAAGCCTGACAACCTTACCGCCATCTTTGAGCCGATTGTCTAGATAATGTGGAACCTCAACATCTCAGAACCCTATGGGCCTTCATGGCCTGGTACAGGGATAGCTGTACTTTTTTTTACATAGATTTATACTGTACCAACAGTTATCACAGGATTGTGTTGGATACTGTCAATTACCTAAGGTACAACTCAGTATTCAAAAAGTACCCATAATGTACTGTCATAAGAAAAGAAGTAAAAAATCATGATAACTCGTCATCTGAAGATTAGAAGCAATCTGTAGCAAAATCCAAAGCTTCCATAGAACAAGAGAAAATAATTTAAGTTAAAAAAGCCAGAAATGCTTACTTTTATCATTGGGATCTCTTGATCCGCATGGTCTATAAGACAGATGAGTCTTCCTCTTGCTGCTTGGTACATAACCTGGATTGTACAGACTGGGAGATGCAAGGTAGCCATTAGCAAGCAACTGACTGAAGTCCTGTTCTAGTTGATTGGCTTGTGGTCCTGTACATCATAATAATGCATAAGCTATTATTTAATGTATAAAAGTAAATAACCACAGAAAGAAGCCAAGCACCTGCTTCCTCATACTCCTCCAGATTTTGGATGGAAAAACCGAAGAAAGGGAGGAAATATACCAAATATTAATGAAAGGAATTTATAGTCTTGGCAGCTCAGGGGATAAGGCTGCAGAATCATACAACCAAAAATTATTTCTTTTTCCTTCTATGCTGAATATTCCACAGCGCTCAGTAAAAAGAGCTTCAAATGGCTTAAGTGTGAGCTATTAGCAAATCTTCTAGCTTCTGCCCTATTCTGAGAAAAAACGAACTGGCAGCATTCATACTTCTACTGAGAGGTTATGCACAGCAGTTCTCCTACCTTTGAAATGCAGTAGAAACTGGATGCAAGTTCCACCATGCAATGTTCTTGTCTTACGACTGTCAAAAGTCAGCATCCATTCTGGGAGACCCATAACCTCTCTGACATCTTCAATGAACTGGGCCCTGGAATAGAATCCTGTGTTGATAACTATTACATTACACAGGTACCTAAACACAATCCCGTGGATTTCTTTTCAGTGTATACTTGCTTGTACCGGTACAGGCAATGACTGCTTTCATGGTAGTGCCTTTCTGGGAGCCAAAGGCACATCATGTATGGTTACATTCCTGATCACAGACCAGAAACTCAATTCAAGCAAGGATATTTAGCACATTTAAAAGAGAAAGTCTATTAAGTACATTTAAGAACATAAATTTCATACCAAAATCAATGATCAATACCATGATGATCTGTCATTTTGATACCAAAGGGATCACTCTTTATGAATCTGTTCCACCAAAACAAAGATTCAACCATATATTCTGCCCTGATGTTTGGAACATTTATGGCACAGCTTTGTAGACCACATATGTAAATCCCTAATTAAGAAAATGCCCCTTCCCATACTGCACATTCAGTAGAGCACTGGGCCCAGAAACAAATACCAATCCTTCAACATCAGCCATTCATGCCTTATTTGAACCTGGAAAACGTTTTCAAGTTCATAAAAGTAAAAACTGACTTAAAACAGACTCTTCTTGTGTCACTCAAAGACATTCAGTGCAATGTTACAAAAGTACTGAAAGGAAATATGTAAAGTGGTTTCCAGAGATGCTTGCACATGTGGCAGAGATGTTATAACATGTGTATGAAGTTGGAAGCCAGGCACCTTCACAGTGACCACAAACACTGAAGTTTAGCACCAATACAATCAATTAATTTTCAGACTTCATACATTCCATATCATGTAACATAAGTTACACTGCTGAATTTTCCTAAGTTTAATTAGAACGAATTATAAGTAAATCTGAGAGGGTGACTGACTTTGCTTGATAATCTACTATTCTGAAAGAATGTGGCATTTTGGAAAGTGGATAGTTTCATCCTCAAGTTAAAAGGTGGGGCTGCACCTCCTCACTCGGTTCTGTCAGAGCTCATCTCCATGACTGAACATCCTAAGTCAGTATCATTCCATCTACACACACACACACACACCTAGGTTCAGGTTTTGTCAATGGGAAATAATAAAACAAATTATGATAACAGTGGATGTGTCTTAAAACTAACTTACACAACAAATCTAGGTGGTTTGCGTATGTTTGCATATTTGATGATGTCTTTGTCAGGCTCAATATTTGCACATGCAAACCTCTCCCCTCCCTTATCCTTGTTGAAGATCACAATTGACCTCCCCATCGCTGAAATGTCTCCCTCTGTAAGGAAAGAACTGTGAGTTTTACCAGTGAACAAGTAATAACAAACACATGCAAGAGAAAAAAGACGGTTTACCAATCCATGTCACTAACTCAGTAATCAGTAAATAACTGATATTTCTCATAATATAAATTTCATTCCTTAAAATAAGAACTTAAAACACAAATGAAATAATACAGACTTTGTGAAGAAGCAGATTGTCTTTGTGCTCTATCAATACAATGAGAAGCTGCAAACTGGATGCCTGCAATTGTCTCCACACAGCTTGAGACACTGATAATACTAAAGCCTGCCACTCAACAAGAGACCACATTTCAAAGCCATATAAGGAACTGGTAAAATTACTCTTTAATACAGCTTGATCCACAGCATTTCAGAAAGTACAGAAAATGAAAATATTTTTGAACTGAAATATGTCAAACATTTCCTGTATAAACACAAATTTATTTATTGATTAATTAGCTGATGGATATTGAACCAGCTAAGAAAATTAATTGGTCAAAAGGCTTAATTCAAAGCTCTGGTCTGTATTAAAAAGACCCATTCAAACTTATTCTCATACAAATGACTGACCTAAAGGAAAATTGCTGTCTGTGAAAACCTGTCTCTTGTCTCCTAGACTGATTGTTCCAAGACGTCCAGATATGTCTCCTACATAGCAACGAAGAGGATTGTCAGGACTGCATTCTTGACGGTACAGTTCATCCTGAAACAAAAACATTGATGTTATTACATTCCTTGGCATAATGTCAATCTTTGCTAGAACTGTAATGGGCTGTATGCAGAAATCAGAAAGTCTATTGTCATTTAAGTGAAACATTTCTAAAATGTCTTATTGAACATTCTGTACTGCCTCTGTGTTCTATTGGTCAGAGTTCTTGGCTACAGATCCAGAGGTTAGAGTTTGATTTCCAGCGCTACCAAATTTTCTGAGAAGAAGTGAGTTTGGAATGGGGTCCACTCAGCCTCATGAGGATAACTGAGCTACTTTAAATGGAAAACTAGCGGCTCAGGTCTAGAAAACCGAAATTAACAGCGGTGGGGATTCGTTACACTGACCAAGAAACACCCTTTATCCGCTAAAGTTGGAACTAACTTCGCCAACAAGCGGTGGTTGCTTGGCAGGTATACTTCGCTTGCGGACTAAAGCCACGGAGTTTGTTTTGTTTTTGTTTTCTTATTGAACATTCTGTTTCTTTGTATCTGTCCAAATTCTGCTAGTTTAGAACAATTTTACCTCTATTAAAGCTTATAACAAGAGGGAGAGAGAAAATTAAATGAATATACGGATACATTCTTTGTGTCACTACATCCACCCATCCATCCATCCATCTACAATGCTCACTAACACTTCCACCCACCAAACTCTGTATAATGTAATGTCACTATACAAATGTTCGACCCAAAACATTTCACTTACATTCAGGGGATCTGCAAGCTGGGTGTAGTATGGATTCCAGCGATAGCCACCAGCCACACATCGAGTGTCCTGCACTTTCACCGTGGCGTCCACTCCCACAGGATTAACATAAATTGCCCAGTTGTGGTCCCGTGTCTAAAATTAAACATACAGAATGTCCTCAAGAGTAACCGAAAGGTAATGCAATAAGAAAAAGCTATCATGTAACATTATATTTCAGCATCCTGTTGCATTGGGGAATAATTAACGGCTCCAATACAGAAGATAGGAAGAAAAACATTCTATGACATCAAAATTAATGCTAACAACAGTCAGGTGCCTTAAGAGTGCTTTCCACCAAGTGCACAGTGCAGTATACTCCTTAAAAAATGTGTTGCCTGAAGATGGCGCTGTGTGGCTGAAACATTTGGCATAGCATAAACACCGAATGTACAAATTTTAAACATTTAATGAACATTTTAGTGAATTAAATGTAAGTTAGTGTCAATTAAAGTTTAAACTGATATCATGTAACATTTACCACAAGGTATGGTAAAGATTCAAATAATATTTCTATATTAGTGCAAGTGATATAATGTGAAAATTTTCAGCAACCGAGGTAACCTAAATAAATGACCTGACAATAAAAAATTAATCAGCTGCTCTTGTTTCTCATGTGCTATTCACATGAGGTAGCAATGTAATAATGTTATGGCCACCCATACCCTCATTAAAGTTGTATTCATAAATACAAACCCTAAGAAAATTCATCTGAATGTATTGTCTTATGTTAAAATGTTTTCTCCAATAATATGCTTATCCTGTAACCATGAAGAAATTAATTACAGTGAAAACCTTGTTTAAGATTTCTTGGGAGAGCAGTGGATCTGAACAACAAACAGAGTAAAATCTTAAGTTGAAGTACATTCATTGACTTGGGATCACTGAAACTGAAGACTATAAGACAGAAAAACTTACTCTGCCACCTACAGACCGACCTCTATTTAGAATCAAACACAATCTGTCTTATTACAATGTACACTTACCAAATTGCGATCATGTTTACCAGGATGCCGCAGATTAACTTCTATGACAGTCTCGCTTTTGCTACGATCATTGTAAACCAACTGTGTCTGGAAAGTTACATGAAAATTAAGATTGCATTATAATACTGTATATGAAAATACACTGTGACACTATAACATTCATATAATAAAATATACGTTCACACCTGCAGTTCTTGTAAAGGAACTGAAAGTGGTTCTTTGAGGCTTTCTTCAGAGATGTATAACATTACAGTCTCTTGTATTTATGCTACAAAATAGTATAAAGTAACAGTAATTCTTTGAAGAGTACATTCCAATAAAACTAATCCTCCTTATCTTCCTCCATTTCATTTCTTCTACCCTGGAGATGGAGGTGGTATGTTCCTCCGAAACGTCGGTTAACACAATATCTACACGGCGCCACATCCCAGAAGACTGCTTTCTTCAGAGATAAGTTTATCCACAAATGGCACAGGCATGCCAATGAAATCAAAATAAAATTTCAGCAACAGCTAACTGGGCCTAATCATAACCTTTGCTGACAGTACATACCATTCTTATATAACCATAGGCATAGCCAAGTGGATGATGGAACGATGCTATGGCTCGCAGTTCCCGAGCATCTCCTGGAGCATAACCCCGTTCAATAGACGAGCATGCCCAGCGCATATTCCTGTCTTTCTTGTGAATGATGATGGAGCGACCCAATATGGCATGTATTCCAAATAGGGGAAGTTGAGTGTCATTGTAAACTACATCCAAACTGACCAACCCATTCAGCAAACCAAACTTTCCACTCAGATCACCCATCTCATACTGATCAGTTGTTCCCGTACCCGGGGGAGCAGACAATGAAGGATTTACATTCAGGGGGTTCCAGTGACCATACAAGGATGAGTCCTCACAGGGGAACTCCAGGTGGCCTTCCACAGGTGTCTGCAACAAACACATAATTCCAATCATTAAAATACAATAAATGGGCACAGTGATATGGCAAAATGATCTAACAGAGGGCATGCATTAACCACATTTCACTTCAGAATTAGCCATAAGAAAAATCCAAGAGAATGAAGGTGGATTTTCACTGAATATAAGACGCCAGACACTAGTAAATGCTGATAATGCAGTTTATTGACCAACATCTCAAATAACACAAATCTAATTTTAGAAGCCGGCAAAAGTTTTGATCTAAAAATATATTATTTGTGCTTTATTTTGTGATGTTGTCAATATCTAAGCTACAGTGTATACAATGGTAGGATGACTGTCAATCTGCAAAGGATTTGGAAGGAACTGGCCATGGCCTAACTGCGGACCTTTTCCTGAAAGAATTGGGGAAAACTTCAAAGGCTCTTAGTCACAGCAGACATCATCCTGTCCAAGATTTGAATGAAGCACCTCCCGAAAACAACTGTAAAGCATTACTCCTACACCAACCAGTCAGGTGACCTATCTCTCCAGTAACAGAGCTTGTAGACTTGACACCATTCATACCAAAGACATGATCTTGTGCCACTTCCATTAGCCTCCTCTACCTCCAGACTGATCACACAAGTGGCCATTTTCCAAGGGGTTCTGCTGCCAGATTTTTAGCACTTATGCCTCCCCCTACTAGCCAAATGTGCAGCATACCATAACCTTTCACATTCCACTGTCTTAACAATACTGTTGACTTGCATGAATCCCACAGTTCCTTGTTATGTAATAACTTATGTCATCCCTCTTATGCCCAGATATTTCCTGGGAAGTTGGTTTCAAACACTTCTCATTTATGTTCTCATTCACAGCAACATACCACATTTCATAACCATATAAAACAACTACTGTATACATCTTCAAAAAAGATAACACTTTAAACTTAAGAAGAGGGCCCCAGAACTGCCTATCATTTTATATGTGAAGCATAAAACGTGAAGTATAAGTCCATACATGCTGCTTGATATTTAACAATTGCTATGCATATCTCAGCTTGTATCATTTCTGATTCAAATTTGTGCTTGATATATATATAATTAACATAGAAATTGTAATAAAATTGGTGATGGCCTCGTATGACCACGATTACCATAACTGCAAAGTTGTCAGTATTAACTCAACATCACATGATGTTTGCAACAGCTGATGCTGCATAAACAAACACCCGGCCCTTATGGCAATCTAGACAACTACCAGTCTCAGGTCATTGCTCTTGAATGCTGCATTATGGCTCACAATACCACTGTACTACTCAGACCCTACCATGGCTCAAGCACTTACAAAACGGAAAATATGAAGCTGGTTTCAAGTTAAACATAGTTGCACTTGCCATGTCTGCCTCGAGAATCTTCTGTAACAGAAAATACGATGTCGGAATGGAGCAAAAATGAACCTGTCAAAGAGTATACCCAAAAATAATTGTATGAGGGAGAGTCAGTAAATAGGTCTAAATGATAGTAAAACAGCTGTAATGGATATAATAGGAATGTCAGAGCAACGAAAGCAATAGGATAACACTGGCAAGATATGTAGAAGGGAGAAAGAAGAATGACATGCAAAAATTTGTTTGGGAAACCTTTTGGAAAGAGATCTCCTGGTTGACAAGGCATGAATGAAGGATGAGCTCTTGGAGAAATGGATCTTAGGCTGTGATGATGCAACTGGATTAATAAGGTCCAATGACAAACTCGTGTGATCCTTCTCTCAAAACTTGGGGTTCCATTAAAGTAACGAAGTCTGAATCTGGATGAACTGCTCAAGGCAGTGTTCCAGAAAGCAAGCAGGTGCTTAATATATAATTATGTGATGCTCACCATATGTATGTGGTATCCACTGTTGTCATTTAGCCCTTCAAGAGCAATCTCAATGTCTGTGACATCATATTCTGTCTGCTGAAAGAATTCGATCTTCCCTTTCATAGGAGTTATGTCTCCATTTCCATACCAATCTTTAACCACTGCTTTTCTTCTGTAGATCCCATATATTCTAAGTAAAAAATACTACTATTAATTTTTTTTACATGATAGGTCGCTATTTATACTCAATGACACTGTCTACTGAGTCATGCTAAGACTCATTAGAAAATGGTAATTCTGTTTGTACTGGTAAATAAAAAAAAAACGCTTCATTTTTCAGGTCTCAATTTTGGTAAAAAGATAATGAATACAAGACTGTGGACAGACAGAAATGACATTCATAAACCAATTACATACACTATCAAATGGTTCTCAAATTACAAGAGACTCACATACACAAGGGCCTAGATATACCATTTGCTTGTCACTCCTACTTCTTATTTTGGAGAAGACCCTAGGAATGAGACATAAGACTCTGATTTTACTTTTTGCTTTAAAAATATGAGCATCCAATTAATAGTACATCATGGCAAAAATCATTCCAGTGAATATGATAGCTTCAGAATCTAAACATTCATTTTAAATTAGTGTCTTCAGAATTCAAAACAATAATTTTATGGTGTTATTATAGCTAAGTTTCAATACTTAAAGAAGGGAAGAGAACCTGAAGGAAAAAAGAATGCACGAGAAAGAAGATTACAGTCTTCTGAGATGTGACACTGTGTAGTCTGGTAGTTAGACACCATTATATGGAAGACCATCCTGCCTCTATCTTCATGGTAGAAGAGTCATAACACCCCAGAACAGCTGTCTTAATATTCATTATTGAAAGAACCTCAGATCTCACAAGAAAAAAGTTTGGGATTTACAGAAATCAGAAGAAAGATTTATGTGGAGAGTCTCTGTCTGTCTGTACTGCCTGCTCAGATATGAGAGATGTACCATACCCTTGTGAACACTTACGTGGAACATGCCAACCTTTCACCTCTAGCTTTGGGTCCATTGTCATCATACAACACAAGTGCCCTTCCCATAACACTAGCAGCACCACTGAGAGGAAGGTGCACATCAGTGAACAGGCGTCGAGTTAGCCTCTCCCCATTTGCCTTCCTGCCTGCGATATTAAGTGTGCCATGGCGGGCTGACAGATCTCCCAGCCGGCAGAAACCAGGGTGGGACAGACTGCACAGAGAGTCAGTCTCCTTAGGATCAAATGTAATCTGGGGAAAGAAAATGATAGGCTTTTGAATTCATCTTGGCCCTGTGAAGTCTCATTCATTTACCTGAACACAGTATAATCCTGATCATCTGAACAACTTTTTGTTCAAACATTGCAAAGGGCCTGTGAAGGTTACTCAGCATTTATGTCTACCTGTATGCATGAAACAACTCAAGAATTGCTCAGTGGATTTTCATGAAACCTGTTATTCTGTAGAAATTAGTAGTCTCCATCTTCAGGTAAAGTACTGTAATTGACTGACTGGTTCCGGAGAAATAATGTGTTCTGATTTATATGAAGTAAAAGTTAGTATAGAAGTATATTTTTCTAAAATACAAGTGCTCACATGAGTGGATATAATATCCACATTAGATTTCTTCATAAAGAGAATTATTAGTAAGTTTCCCAATTTCTGAGACTAAAACTACTTCATCTAATAACAATACCTTATAAGGATTATAGATTTCTCCAGCACTGAGACATCGTCCCGTCCAGTTGTAGTAATCTTTTCCTCGTGGTTCAACATGTACCGCCCATCGGTGGTCAGCAGTATTGTTAAGAGAAGTTCCATCACCATGGACCAAAGTCTCAATTATCACAGTCGTGTCAGTCCACGGTTGATCTCTTGCCTGGCGGAATATTATGCGCCCTACTGTCGGATATCGAAACACCGCTCCTGCAGTGGATATAGCAGTCTTCCAACCACGGTCAACAGCAATGTATCGAGTCAGCGTGCCACAGATCCACGGAGCATCGGTGGAATTAGCAGATGAAGCAGTGACAGATTCATTCCTCCTGAAATTCAGACTATAGTTAGGCAGGGTACCAGATTCTGAAAGTACGAAAACATGAACTGATATAAAGATAATCTGTTAAGTCAAAATCCTAGACATCATAGACCAGCTTTGTAAATCACCATTAGATTTAAGACATACGGGACAAACAAGGAAACAACATGTTGGAATTGAGGTTCTCACAGCAGTGACTATGAACAGCACTGTCTTCCAGAGCATTATGTCATGTGGATTAGTACATGAAGAGTGCTTGCTGCTTGCATCTTCCTGGTTTATTGCTCGGCTTACTCTTAGACTTTGAAGGAGGCACTATGTTACTTCATAACGTCAATAAATTTTTACCCAAATACATGGCGTCATATCCCACAAAATAATATTCTTCATGGAAACACTATACTGAGGAAGATGTCAAATTCAGGCACTATACCATTGAGATTATTGATTTTAGATCTTTCAAAATGAACGATATACAGAGGAAGACCTCAAGGTGAGGAACATGGTGATTCTACTATACTTATATCATTGTATTTTGCAAATACATGGTGTCTGAGAATGAGGGCACACACTGTAAACATTTTTATTGAGAAAATGAACAGAACTAAAAGAATATGGTTTTCATCACATGACAGCAGAACTGCCAAAGTTCCACGTATAATACTGGTTCTGTCGACAATTTCACAGCATCTGAACACTGGATGGACATTGTCCAAGCAACAAAGGAAGCAAACTTAGTTTGAAGTGAAGCAAAACTGAGAAAGGTGGGAGAAAAGCTTTCTGAGTGGCCATATAATATGGCGAAAACTGTACTCTCTTAGCAGTTTATTTTCGCAATCTAAACGTTTAATATGTGTGCACTCTTTCTTGGACATTCTGTACAAGCAACATCCCGCAAATTATGTGGTCTTGATACGAAGAAAACAATAATATATTGTCACTCAAAACTGTACATGCAATAATCAGAACAGTGCAGAACAGGCAGGTTTCACATTGCTCTGTGTGGTTACATACAGTTAAAAAAATGTTAAGTTACTCTTTTGGGTTCATAAGAGGCTCTAATAATGACAGAAATTAGGTACAGCCTAACTCACTTCCAGTAGGAATCCATTAGTTTATAACAGTGTCTTGAATTAAGTTCACATGAGTGTACAGTTTAATCAGAATTAAAGTGCTGTCTCTTTAGTATAATAAGTAATAACTAACTATGCATTTTTACCGGATGTGGTTAATACAGTGATTTCTGTTTCCCTATAATAACAACTTATAATCTAAACCCTGATATTACAATTTTGAGAAAAAACTTCATCCTATACTTGAGCAAATCCAGTATCTAAAGGGCATACAAAGAGGTTACCTGTAAAATACAAGTGATCTGTGGGCCACGCTGTGATGACCAAACATTGGGAGGTAGATATCCCAGCGCTGACCTCTGAGTTCAGCAAAACTCTGCTCTTGCCGCCACATGTTGTGTTTACCACTGAGGTCTCCTACAGCATAAGTATCCTGACTTCCTGAGGCTAAGGAACAAAGGAAATCGATAATATTGCATAAGCAATGTATGCAACAGAAATAACATAAAATATACGTAATATAAATATTTCCTCATGTTATCCCATTCTATGAATCAAGTGCATTTCTATTCTCCATGATTTACAAAATACACCTAATAAAAGAGATTATATGGAATTTAACAAGCCTTGATGACATATATGTGTCTGGATACCTGTCATTTTAATAACTCATTTGAATATCTGGATTTATATATATAAAAAAGGGAACCAAGGTAGCTCAGTCAGTATAGTGACTGGCTATGGGCTGGACAACTGAAGGGTCAGAGTTTAAGTCCTGGTGGGGTCAAGATATTTCTCTTCTCCACATCATCCAGACCACCTCTGGGACCCACCCAACCTACTATCCAATGACTACCAGGGCCTCTTTCCCTGAGGGTAAAGTGGCAGGAGCATGAAGCTGACCACTCACCTTCAACTAGCGCCAAGGTCAAGAAAACATGGATCTATACATCCAATCCCCCATACATCTTCATGCTTAATTAGGTAAGAACAATGACAAATTAACCTTAGAGACAGACAGACAGATAAATAACAACAGCTGTTATTCCCATTTGAAGATGGCTAACTTTGGCTGAAACATGTAGTGGAACAGACTGTGCTTTAAAAAAGTCTGTGTGATAGCGCAGTGCTGTTTATCAACAAGACAAGGATTTCTAGAAAGAACTACTTGCCTTCATAGTTCTAAAACCTTTCACATTCAGAGGGTCTACAAGGAGTTACAAATTAATAATTACACAATTTAATTACACACATCTGTGTATGTACCTTTAGTACAAATCTCCTCTGTCTGACTTATTATATTTAACTTATAATATTCACTTCTTCGCCTGTTTGTAATTTCAACCACAAAAGAAGGGTTTCTTATGAAATATTTAGGTATATTTATGATGTATATTTACACAAAATCCCACATTACTATCTGCAATGGTTCATTAATTATTATCAGATGACAAAACATAGATTCTGTACTACTGCTAAGGTGCTGCTTTATATTCTGTAATGTAATGGCCTAAGTATAAGTTGAATTTATTTTTGGAGTCACTTTATTGAATAAAATTTCAGGGACCTACATTAAATGATGCTAGAATTGTTCCCACCTAAGCAGTTCACATGACTTCCATGGCGATACCATCATTGGTAAGGAATTAAGATATGCAGACAACAAGATTTATCATAATATGAAATGCCAATTTTTTTTTTTCTTTCAAATTTATGAAAACTAGATTCTCACACACCTTGATCTTCTTGTATGTTGCTTGGATTGAATACAGAACCAGTTTTAAGGCAATGGTTCTCCTTGACATTAACAGATGGCAGTGGTACTGGAGGAAGTTCATGAATTTTGTAGGCAGATGTTTTTATTGCTTGACCTGTGTGCTTCTCATTGGCTGAAGTCAGATTCATTCTAATCCATGTTGGATCAAAGGGTGATCGTTGACTGAGGGTTACTTCCCCTTTCACTCCACTTGATTGTATCAAAGCCCTGATGAAATATAGAAAAAAAATTGTGAATATTTAGGTATGACCAACAAGAAGGGCTGACAAAGACATTAAGGGAAGAATAAGTTCAGAGAATCCTTGTTTGCAAAGGCAGATGCACTGATAATACATTTTGAATTACCTGTAAATTGCATCTCCTGAATTCACTGAAATTTTAATTTCTTATATCAATGTAATTTTTATTTCTTCAGGCATGTATTCAAATCTAGCTGAAAACTTAATGGAATGACCACCTGAGAGACTACATACAGGTAGAAACATATTATTTAAATGAATCTTAGACAGATTAAAAGGACATGAAATGGACTGAACTGACTCACAATATGTTATAGGGCTAAGGATCTGTGATGATAATGATACACCTTCAGGTGCCATGCCAACAGGGATTATCCTCAACAAGCTGGTTGTTAAAACAGTTTCTAACTGACTGACTAATTCCATGGAGCTCAGTCCTCCATGAGAAGCCAGTAGCTGCTCATTCACACAAGAAATTCCCAGCATTTTATGGAAACCAAAGGTTCATTATTGTATTCACAAGAGGTCACCACTGAAACCTCTCCAAGCCAGATGAATCCAGTCCACACCCTCCTATCCTAGTTCTTTAAGATTCGTTTAGATATATCCTTCCCATGGTTATATTTAGACATGTTTAAACATTACTCATTAACCATGATATTCGATATTCTTTCAAGCTTCCACTTCATGGTCCACATTTAGCTTCACAACCATTATGCTGTGGTGGCACATACCTCCAGTTATGGTTCTCTTGACCATCATGTCTTCTGTTAGCCTGTCAGAAGTAAAAGTATGAACTCACAACTTAAATAAAAGCATCCATATGGCAGGATTTCTGGTGTTCCTCTGTGATAAGATGATAGTGAACATGAATACTATTATTAAACATGGAGCCCGATATATATATTTACCTTAGATGAACAAGATTTAGAACTGTTAAATGTAAGGGGCATGAGGAAAGCTAGTTCACAATAGAACTAGCAATGATCTGTTTACAGTATTTGCATTTTCACATAATAAATGAACATCATTGGCATATGCAGTATCTGATGGAAACCATTATATAACAGTCTCTTCTAAAAGATTTAGATGCAGTATTCCATATAAATAAATAAAAGCTTACTTCAGGACTGCAGGCCGAATTTCACGTATTTTTGCACAAGCCAGAAAACTGTCATGGTGTCTGGCATCAAAGATCACGAGGTACAAACTGCGCTGTCCACTCAGCAGATCAATGGAGACTGATGTAAGTCCCGAATCGTGGTATACGCCGGCAACTGAAGAGTGTAGTAGTCTTGGGCTTCCAGCAACTTTTACCTTGCCAATGCGGGAATCAAGGTCTCCAACTGCTTGGCCCGGAGTTGTTGAAAATAGCGGATCAAACACCAGCTGGAGGAAGTTACAGTTCTCACGAGATTTATCTGCAGGATAAAACAGGAAGAAACATAAACCATGCCATAAGGATAATGCAAATACTTGGTACTAGACAGTACTACACAGAGGTGAGTGGTCAGCTTTGCAGTTTGACTGCTTCATCACTCAAGGAAAAAGGTTCCAATATGGAACAGGTAGGAGGATGGATGGCCCCCGAGCCAGTCTGAGCATAGTAACAGACAGCAATCAATTCCTGGTCTTCCAGTCCACAGTTAAACCCCCAATTAAAAATTTTGTTAGGGAGCAGCAGATTTATCCACTAAACTGAGGAGAATCTTAAATAGAGGAAATTTAACACTGAGACTACTGACCTGATATTGTTGAAACTAAACATTAACAACTTAAGCTGGGGAACATTAACTGAGGGTCCAACTGAGCTTTACTAATTGAGTTACCCTGGCTTATTAGCTTTGTTTTAAAAATTAACATTAAAGTCATTGCTTAGCAATGGCTATCTTTTCTGATTCCACCATTCCAGCTTTCAGCTGCCATGTCACAATTATTTATTTGATGATGCTCTACATTCTGATGGCACGGAACAGAACTGTGATGCTGGCTTGGAGGGAATATGGATAAAAATTGTATACTGTATGATAAAACTTAGAGAATATATAGTTCAGAACCTCTTTCCAAAATTTTTGTTACAGATTCTAATCACAGCAAATATTTAGTCCTGACAGTGTAACTCTGGCATACCAGCTTCTGAATCTAGGATATCTGTTGTGTATATCTTCCAGTGATGTTCAGTGACAACAGGTTTACTGCCTTTAGGGACCCCAATGTGGTACAGGTTTGTGAGCAGCAGAGTGTCTGTGGAGCCCGAGTGATGGCTGCCAACCCAGCGCAAGAAAACAGAACCACCAATTGGTGAAAAGAACTTTGCTTCTGCAACCTTCTCGTCAGCATTTCCAGACACCTGTAAAAATGTAAAAGAAAGCCTCAGGAATATGTTTTAGAGTCATTTAATATAGTTCATGCAGACGAATCACAGTTTCAGCTGTATGAATTGTACGAGATGATTAGCTACTGAAGTAACTGTTAAAAAGATGCTGTTATGGGAACTCACTCAACACTTTTGGCATACAATAATATACTGGTAACAAACATTTAAATACATTTGCAGAACTCCTTTATTCATGTGTGGTACAGATAAAGGTTTGTGAGCTTCTCCAAAAGCTGCTGGAAGGCACATTACTCATGTACATCTTCATTATGATCATAAGCAGTTTTGAATGGAAGGGTGAACGAAGATTTATTTTGATGTGGGCTCTAAATCAGTGTGCCATGAGCATATACAGCACCAGAGTCCATTTGGTTCAGCAGACTGTGTTAATATTTGACAGTACACCAGGATGTCACAATCTGAAGGGCAAACAAACATTAAAGTCAGCGTATGACTGGGTTTGACAGCAGTAAACAAATGCTTTAGACACTTCAAGGAGGGGTTGGTAATCACTACAACACAAACCACAGAAGGGAAGGGCAGTTGAACCTCGTAACAAGGAGAATGTGTTTTGATGGTCATCTAACAGGATTGTAGATGAATAATTGATGAAGATGCTGAAATCATCAATGTCACACAGGGTACGGCATGATGACACGTGATCTCTTAAAAGCAAAAGTTTATAAATCTGTAGATTTTATGTCATGCAATTTCATGCAGTTTGTATGTTCATGTTTTTGAGGACTTATTCCACGTACTGTAATGGTGGCACAGGCTTTGCGTGATGAGTCATCAACCATCTGCAAGACCAAAGACTTGCCCCATAAGCCCTTGGCACCTGTTACCATAAACTGGTCACCTGAAGTTGTCAACACTGCAGAACCATTGGCAGGCAGGTCCAAAGGCCCAAATACTTCATCCAAGTTCAGTGTGCTGAAATCAGATTGACAAGCAATAGAGACATAGGATGGTTCAAAAGTGGTCACTTTTCATTTACAGGTGTTACAATGAAAGTACCACCAGAGAAGATTAAACCTTCTGAACAGCAAGTGTTAAATTTTAAAGGAGACTGTTGTTGTTATGGAAACAAATCATCACCAAAAAGCCCCTTACTATTTTCGGAAACAAAGTAATGCAACATTTCTTAATTACATGCATCTTCTTCTGTCACAACATACAACGTCTGTGTACAGAGTATATATTCCTTCAGCTGTGAGTAGTTTAGTATGACTATGCATTTGTGCAACATATGAAATAGATAAAGTTACCAAATTCCTATATAGGGGAGATATGTAAGTTTTATTCTTCTTCTCCTGGACAGTAGGTTCCATTTTAGTAACCGTAATCTGAAATTATCTTAGTCAGGGTAGCTCTACACAACAGAGATGCAGAAGGTGAGCTCTGTGTATATTAAATACAAATAAAATTCCTCTTAATCATATCCGGGTTTAATTTTATTGTTGTATAATGCATAAAAATGTTTTGCAAGCATGATATTTATCACTGTCATTATGCAGTTTCAGGTTGATATAGCAACTAACTGCAGAATGTTAACATATTGCATGAACATATATTATGCAGGTCACAAACAAATGAGCATTCTTTAGTTTATTGTATCATATCTATTTTGTGAGTACTGATAATACTTTGATCTGGGTATGTGAAATGTAGTATACTGTCACGTGTACAGGTGACTAAGGGTTGGGTTCGGATTGGTAATTGGATTTACGAACCACTTACAGCCTGTAAATACAAATAATTATAACACTGTGACTGATTTTCGCACTACAAAGCACTCCATGCTAATCGCTTCAGTCTCTCTGCACTAGTATTCATAGATTCATAACACAGAAACTATAAAATTCTCCCTGAATTACACGCTACAAATATTACATATAAATAAAGTCTTCTAACACATGTTAATTCTTCACAGGCCGACTTCTAGTTCTTCTTCAACTATGAACTTCCCCTGGCTATCTCTTCTCGAGAAATGACTGACTTGTAGTGCCAACTGTCTTCAAGATAACTCCTATGAATGGACTCCATGAAAAACACTGTCTTTATTGTTGATGATGTCACCTCTTTCATGGCACATTCTGATATGCAGAAATGTGTTTACTAAGCCATTGTCTATAACTGGGTTCAATAACCCTCTTGTTCCACTGCTGCTCCACATGGATGCCAGAGTAAACACAGCCTCATGTATCGCTGCATGTTGGACTGTGCTTACAGAGCTGTTGCCTAGCAATGTGTTGAATATATTCATTACAATATGATGTAATTTTAACGGGTTTATGAGCAATTACTTGTGAATAATATCCACTGGAGATGACATTAAATGTTGTCCTCAACATAATATTTGATAACACAAAGGCTAGGAAGGGAATACGGATGAAAGACAGTGAAGTTAACAGTGCAAAGTGTTATATAACAAACGATGATAGTTCCTACTGAAGTCTCAAAGAAACACTAGTATTTTATAATCACCAGGGGCCAGATTTTGATGACTTGTCATCTTTTTTTCCTTGTATCCTACACGATGCTCTTAAATATATAAATCTCGGATATGAGCTGCTGGTTACAGAAATGTAAATTTTATAGGTAATTTTTTGTTATTTTTTGACATTTTTAGGTTTAAGGTCATTTTCTCATTTTTGGGGTAAATTTTTTGTAAATTTTTGGACTTTTAAGGGTATTTCTTGTCATTTTTTACCATTTTAGGGAATTTTTCTTCATATGTTTTCTGAAATGTGAATAACATGGAAGCAAAGTGTTCTTTATTTTCTCCTTTAGGTCATTTTTCTGGATTTTTTGGTCATTTTTTAAATATTTTCAGGTCATCAAAATCCAGGCCCTGATAATAACCTCTCTTATTTGGTACAATGCATTTGGATATTTACAAAAATGCTTGTTATACTGAATAGATATGAAAACTCATACTATCTAGCCCGTACAGATATGAGCAGACCCTATACTTATGCCTGAAGTCACTTACATGGAACCCAACTTATCATCCCCACACCTATCCTCAATGCTGCTATAGGAGACAGGCAGTTCCCTCACCACCCAGGACCACTGTGACTGCTCATCTATTGCTTCAAGGGATGTCTGTACCACCACAGTACCTTCACCCCCAGGCTGCTGCTGGAAGACAACCTCCCCATGCAAGCCAGACTGAGAGACATAGGCTGTGAGCTGGACACCGCAACATGGTCTAGTGCCTAGACAAAGAGAAAGACTGAAATCAGATTGCAATGTATGCAAAGATAAGAAGATCAGTTAAACAGTGGCAATCACTCACATCTGTATCGACTGAGACTGTCTGCAACTCTGGCAACAGGGGTTGATGTAATGAGCCTTGTATTAACAAGTCACATCAATCTTTGGATGGAGATTGAGACAATTTCTCTCAAACACTCGATATTTGTAAGGTAGGGTAAAGTTGTCCCTATCCTTAATTAAGCACTATTTCATGAAGACATACAGATGAGTGGAGGTATAGCTCCACCATTCTTGACCTCAGCACCAGATGGAGGAGAGTGGTCAGCTTCACGTTACAGTCGCTTTATCCCCGGGTAAAATGGCCCTGGTGCCAATTCGATATGAGGCTGGGTGGCCCCCAGACCTGGTATAGAACCTGTGGAGAGGAGAACAAACTTGCCCCTACTGGGAATCAAACTCCAGCCATTCAACCTGTTATCCATCACTATATCAACTGGACTACTCTGGCTCACGGATATGTGCACAAACTCTATATATTAACACAGCTGTTCACTCAGTAAGACTTCACTGCATACCATCACTGTGAAAGCTTAGCATCAAACGATTAAATTCATTCATACATGTTTCATTTTCTCACTTACATGATACAAGTACATGTTTTCCTTTCAGAAACTTCATTCTTAAAAATCTAACTATGTAAAGTATGCCTGACTTTTCTTTATTAGGATTCAGTTCATGGCAGAGATGTTGGTAAATTTGCTCTGTGCCCTAAGACTAGAACATATTCCAAACACAACCAACATCCTACCCAACAGGAACCCTGCTCTTTGTCCTGTGTGCAAAGAAGCCAAAGTGAGAAATAACTACCCATTTCCTTCTGCAGCCATGACTGAGAATCTCTGGAGCTTTACTTCCACTCTGTAATACATCTTTGTGGTGCAGTGCTTAGACATAAGGACTATGCTTTGTTCAATCCCAAGCCAGTTCATCTGATATCTGTGGTACACAACATGGATGGGGCAATTCCTCTGCAAATTCTCATTCCACCAAATGATAATGAATTGTTTTGCTTTTGTTTAGAATGGCGTTCCCGTTGCTGTTCACTGCCATATGTCCTATAAATTGTCTATTTCAAACTCACGGCCCCCCAAAAATTTCTGAATTAGCTATAATTTCAACATGTATAGGTACGGCAAGTATGCGATGGAAATTTCAACGTGCGGTAAGGACATGAACCATTATCGCCATTGCAAAAATAATTGCACCGTAAAAAACTGCATGTAGTTTAAAGGTAAACTACATACATATCGAATAAGACGTAACTAATAATATAAGCGTAAATGATTCATTTTTCGTTCCCAAATTTAAAGGCAGTATTTTTCCTTTCTGAAATTGACGTGCCACAACACGCGAAAATGTACCAGTTTTCTCCGCGCAAGAGAAGACGAAGGCTCGGTTTTAACAAAATCAAAAGCAAACAACGTACAACTTACCATACATGAAGACTACAAAACACAGAATGCGTACATCAAACTTGCCGATGTTCATAGCGTCAATATCTTACGATACTGTAAATTTCAGACCAAGATGCTAACATGCTGGTCTTCAAGCCATGGCTCCACACAGCTGATCCACGTAGATCGAAACAGGGTGTAACGGAACCACGTTCTTATTAAGGCTGAGAAATAGCCTCCTCGGCTGTGACGTATAAATCATAAGAAAAAAAGGGACAGTGAGAGTGAAGATCGCACATAACTTACAACGCCTAGTTAACGTGGTCTAGTGGTTTTCTGTGACATACTCGTAAGCATCTTCCGTTAGTTCATTGAACATTTGAGATATTCCGGGTCATGGTTACTGTGTAACGGGAACTCAACGTAAAGTTGCCCCTGTCCTTAACTACGCTATGAAGACGTATGGAGGAATGGATATATAGATCCACCGGCATTAGTTGGAGGTGAATGGTCAACTTCATGCCCTGGCCGCTTCACCGCTAGGGAAAGAACCCTCGATACTCATTGGATAGGAGGCTGGGTGGAACTCATAACCGGCCTGGGCGACATGGAGAGGAGAACAGGGTCCTCTGCCAGAAGAAAAAGGATCTGCTCAAGCTAAACAGAGACCAGTTAAGATGGGTCGTAGGACTATTTACAGACACTGCCACCGAAAAGGAGACCTTTTCAAACTGGGATTGAGAGATGACCCCACTTCTGAAAGGTGCGTAGAAGAAGATGAATCAGCCANTGATATCTGTGGTACACAACATGGATGGGGCAATTCCTCTGCAAATTCTCATTCCACCAAATGATAATGAATTGTTTTGCTTTTGTTTAGAATGGCGTTCCCGTTGCTGTTCACTGCCATATGTCCTATAAATTGTCTATTTCAAACTCACGGCCCCCCAAAAATTTCTGAATTAGCTATAATTTCAACATGTATAGGTACGGCAAGTATGCGATGGAAATTTCAACGTGCGGTAAGGACATGAACCATTATCGCCATTGCAAAAATAATTGCACCGTAAAAAACTGCATGTAGTTTAAAGGTAAACTACATACATATCGAATAAGACGTAACTAATAATATAAGCGTAAATGATTCATTTTTCGTTCCCAAATTTAAAGGCAGTATTTTTCCTTTCTGAAATTGACGTGCCACAACACGCGAAAATGTACCAGTTTTCTCCGCGCAAGAGAAGACGAAGGCTCGGTTTTAACAAAATCAAAAGCAAACAACGTACAACTTACCATACATGAAGACTACAAAACACAGAATGCGTACATCAAACTTGCCGATGTTCATAGCGTCAATATCTTACGATACTGTAAATTTCAGACCAAGATGCTAACATGCTGGTCTTCAAGCCATGGCTCCACACAGCTGATCCACGTAGATCGAAACAGGGTGTAACGGAACCACGTTCTTATTAAGGCTGAGAAATAGCCTCCTCGGCTGTGACGTATAAATCATAAGAAAAAAAGGGACAGTGAGAGTGAAGATCGCACATAACTTACAACGCCTAGTTAACGTGGTCTAGTGGTTTTCTGTGACATACTCGTAAGCATCTTCCGTTAGTTCATTGAACATTTGAGATATTCCGGGTCATGGTTACTGTGTAACGGGAACTCAACGTAAAGTTGCCCCTGTCCTTAACTACGCTATGAAGACGTATGGAGGAATGGATATATAGATCCACGTATTCTTGACCTTGGTGAATGGTCAACTTCATGCCCTGGCCGCTTCACCGCTAGGGAAAGAACCCTCGATACTCATTGGATAGGAGGCTGGGTGGAACTCATAACCGGTCTGGGCGACATGGAGAGGAGAACAGGGTCCTCTGCCAGAAGAAAAAGGATCTGCTCAAGCTAAACAGAGACCAGTTAAGATGGGTCGTAGGACTATTTACAGACACTGCCACCGAAAAGGAGACCTTTTCAAACTGGGATTGAGAGATGACCCCACTTCTGAAAGGTGCGTAGAAGAAGATGAATCAGCCACACACCCCCTATGTGATTATGAGGCCATAGCTTATTTAAGATTTCGTCACCTGGGCCAGTTCTTTATGGAACCGAGTGACTACTGTGGCGCTCCCATAAATAGGGTCCTACAGTTCATCNTATCCGCTAACTTCGCCGACAAGCGGCGGTGACTCGGTCGGTATAGCTCGCTTGCGGACTAAAGCCACGGAATTTGTTTGTTTCTTTGGTAAGGAAAGTTCTATCTTATGGGATATAACGCCGCGTAATCTGTCGAAAGTAAACAGAGGTTTCGGAGCGATATTTCTGCCCGCCACTGCTTCCACGTCTAGCTGTGGGTCCCATCCAACTTCCCACCCAATGGATACCGGTAGCTCTTTCCCCGTGTACGAAGCAGGGGGAACGTGAAGCTGACCAACCACCTCAGTATACTAAACGGTAGGGTAAAGTTGTCCCTGTGCTTAAATAATTAAGCACTACGCCATGAAGACGTATGGGGGAGTGGATGTATAGATCCACTTTTTCTTGACCTCGGCACTAGTTGGACGCGAGTGGTCAGCTTCACGCCCCGACCGCTTTATCCCCGAGGCTCCAATTGAATGGGAGACTGGGTGAGCCTCAAAGCCGGTCTTGACGACGTGGAGAGGAGAAAGTTCTTGATACTACCGGGACTCGAACTCCGACCTCTCTGTCGTCAAGCCGGTGGACTGTCGCTATTCCGGCTCCACCTCAATACAGAACCGAGGTTAATGGCTGGAGCTTCACCTGCACCTTACTAACGATACGATTGTACTAACGAGAGAAATGCTTTTGGTTCTTGGCCTGCTAACACACTTTTCTGTGAAACCACGACACACGAACACTATTTACTTTTACAGCCACCGGAAGCGTTACAGGAAACTCACGTTCGTTAATCCGTGGCAAAAGTCAAGGATGCAGCTGTCCCAGCGGCTAAGTACGGAGCCATGAAGGCGTACAAGGAGCGTAGAAGTACATATCCCTACATATTTCAGATCTCGGAACCCGACGGAGGTGGTCAGCTTCAGACACCGGCCCCTTTAACCTGGATATTCGTTGAATACAAGGCTGGATAAGCCACAGAACAAATCTGGTAGCGGCAGTGAAGAGAGAAAAAAATGTAATTATATGAGTGGAACAGAAACCCGACCGTCCTACCTGGACAAACACAGGCGTATCCCGATGCATTACACATGTCTTCATGCGTAACGAAAATATTAATTTTACAAGAGTGAAATACTTTACAGCATACAACTTGACGTTAGAAATTTGCTGTGACTTGGTTATTCGACGAGAAAACCCGAAGGTTACGAATTATTTCGTCAATTTTGTGGTTGTCATGAAACCTGGTCCTGTAGTGGCCCTACGGGCACGCAGTCAGTATTTCAAGATGCCAATGATAAGAACTCCGAGGTAAATGGATAAAGGAATATACGAACAAGCAGTTCTGGGAAGAACTAGTGGCCTATTTCCCCTGTGTACGACATGGAGCGCATAGGAAACGACGCGTCCAGGAGTTCTTCTATTGTTGCGTGTGTATTCGTTGCGGCTGCCACGTGTTTATGGAGCCGTTGCCTAGCAACAATAGGGGGATACACACGGCGATCTCATAAGCTTATTTACATTTTTTTTTTTTCCAAAATATTGGACGTAGATTTAAAAACGACTTGAAACAGGCACGCGGTAGCGTAGTTGGTTGAGGCACTATGCTACAAGCCGAAGGGGTCGAATCCCGATGAGGTGGATTTTTCAATTTACCTAATCCTTCCAGCCGCACTATGGCCCTGGGGTCGACTCAGCCTCTAACAGAAATGAGTACAAGGAATTTTCCTGGGGGATAAAGGGCGATCGGCGCGTAAGGGTTACAACCGCACCGCCATCTATGAGCCGATTGTCTTAAGAGAAAATGTGGGAACCTCAACATCTCACAACCCTATGGGCCTCCACGGCCTGTTACAGGGATACCTTTACTTTTTTACTTTAACGGGCCTATATGCTTCACCTAGTATTCTCAAGGCATATAAAGTTTCCTGCTATAGAGCAGACTAGCACAACGGAGGGCTTGTGGTTCACTTCACGAAGCTGACTGCCCAGCGTCTAATGGAAGAGTGACTGATGAACAGTGAATTGGAAAGGATTGCGAAGGGAGCTGTTGTATTAGTAGCAGCCCGCTACTGGTCCCTATTTTCAGCCACAGGAATCCAGTCCACCCCCTGGCATCCTATTTCTTCAAGATCTATTTTAATAAAACCTTTCATCTACGCCTAGGGATCTCTAGTGGTTCCTTCCTTCCAGTTTTCATACCAAAACTGCGCATTCATTTTCCCCCACGCGTGCCATAAGTCCTCCTATCTCATCCTCTTTGATTTCACCATCCCAGCCATATTAAAAAACTAAAACTAAACTCTGTGGCTTTAGACCGCAAGCGACCTATACCGACTGAGCAGCCGCCGCTTGTTGGCGAGGTTAGTGCCAACTTCAACGGAGAGAGGGTGTCGCGCGATCAGCGCAACGAATCCTCACTGCCGTTAATTTCGGTTTTCTAGACCGGAGCCGCTATTTTCCATTCAAGTAGCTCCTCAGCTAAAGTAGCTCAGCTGAGGGGACCCAGTTCCAGACCCACTGCTTCTCAGAAAATCTGGTAGCGCCGGGAATTGAACCCTGGACCTCTGGTTCTGTAGCCAGGCACTCTTTTGGAAAGAAAATACAAATTACGAATCTATTTAAGATTTGAGGCTTTCACGGCGGTGACTATGAAGAAAGCAGTCTTCTGGGATTTGGCACCGTGTATATGTGGTGTTAACCGACGTTTCGGAGGAACGTATCGCCTCCATCTTCAGGGTAGAAGAAAAAANATCGGTAGTATGAATGTTATTGTTGCGCAGTTTGTTTCTCATTAACGTAAAGTGGGGGGAACATTTGTAAAACTAGGAGCATAAGAATGTGCACCCCTGACGGGTAAAATGCGCTACATTTAGTTGGGATATCCCTGACAACGAGTCATCAGATGAGACGCGAGAACTGGGGCACGAAAAAAGGAGGCGGTCGAGTAAGAAGACGCTAAAAATAGGCACATGGCTCCTCGCTGTTCAATTGATGCAAACCTCGGCCCAGCGCTATATCGGGTTGATTCCTCGATTTCTGAACACTGTCGTGTCGTCCTTACCGTCACTTTCGTTATTAATCCATTAAACCTATGATGATCTATCATTGGTCAGTCGTTAAGATGCGAAACCTTATTTCAGTTAGTCTTTTATTTTAATTTGAGAATGCAAAACCCGTTTAAAATACTCTAGAACGTAACGTCCTCGCCAATCTCCAGGTCAGAGATGGAGCCCCGAGAGCTTCACAGTGCGCTGCCTGGTCACAACTGCCGCATACCTCAAGGGGAGACGACATATGAATATACAGCAATACTTCACGTAAAAAATCCTTACTTACTCATGGAGCTGAGCACTTCTTGAGAAGCCAAATCTGCAGCTACTCAAGAATTTCCCAGCATTTTATGGAACCCGAAGGTTCTTTACCGTGTTCACAAGAGCCCTCCACTGGTCCCTATCCTCAGCCAGATCAATCCAACCCATACCATCACATCCCATCACTCTTAAATTCCGTTTTAATATTGTCCACACACCTACGCCTTGGTTTTCCCAGTGGTCTCTTTCCTTCTGGCTTTTCCATCGATATCTTATATGCATTACTTTTATGCCCCATTCGTGCTACATGCCGTGCCCACCTCATCCTCCTTGACTTGATCATTCTAATTATACTTGGAGGAGAGTACAAGTTATGAAGCTCCTCATTATGCAGTTTTCTCCAACCTCCTGTCACTTCATCCCTCTTCGGTCCAAATATTCTCCTCAACACCCTGTTCTCAAACACCCTCAGTCTATGTTACTCCCTTTACGTCATAGCTTGAGTGGGCAAAAGTGGGCACACTTATCGAGAATAAGTCCTGATTGTTCAACGAGATTTCAGGTATGGAGATTTTGGTTCCCACTGTATTTTGAAAATGTAATCTAGATTAATTTTCTAACGAAGAGGTCTGTCTACATGACTGTGTAAAGAAGACTGAAGATATTTTAAATTGACAACTGCAAGGTAAACCCGAAGGAACTCCTTCAGTGGCACTAAGTCCACCACGAATCTCACATGAAGTCACCCGAGATTGAACTCGGACCTCTGCAGTGACAAATCAACTTCTACCCTTCCGTGTCATACACACTATACAATACTGCTGAGTCCATAGCGAACATGATGTTACTACTATGCCTAGGCATTGTTCTATGAAGGGGTATAGTTCTATATCTCGGTTCTGGATGGCGGTGAGTGGTCAGCTTCATGTTCTGGCCGATTAATTCCCGTAGGAATAACTGGAAGGCTGACTGGATTCTGGAAGAGTTTTTGATGTGGTGGCGAACAGAACACCCTTTCCTATCGAACACTAAACACTGTACATCCTTACGACCAGATGCGGGATAAGCCACTACAAGTCGAACAAGGCACACCTATATGAGATACTCTGTGATATGACGAAGGCACGAGGATCAGTACCACGTGCGCCGCCAGGTGGAGGCTTGGGAAAGACAGGAATTTGCCTAAATCTGGAGTTTTGGAAGAAAATCGACATTGAAAAGATATGGAAACATACCAAACACACATACCCAAAATTAAAATTATATTTTCTTCTTCACAATTATATTTCTGTACTGAATGCCTTAAAGCTATCAGTAAAAACTGTCGAAGTTTCAATGTAAATTTCGCAAGCGAATTTATGGCATTCCCCGCTCTCCCAGCTTGGCGGCGCAAATGATCACACCGTCACCTCAAAAACATATCACTGGGCCTTATAAACAGACGTTCGCCAATTTCACCATTTTCGTAACGAATTAGTTTCTTAGCCGCACTATGGCCCTGGGGTCGACTCAGCCTCTAACACAAATGAGTACCAGGAATATTCTTGTGTTGTAAAGGGCGGCCGGATCGTAAGGCTGACAACCTTACCGCCATCTTTGAGCCGATTGTCTAGAAAATGTGGGAGCCTCGACGTCTCAGAACCCTATGGGACTCCACGGCCTGTTACAGAGATAGCTTTACTTTACTTTTTACTAGTACTTCCTTAAGGCGAGGTGCCATAAGACACGGCGCATCCTAAATTGAAACCCATCATTTCTCGGTTGTTTTCGACTGTTTCTTCAGCAAATTTTAAACTACCCTCCATTTCTGAAGGTCGTTACTTCAAATCCACGCTATGATGCAGGGAAAGGAAACCCACTTAATTATGACTGATACAGGGTCGTTAAATAAAGTAAGAAATATTAACTGCTGGTGTTCACCGTAGGCTTATGTGTTCTCCTAATAAGAAGTGAGTAACAGAAATGACCAAATTCCAAAGTGAGAGAGCTTTTACTAAGCAGTTGTGACGTTATCAAGAAATTCACTTCTGTGGCCCCAGTGGAACTCGGACGTCCATAACCATTATCACAGCAGCTCGACGACCTCAGCCAACTCTATTAAGCTCACCTCTTCACAGCTAATTTCAGTAAGATATTTCCGTCTACAGCCAGGTCTCCCAAGCAGTCGCCCTCCTCATTAGCTTTGTTCAACCCAAATTTCCCGCATATGCCCTTTATTTTCTTATCCTTAGTTGACCAAGTCCCGTTTGCTCAAGGTGAGGGATCACTTGTCATAACGCAAATATTAGCGGGGTAATTGTTATTCCTCGTAGTGACAACAAAGTCACTGTCGCCCTGGTTAACACTAAAGGACGGACATTGCGATCGTGGTGAAGACAAAGCAAGCAAAGGACGCTGTTAATTTTGGCACCTGTCTGCGGAACATCTGCAGCAAGTGAACATTAACCTAGTGAGACTATTTGGGGCAGGTATCCCGTAAATAGGCGACACTAGTCCTAAACATGCCTCGGCACATATGGCTGCGTGTCTGCCAAGCACCTGGGACATTCATATGACATCCATCCTCGAATATTAGAATCACGAAACGGAAGTACAGCAGTTTTCACAAACAATTTTAATTCCGAAAACCACGTGATTTTGAATCTCAAAGATGTATTAGACAACACAGTACATGGGGATTCAATCTTAAGACCGGCGGTACGTGAAGTATGCATGGGAGACCTAGGCATAGAAGGAGGGACAATACTGAACCGGTTGTTCACTATAAAGACGCAAATTTGACTGAGTTGCATGAGGAAGGGGTCCGACAACAGGATATTGTGATGAAACCTTTGGATTTTATAACAACGGGGGATTTCTCGGACAGCTGAATGAAGACCAACGGTTGAAGCAAGGTTCTGCATAATAGAGATGATTAAACGATTCGGTGATGTATCTATAAGTTATCTCACCCAGACGCCATTGTTGTCAAGTATAGTGGCCTGATTATTTCACTCACGAGCTGACTCTATTTCGGCGCCAGCTCTAAATAAGGTTAGGTACGTTCTCCTCTCCTTCACGAAGCTGGACGAAGGGAAAAGTAGGGGTGATGGAGAAGTGGCGGGGATAAGGAGGGTTGGAGGGTATCGGGAAGAGTGAAAAGACTTCGAGACCTCAGTGGGCAGAGCCTCCTCCAGCAGGGAACAACTAAAGGGGACTTTTTCTTCTTCGAACACTTCAACACACAATGGTGAGTAGCAACAATGCACGCTGTTCTCTGCCCATGCGATGTTATGCCTGATCAAACACGCGCAATCATGGCAACATTTCGCGATTGGTTAGGATATTAAATAAATCAACAGTGGGTTTTCGATTCTTCTGTTACTTTTTTTCGATACTGTGAATTTATTCTTTCTTGTGCTTCTTGGGATTTAACGCAGTGTTACCAACGTTGGATATTATTCTCCTATTCATCTCGACTGAAAGGAATACCGGAATGGATTATCTTTAAAATAATATCGAAGGTTGTCAGTTCGAAACTAATCGCATTGAATCCAACTTCAGGACAGTGTGGACTTTTTATGTTAAAATAATATAACTTATGTCAACGTGCAATAAACCAAGTGTCATGAACTGTTCTCCTTTCTCTCTATGTGTTGCATGCATTTACATTCATATTGTCGTATCCTTGGTCTTTCTAATAGGATTAATGTTTGAAAATTACAGCATGCCTTTGAAAATTAAATGTGGCACCACAATTAGGAGAAACCCGGAAACTTACTTTTAACAAATCTGATAAGATTGCTAACGCGACTAAATAGCCCAACTAAAACCATCAGCAGGAAATTTACAATTTCTTATGATGGAAAATTAAATAAATAATACGAAATACTTTCGTGCTCCACGAATTAAATTCTTTCTAACTGTGTACATGTACCATTGCCATTTTTGCGTTCAGTCTTTTGTGTTTTTAAACAAATCTGTCTGTTATGAAGCACAAAAATTGACGTAAAAAGAAAACAGAAATTATTCAGAAAGACGGTGCAACACGTAAGTGAAGTAACGCAAATACTGTGGTGACAAACTTAAAACAAATATCGCCTTTTAAAATGTGTATCTTGAGTGAAGAAACATTACAGTTTTCAAATTAGTTATTTCCCAGCTGTTTTATATTGAAAATTCCATAGTATGAATTTAATTTTCCGGACTGTAAGCCTATGTGGATTTCTATTCACTTTATTTTATTTCACGTGTCTGATAATTTGAGATCATTTAAACCCCTGAAACGAAAATCACTAAGCAGCATAAGAAAGTTACTTAAATGGTTCCTGTGGCACTGAAGACCATACCAGAAACTTTCTTAAGATGCTTGCCTTACGTTTTGAAGCAAACATATCTCCTAGGCTTTCACGGAGTTTCAAAATAAGTATTATTCAATGATGCCAGACTTGACGTTCTCACGGCCATAATTGTAAAGAAAATGCCTTCTGGAGTGTAACGCCGTGTAGTTGGGTCCGAATCATTTGGTGTTACATCCCACAGAAAACGGCATTCTTCATATTCAATTCACTTTGTAAACCACTTCCACTGCAAGTAACGTAATAGGCTTAGTGCATAAAATGACTGAGTAAAAACATGTTATTCGCATCTGATTTAACTCTTTCCATGTATTTTAACAAAAAGCCCTTCTCTGAATATTTCCATGAATGAATATATGAATGTATAAGGGGTGGGCCTTCTTGGCCCTTGCACCGCGACCACAGTGATCTATTTCCATACTAAGATAGTTTCTATCGCTGAAAATCGACGAACAGCTTAGCGTTAGTCATGCAGAGATTTCTTTCACCGATCTTCGGACACCGAATAAAGGCCCCGTCTAAAATGAGATAGCTCACATCACATATATCTCACGAGACAGCTCGTGTATGGCATGGGAGCAGTTAATTGCAATTACGAAATTACGAACCTCTTGCACGTGACGTACTGAAACTGGTAACAGATGGTAGTAAGATGAGAGCTGAAGAGCACCTCGGAGTTTCCCAGGAATCCGAAACCCAAGCCAGTGACTTCGGGATAATGATGGGGGGTATACAAAGTGGGAGGGGGAAGAGGGGGGTTTACGTTCGAAGGAAGGTTCTTTTAGTACAGCGATGACGTAAGTCGTGTTAGAGCGAAACATCTAAATCGTCCCAGAACTTACACTGGTATGCCAATTAATATACACGGCCTTTTCCATAACTTAAGCAGCGGTCGAAATAACTCATGGGTTTCAAATGTATCAGTTGCTACTAGTGGTCCAAAAATAACTTCAGACCCTAGTAAGGTAGTTACAGTTTCGCGGAAAACTGCATTAAGCTTTGAAAAGTACACAGTTTCATTTCAGCTTATACATACATACATGTCGCTGAAATGCTACAGTCTATATGGTGTCATATTCCCCAAAGATAGTACTCTTCATAGTCGCGAGTGTGAGAACCTCATATCCAACATAATCACCATGATAAATCTGAAAATGTTGCACTTAGGAAGTTGCTATTTAGTTTTTCTGTATATCAGTTATTGGAATAGATTCTAATACCAAAATCTCTCTGCCACACTCAAAACATATACACATTATTAACCTTCATACAATTTCTTTATTAAAACCGACACAACACAACAATATTAAGGACAGTGCCTAGTTTGGCTCTGCTACATGTTTCGGCTATTAGTAGCCATCATCAGGCAAATACATGGCTAATATATATATATATATATACATATATACATATATAAAATAATCTAATTTATTGTATTTTTATGTCAAGTATTTTAATATAATTAATATTATTGTATCCAATTTTATTAGTATTGCAGTTCAGTTGTGTATATATGTTAGTCATGTATTTGCCTGATGATGGCTACTAATAGCCGAAACATGTAGCTGAGCCAAACTAGGCATTGACCTTAATACTGTTGTGTTGTGACGGTTTTAATAAAGAAATTGTATATTATAACACAACAGGATGCACAAAATGAAAATTAACCTTCATAATTGTATCTGTATAATAATCTGTATAATCTTGCTTAAAAAAAAACTGAAATTTGCAATGTTTAATTTTTTAAATATTGAAAAAAAATTCTCCATTCTATCCCCACAGTGTATAACATTATACTACATGGCAGTTCATTCATGACTGGAACTGCGACAGACAGTGCAGTTTGTGATGCCTCTGAAATTTGCTACCTATTCACGCAAAGAAAGAGGGAGGTGCTGATGAAAATTACAAATTGTAACTTCCTATTCCTGTTTGAAGTTACAGTGATATTGGCGAAAAAGATTCCACCCCTTTTTATCTCTTATGCTATATTTAAATGAGTGATCAAGCCAAGAAGGGTGAGAGTGGCAGGGCATGTAATATGCATGGGGTGAAAGGGAGTGCATAGAGTGTTTTGGTAGGAATATCTGAATGAAGAAGACCAGTAGGAAGACCTAGATGTAAGTGGGAGGATAATATTAAAATGGATCTTAGAGAAGTAGGATGGGGGAGCTGTGGACTGGATTTATCTGGCTCAGAAGAGGCCCCAGTGGCAGGATCTTGTGAACATGATGAAGAACCTTTGGGTTCCATAGAATGCTGGGATTTTCTTAAGTGACTGAGCTACCATTGGCTTCTCAGAAAGAACTCAGCCCCATGGAGTAAGTTAGTTTCCATTTCTACTCGTCTATTAGTATGTAACAGCAGGAAAGATTTTCACAAAGTATCCCAAGCACGGAAATAACAAACGTTGTCCTTTGCCATATACTAAACTATAATAATCAGAAAAGAAAGAAAGAAGGTAAGTGAGATAAAAAGAAGGTATATGATTGATTTCATCAAGGTTCATTATCCACAGGTTATGTAATAGCTGATATGTGCATACACATGCTGTGGATGAAAATCACAGAACAAATACAGTGCCAAACACACTCCAGCTTAAAACCAGAGCAAAACTCATGCTGGTGGGTCTATTTATATCCAAACCTTGGGGTACTGTGTCTCGGGGTATTTATACTCTCCCAGGGTTTCCCTGCCAATTCACACTGCTAAACATGGCCAAACTGACGGTTCCTACCCAAAGCATGCTGGGAAAGTAGAACATGTTATACAATATGCAGATTGGAAGTAATAATAATTTAGCAATAGCATTACATGGAAACCAGTTAATAAATATGAAGATATGAATCAGAAATAGATGTTTACTTTAGACTTCCAAAATTAAATTCCTTCCACCCCCCCCTCCCCCAAATGCTGTGCTCCTTTCTATTGGCCATGCAAATAGTGGTTCCAAAAATAGCCTTTATTTATTTCATAAACAAATTCATGCCCATAAACTTACTCTGGGATTTAAATATCATATATCTGGCTACCTTTAAGGCAGATAGTTCACATAGTGGCAAAAATGTATGCTCACCTTCAAGCTTAAAGTGTGGCAGTCTCTCTAACAGACCAATATATACTTAAATCACCAGTCTATATGAACAGCAGTGACTAATATTTTAAAATCCACGGCATACACTGTCATGAAGATGGCTCTGAAACAATAAAAAGTTAAGTTTTTTTAGAAACCCCCCCAAAAGAATTTCAAGAATATTACGCAAAACTGTAAAACTAATTAGAATGAATAAATAATTCCTTCAATATAATTCTGTGTTTTATGTTACTATTGCTATTTAAATCTATGTGGTTTGCTACTGTGCAAAATCAACAGTATTTGCTAAGCCACAGCACTCAGTTTCGTTATAGCGAGGCAGATGTTTCTTCCAACTTAAACGATAGGTAGAAACCCTATATTTTATTTAAAAACCTGCAATCTAAATAAACAGCCGTCCATTAAGATATCAGGGTGTAACCATGTAGCTGTGGATTGCTGAGGAAACACGGTGTAACTATATTCCTCCTAAAAAGTGGAAACCCAGGCCTGTACTAAACCAAACTTTCAATAAAATCATGAGATCTGTGTACATGAGAGATATCAAGCACCAGAGTAAACCACAGCATTATAATAAAAATTACAATTCCTTAAATTCAAACTGTGCTCTCCTGCATTCTGACACTCTTGTACATGGTTGCTAATATCCCAGAGGAACCTAATGGTGCCATCCTCTCTGTCTTGAAATGAAGGCAGCAGGTTCCTCTGGAACACTGAGAAATCTTTATAAGATTACAAGGTGTCATAACTCAGAGGACCACGAATAAAATTTTCATTGGCAGGAAAACCTTTAATCTCATACAGATAACTGAAACTTTTTCCAGGATTAATACAGTATAACATCATAAAATTAAACGTCCTCTGTCACATTTCACATAGTAAAGTGTAGTGTAACAAATGATATTTAAATCAACAGTATATCAGGATACAGTGAACTAAAATTGATCAGCAAAAAAATTAATTTATGTATATTCTAAAGTAAAATAACTTATGCATATTGATTAGAAGTTCCATATATAGGAAAGTAATAGTATTAAATAGGAACCAATTAAAAGAGGTGACAGAAGTACTTACAGGATGCTATCACCTGAAAGGATGACTTTTCAAATTGAAGTTGGTAAACAATCTCACTTTGAAAAGTGACAGAACAAAGATGAAACAGCCTCACATATCCTATGTGCCTGTGAAGCTGTAGCTAGCTTAAGACCTCATCACCTGGGGCTTTGTTTTATGAAACTATGTGACTATTTAAACACAACATCAAGCAAAGAACTGCACTTCATCTGAAGTGTTGAATTGTTAGCAGGTTAACCAGGAAGGTGGATACACAATGGCCTGAAGACAGCTGCTGTAAAAGGGCCAGTATAGCTTGCCCCTTTCTCAATCATTTAGCCACAACCTTATACATCACTCTGAAATACTGTAAAGAATTCATACTGAAGACAGTAATCTCAAACCTTAACATGCATAATTTGATTCTTTTAAACGCCCATCAATATCTGATATATTACTGCGTTGTTTTAAAAGAAACTTCTCAATTTTCTTCCTTGTTTTAATTTGGTTTTAATCTAAAATTTCTGGATAAAATACAGATTAGTGTTTTTCACATTCATAGGCGGACAAGGAAAAGAAGAAGAAGAAGAAGGCAAAAGAAGATGGGCCAGCTGAAGCTGCACCCGCCCCTGCTGCTGCCCCTGAGCCTGCCGCAGCTGAGCCTAACAGACAGAGCTCTCGAGGTTCCAGAAAGGCAGCAAGGCGTACTGGAAGCAATGTGTTCTCCATGTTCTCCCAGAGGCAGGTCGCTGAGTTCAAGGAGGCAAGTTCTTTTCCTGCCTTAGGTTTCCAGAAGGAATTTCACGATTAGATTGTAAAGTTACATGACTAAAGGGCCACGCCATAGCTCAAGCGGTTAGGCGCTGACTTCCCACCGCGGCAGCCCGGGTTCGATCCTGTGTCTGGTCAAGTGGGATTTGTGGTGGACAAAGTGGCGCTGGGGCAGGTTTTCTGTGAGTACTTCGGTTTCCCCTGCCAATCTTCATTCCACCAATTCCTCCACAATCACCCTCACCTATCATCTGGGGCTGGTACAATAGGCCAGAAGTGGCCGCAGTACAAGAGGCTTAGTCCCACCCCACTAGCAATAAAAAAAAAATACATGACTAAAGACCACTTGGAAGGATCAGATGTATGTGGGGTGAAAATATTAATAAGTATAAGACTGCACAAGTCCTGCTGTAACACCGTCCTTTATATCAAGGAAATCGTTTCAATGACGATCCACATACCTTCTGGTTTTGTGCTACTGTAAGGAGTAATGATGACCTTCATAATTTGTACTCTTCACCAAATATTATTATTATAATCAAATCAAGGATGAGATGAGCTGCAATGTAGCATGCAGGGAATAGAAATGCATATAAAGTTTTGATAAGAATATCTGCAGGAAATAGACCACTGTTAGGACCTAGGAGTAGATAGGAGAATAATACAGAAATGGATCTCAAAGAAATAAGGTGGGAGGTGTGAACTCGATTCACATGGCTCGGGATTGGGGGCCAACAGCAGGCTCCTGTGAACATGGTAATGAACCTTCAGGTTCTGTAAAATGTTGGGACTTCTCTTGGGAAAGAATAAAACTATCCAATACAGATAAACAACACCAAATAAGAAACTAAACACAACACAGGGACACTGGCTGAGAAACTACTGCCTTCTCAAGAGGGACTTAGCACCAACTAATGAACATTAGTTTGCTTGGAATTGAAAGGATGTCAATGTTGCTTCGTCCCACCTGTAATGATGTCATGGAATTTGGTCCTTGTGGAGTATGATTTAATGTGGCTTAGTGAATGTCTCTCTGATGGAATTATGGGAAACACATTTAAGATGTGCCACAAAATAAAGCCACAATGTTCAAGCGATGGAACTCTTCAGCAAGAGAGGAAGAAATATCAAAATGTTTGGTAATTATTCATTTCTTATATCCTCATCATGAAGTTCCTATGCAGAATGCAATTAGCAACATAAGCCAATTTTTTTTTTCCAAAATCTGTATTGCCACATGTTACATGATTGGAATATCTGTGATGAAACTGTGTACTTATTGTTATCGTAGATTTAGAATATAAAGACATTCCTATGTTCAGTTTCACTTCCTGTCCTTTGCAGGCCTTCCAACTGATGGACCAAGATAAGGATGGTGTCATTAGCAAGAGTGACCTTCGAGCAACCTTTGACCAGCTGGGCCGTCTTGCCTCTGACAAGGAGCTTGATGAGATGGTCAACGAGGCTCCTGGACCAATCAACTTCACACAGCTGCTCACTTTGTTCGCCGGAAGAATGTCTGGAGGTGCATAACATTATACCCCTCTCCAACCTTCTAAACACCTCCAACCTCCTAAACACCTTCAATAATTTATTTGAATAACAGGCTAACAAAAAAGTAAATTTACATAAATATGGTTTTTAAAACTTTTAGTTTCAAACATTGGAAGAGAAAAAACAATGAGAGATATTTTACAAGAAGAAAACCTCCAATTTCTGAACATTCATTCACTCATTCATTTCCTTTGTTTTCCATATATCCATACAGGTAAAAAACCTAGTATGTGGAAATAGTCCCTTTGATAAAAAATTGTGTCCAGATACAGATAATAAACATAAACATAGAGTGATAAAGGTCCAGTGATTGAGACTAGCTCTTTCTAACGGGCCCAACTGAGTAGGTTTATCCTTCCGTACCCACCTGAAGACGGAGACAGATCCAGTCTCCGAAACATCATGGTCTTTTGTCTTTTACATACCAGACGATGGATGAAGTCCAAAATAAGCCACAAGAAGTATAAACATAAAGGTTTTATTCACATAGCTGTGACTCCAAAATTTCTCAGGTTAAAGTAATTTTTCTTTGACTAAGAACTATATGACAAGTCATATCACATACATTATGCTGAAGGCATAACTGTGTAGTCATTAATTGGTTTTTAATTTTTAGGATCTGATGATGATGATGTTGTAATTGCTGCTTTCAAGTCATTTGATGATGATGGAAAGATTGACAGTGAAAGGTAAGCATTATGTATTTCTCTCCTACATACATATTCTTTCTCTTCAAAGTTCCTCTCAAGCAGATATGATGATTTAAGGAAGGCAGATAGCCAGCCTGTGAAGAACTTTGAACCATAATCTGATCGCATCAAAAGGAAGCCTATTTTGTATATGTGACTAAGACCAAACTATCTGTTGCATCAATACACATACACCATTATATCCATGACAATATAAGAGGTTCATAACTTTTATTTCAAACGTCTGTTTGAGGCTATTTCTTCAGTTACTCATTAAATAAAATGGTATATACTCCAGCTCTTTAGTTTGTAAATTCACAATACATTCACCTACAGAAAATGTGACAGTATCACATTATTTTCAAATTTCTGTTATAGCTTTCTGTCAAAAAGTGATACACTCTCATTCAGTATTTTGGATACATCTGGCCTACACACCACTGTTTGTCAAATTGTGATCACTTCACAAATGGCCCATGCCTTAGGACCTCTCAGTGACTTTGTAATGCATTTTTATCATAGAACAATAACTCCTAAGTAATGTTATAATTATGCTAAATGGTACAAGGATATGACTTGTGATAACTTACATTTTATATCATCTGTTCAGACTGAGGCATGCCCTGATGACCTGGGGTGACAAGTTCTCAGGTGGTGAAGTGGATGATGCCTATGACAACTTTGAAATTGATGACAAGGGTTTTATCAACACAGCGAAGCTCATTCAACTGCTCACAGCCTCTCCAGAGGAGGAGGAAGAAGGCGAGGCTGCTTAAATCATCGTCTAGTCCATGGAGAGATCATCACATTTCATCAACATACATTGTGCTATAGAAAAGACACACCTGAATTCACCCCAAAAGCCAAATCTCAGAAATAAAAACAAGCTTGTTTCTTGAGGTCAGTGAAATAACCTGATTATTTTAAAGGTTATTCTCCAGACAAGAAACTATTCCATTTCTTCTAAGGGGGTCTGTTCAGTGGGTCCATCATTCATGAACGCTGGCTGACATCTTGAATGGTCATTACATCATGCAGAAGGTATTCTTACATTGAAGCACAGAGATATTTCAGAAATAAAGCAAGTATAAAAATCATGAGTGTCACTATTCCATGTCACATTTAAGGACCTTCTTTTCATGCTACCATGACAGAACCATCTACAACAATCTGTCTTTGTTCATAAAATGCTTCTACTACTTTTGGGTTAAGATTTTGTATTAAAAAAAAAAAGGAAACCCTGTCAAGCACTAGGAAGGATTCATCATTTTTATATTTAAAGACAATAAAAGTCTCTTGTGCTTATCAGCAGAACAGCCATCACTCTCATAACATTCTCAGTCTTTCAATTCTAGATACTACTTCATATGTTCATTTGTTTAATTATATTCACCATTAATGATTTTCTTCCTTCCACTTGTTACTTTCTACATTCTTCTCCTTCCATTTCTTTTTCTCTCACTCTCTTAATTCTTCCTGTCACATTTCATTTCATATTTAACCAGTATCTGCTGATTTATTTGTGCTCAACACACTGGTTTATGGAGCATTAAGAATCATGACAGCATTCAATAAAAAGCTATGTAAAGACATTATCTTTCTTTCCTCTGTACACCTGCAGTCGAGCCACAACTTCATGGCCTCTCACATCAGTCCTCAGCCCTATTCATCCCCCTCCATGTCTGTATGCTATGACACCAGTGGAATGATGATTAGCAGCACAGACAAAAACAAACAAAAAATATATTCGCCCAGCATCACTACCATAAATTGTAAATGGATTGCCCGGGAAATGAAGTCTGAACTCCATAGTTAAGATATGGAGCCTATCTGCTAAGGTATTGTATTGCCAGCGTTTAAACAGCAGAAACAACATCAAATAAATACAAAGTGGCCTGTAAGTCACTGTTTTGCTAAGAGACCCAATGATATATTAGAAGCCACATGAATCATCCTGTTCGGCCCTGATGCCAAGAAATATAAAATACTCGTAGGAAGAAACAGGATTCATAACATCACAGATGAAGACCATGGATAGGACATGGTTCCCAGTCTGCCTGTGTGCCTCTGTTCAAGCAGACAACAGGAAATGTATGTGTCACTGTGTCATAAATTTAACTTCCAATGGATGGGAGGTAGAGTAAAGATGGGTAATATCTTATTCTGAGTGGCTCATTGCATAATTCATGCTGCACAATGACTCACAATTATGTGGGACCCACTATTCTTATACAAAATATTTAAGTGTTGAATGACGGTGGTTAAGAACCAAAGTCACAATTGCAATTGCCAATATTATAACAATAAGCACTAGAACCGTTCTTTTTGATAATCTAACCTATCTAGCATCTACCTTACATTCTTAATTCTGAGGGCAGTAACAGTATATAACGCATTCTGCAGCTTCTATCCCTTCTGAAATCTGGAATCTACATTCACATATGATACTTCAAGTCATCAGGGTCAATATGGGTGTGAGGTATTCACTGCAGTAAGTATGAAAAGCACTATTATTTGGTGATGAGACGCCTTGCAGTTTGGTAGAACTTTACCGATATTTCAGAGGAACGTACTGCCTCCATCTTCAGGGTCAAAGTTAAGCTAAACAAGTACAAGGAGAAAACAAGCAGCAAGTTGAGCAAATCATGTATGAAAAAATGGTTATGCATAAGCCTGTGTAGAAGCGCAGAGATAACCAGTAGGAATAAGGTTAGGTTAGGTATTGCCCCTGTTGCCCCCCAAGCCCACCTGCACCTCACCCTGATCATTCAGGACACTCTACTCCTCGCTCCTCCCATCTTTCCAATTTGCAAATGAGGCCCTTTTATGGTTGTGTTCCATCACTTCTACTCTTGCTCACTGGTAATCTCTGGGCTCCTACCAGGACCTATAACTTACCATGTTTGCTTTCCAAATGTAGCTCACCTAGCTTAATACTTGTTTCTTGTTCACTGCTTGCTTAGCATATCTTCAGCCATGAAGATGGAAGCAATATGTTCCTCAAAAGTGCCAATGACCTTCTAGCAAACATTACATCCTAAAATACAGTACTATTCATTGAAATTGCTTGCAGTGCTGTTAACTGGTGTTCAACTTTCCTTCAGCAATGCTATGGCTGAGTCACCTATACTTGCATCACATATCAGCTCATTCTTACTCCTTCAAGACAGCTTCCCAAGAGAACACTCAGAAAGTACCAGAGAAATGCTCTGGACTGCCTTGGCTTGACTAAAGCCTTGGTAGTGCCCCATTTCAAAGTGTCCCTTTCATCAGTGACACCAACAACACAATGGGGAAAATACTTGAGACAAGGGCATTATCAACATACCTGAAAGTAAAGTACTTAAATTTTGCATGATAATGAATGTTCAAAAAATAGCCAACTTTGAAATCACTCATGTCTAAAACAGGAAACAATGTGATGGTTCTGCAAAATACAGACATGTTTTACAGTATGACTGACATTAAATATTTATGTACAGTTCTTACATGTTGACCATTACTTTACTGTGTAATAATTTTTTTGTACTCCATTCCATTATATGACTCAGATGCATGGATTAAGCAGGTGTGTCAATGAGCCAACATTTCTCATTCTTAATTTGGCAACGACAAATCTGAGAACCATGTTCTTGATGCACCTGTCTTTCTGACATAATTAATGTCAAATATTTCTCCTTGCCCAGTCAAACGTAATAAGTCACATGAACTGCATCCCTGTACACAAGCTAATAAGCAGTCAAATGTTCTACATGCAGTTTTCAACACAGTCAAATTAATTCTGGAACAGAAACCGTGTGACAATCTAAATGTTTGCAAATATGATCTTTTAAAAATATACATACCATGTAACTGTAAGCATGTGGAATAAAAATATACAGTGTAATAAATATCTTGCATATGCAAAATTCCCAAAATAAAGTACACAGCATCAAAAATGATATATATATACAGGAAGTTACTAAATAAATCAGAAGGCCAGACACATTTAGAGTGCAAGTGATTAAAGTTAAAACTCAGGAACGAAAATAGCTATAAATAACTCATGGTGCAAGCGTATAGGATGTACTCAAACACTGAACATAATAAACATGAAAAAATACTGAAGAGTCCTATCTTGTGGGATATAACGCCATGCAATCTGTTGAAAGGTAACAGATGTTTCCGAGGAACATGTCACCTCCATCTTCAGGGTGAAGCAGGTAGCAAACACAGCTGTGCTCAATTAATTAAGCACCACGCCATGAGGATGTATGGAGGAGTGGAGGTATAGTTACACCATTCTTGACTTCAGCACAAGATGGAGGTGGGTGGTCAGCTTCTCATGGAACTTATGAACATGCAGCAAATAGGAAGGTCAAGAGAACTTCTGACTTGAGGACTTAATCTTCTTGTGACAATGAGAAATGTAAATGCTTGTTATTAAAGCATTAGCCCTTTTGAAGCACCTTTGAAGTACTTTTAAAACCTCATTTGAAATTTAAACAATTTAATAAAAGATGGCAGTCTTAATTTACAAACTTCAGTATATTTCATGGTTTCTCTTAAATGATGAAGTTAATGGCCCTTCTGAAAACTTCCCTGTTCTTTCTTTTATGTTCTGGTTTGAGAGCCAGGTGGTAACTATTACACAGGAGATTAATAGATTTGTAATCCTGCAATCTCCTGTGGACACAGTATGGAACGTTACTCTGTTGTTAGTTTTATGTGAACAGTCAGATTGTTCAACTGGTAGTTGTATGAAAACAATGGTGCGGTAAAAGTAATTTATATCAGAGCATCAATCATGCAATTGATACGCAAATTATTATTACAGTTGTTCTCGCTGGAAAGATTAAACTTGCTGACACTGCATATCATGCATCAACACTCTGATGCTTTGATTTTAATAAATGTTATACCGGCATTTAATGTTGCTCCTCTGTCCTCGAAACAGTCAGCATTCATGTTCCTACCCCAAACCTTACAAAACTTTACTATGTTCAGTTGCTCCTCCAGCCACTGTTCTTCAGCTAGATGTGTTTCTGCTGCAAATGCAGTTTGTAAACCTACAGATCTCTTTAGAAACTCAGCTTTAAATATAAACCACCTTAACAGACGGCTTTTTCCTTGTTTTTTATTGTTCTGACATTGTGTTTGTGTTACTGCTGTTGTATTCGTATTCCTGCTGACTCTGTAACTGGCTACTCGCTGACAAGCCCAGCATGTAAATAAATACAAATTTAAGCGAATGAAATCATCATCACCACCACCACCGCTACCAATGTTATTATTGTTGCTGGTACTACTGCTGCCCTAGTTGAGGGGCTATGCTACAATCCGGAAGGTCGCGGGTTCAAGTCCCAATGAGGTCATTGGATTTTTTTTTCAGTTTACCTAATCCTTCCAGCCACACTATGGCCCTGGGGTTCACTCAGCCTCTAACAGAAATGAGTACCAGGAATTAATTAAATAATTTTCCTGGGGAGTAAAGTGCGGCCGGCACATAAGGCTGACAACTTTACTGCCACCTATGAGCCAACTGTCTAGACAATGTGGGACCCTCAACGTCTCGCAACCATATGGGCCTTCACAGCCTCTTACAGGGATAGCTTTACTTTTTTTTTTTTTGCCTTACTACTGCTACTATTGCCTCTGTCATTACTGCTACTAGGAAACTCTGCTCTCTGTGAGAGTAAGGAGCATAAGTTTCTGCACAGCCTGTGGCCTGCTTTGACATACATATTTCTCAAATGACATAACGTGAAAAGTACCAGCACCTTTGACGTCCTTACTTACAACTTCAGAGTTTCCCCCAAAAAACTGTGTTTCTAAAATGAACATCATAAATCTGAGAAGACAGGTGTAACATCCTGCCCTAGCATTTAACGCTACCTCTGTGCATAACTGATGTAAGGTACAAGATACATTCACATGTAACCAAAACTTCATTATTACATGAAAAATATTAATATTTCATATGTAATTCTTTGCAAAGCGAGAGCCAAAAGTGAGAACATAGTTACTTTACTCAGCCAACTAGTACAGTGTGAGGAGGCAGGATAGTGTAGTTGGTACAGTGACTGACTACGGGCTGCACAATCTAGGGGTTGGGGTTTGAATACAAGTAGATCAAGAATTTTCTCTTCTGCACATCGCCCACATCGCCACCCAGCATCCTATCCAAAGAGTATCTGGGGTAAAGCTGCCAGGGTGTGAAGTAGACCACTCACCTCCAACTAGTACCAAGGCCAACAAAAACCTGCATCTCTACACCCACTCCCCATATGTCAAGTACAGGGGCAATTGCATTTCTTACTGGTGAGATATCCATCCATTTGGGTGAAATTCTGTACTTTTATGATTGTAGAACATTGGCAGATGAAAATAAAACAATTTACTTACTGGACAACAGATGTCCTCAGATTGCATGTATGTTCTATGATCTTTCTGAAGCATTAAATTTGAAATCTCTACATTGAATTCATAGATATTTTGGATGCTTTAAAGAGTAAGCTAATGGATAATTTTGTTTAAAATTAATGATTTGGAATATTCAGCTAATGTGAATTAACAGGAATTATGTATGAAGCAGTTATGTATGTGATTTGTTCAAGNCTGGAGGAACTGAGGAAACCCACAAAAAACCTTAGACTTCAATATATTGTTATGGGTAGAATGTTATTACACTTACATGACATTCCAGTTAACAGGAAGTTCGCATTTTAGTACAGCATGAACAGAGGACTTCAAATTGGCAGGCATAAAGACATGATATACTGAAAGACCAAATGTTACACAGAGCTAATAAGTGTGATGATGTAACAGAATTTTTCTTTTTCAGGTTCCTGTGAACATAATCGAGCCCAATGAAGGAAGGACTTTTAATGAAACTTGAAAGGTGGCACATAGAACATTTATGTTCAGAAGATACGATGGAGTGGGTGATTCAATGACACATCAAATGGAATGAGGCAGGGGGAGGGGTATGACAGTAAGAAGATGAAAACCGCAACGTTTCCACCAAAGCCCTTGATTTCTGTAGCAGACAACATTACAGCTTCAACTGTCCCTCAGCAGTAAAGAAGGTGCTGTACCACTCATACCATATCCAGGGTAGCAGTGCATTTCACTTACACTTGCCTATTCATATCAAGTTATTTTATTTTATATAAAAATGGCTGATGCTGTTCCTAAAGATAAGGTAATAAGGAGTATTTCATTTTTAAATGTATGATGTTTCACATAAAAGTGGTGTCCTAGGCCTTTCAAAAATGTTCTGCTCTTCATTATAATCTGTGTGTAAAGTGATAAATGGAAGTATATAATTTGTAGGTTACTTAATGATGTTTTGTCAGATGCAGAGGGTTCTTGGTTTATTTACCAATATTTTGTTGGCTGCATGTGTTACATAACACTGAATTCAAAATGTGATTATTATTTTCTCTGTCTAAAACTTCTTTCAAAGTGCACCATTATCAGAGAGTGATAGAGACAGTTATGTCTTCATTACAACCAATGAAGTCTTCTCAGGCAATCAGTGCAGAGTTTGTGTCTGACGCATTGGAGACTGGCTCTATCTCCATCATCAGGGTTGATGTATCAAGTGCCGTGTGGCATGCTATATTTGTCATATTGTTAATGCAGTTAAATGTGTATTTCTTTCTTGGTACGCCTGTCAACAGGGAACTTCAGTCACCTTACCAGAACTTATAATAGTCGTTGTAAACAATTCTGTTTTTACAGTACAGGCTTTCCTGTTTACTGATTTTGTAGCAATCATGAAGAGTATCTGCATCAGTGATATTGGTAATATCAAGCAGCAAATGAGAGGAATGCAAAATTAAAATTATGTAAATGGTCAATGAGATGTGAGACAATGAAATCTAATCATATTGTTGATTTTATGTGTTTCTAACAACAAGACCCTTTAACTGTTATAGAAGAAGCGCAAAAGTGAAGTGAAAAAGTCGGATCTGCCTGATGCCAAAAAAGCTCCAATAGCTGACCCCAGCTTGGCAGGTGCAAAAGAAAAAGCAGATGGACGAAAATCTTCTGCCATGCCCAAAACCGCACCCAACCCAAAGTCTGAAGCAAAAATAGACGCTCTGTCTGCAGAAGAAACACCAAAACCAAAATCAATTCTGAAACCTCCTGTGGAATCAATACCTACACCATTACCTAACTTGAAACCTGCAGCCACTGTTCAAAGCAATGAAAATGAAACTCCAAAACCAAAGCCTGCTTCAAGACCTGTTGCTACTATTGAAGATGATGCTGAAGAACGTTCTTCAGAATACGCAGTTGCTACAGTGGAAGTTGCTGAAAAAGAACCACAACTGAAACCAGTTACCGGAGCTGAGGTATTTGACAATGAAGGTACTTCAAAACAAATTCTGAAACCACTTATATCAGTGAAGAAGGATGGAAATGTCACATCTCTATCTCGCAAGAGCAGCTACATGGCACCTAAAGCAGCTACTAGGAGGGAAGTGGAACTGCTTTATGACCTGGACAATGAGAAGCTTGCTGAACTCAAAGAGGTATGTGCAATTCTTGTCTTGCTCTCTTACACCTAAGAAATTAAGGATTAAAATGCATAAAACCATAACTTCCAGAAACTAGAGCATATGTTGAGGATATCTGCAAATAGAGGACAAAAGATAATTTTTAATGTAAGCGAGATGCAGCAACAGTGGCCTGAAGGACAGAACATGAAGCAGATCTTTACAATTTATAATCTTTACATAATAAAATTAGGCGTTTTATATCAAAAAGGATGAGCTAAGTGGAATATATGTTGGGAAATCTTAATGGAAGATATCACTAGACAGACATATGTGCAGTTTGGATGATGATATTAAAAGAGGTGTATTATATTTAAGCATCCTGTTGCACTATACACTTCTGTATGTAATAATACAAATGCCGTCATGAATGCAACAATTTATTTGGTTGTAGATCTTTGTCTTTTCTTCCTCTACACTACATGTTTCGGCCATAATTGGCCATCATCAGGTGTATTTTTCACTACGTAGCTGTCACAATGCACACAGTCCAAAATCTAAAACATCAGCCTGTCAGTTTTGTTTAAAATCTCGCCAAAACATGCTCATCAATTTGATTTTATAATTCCAGTTTAAAATTTAAAATTTCTGAAATTTAAAGTTTTAAAGTTTTAAATCACAGGGATACCCGCTCTGTGTCCACATGTGCTGCAGCAGCTATTTCTTGTTTTCAGCATCGTTCATGTATTGTTCTGTGCAGGCTCCCTGTGTCTCTGTGTGTGTCGCTGCTCATCTTTAATACACACACAGGGAGCCTGCACAGAACAATACATGAACGATGCTGAAAACAAGAAATAGCAGCTGCAGCAAATGTAGACAGTACTCAAAATTTTAAAACTTTAAATTTTGATCTTTAAATTTTAGAAATTTTAAATCTTAAAATGAAATTACAAAATCAAATTGATGAGCGTGCGTTGGCAAGATTTTAAACAAAATTGACAGACTGATGTTTTAGATTTTGGACTGCGTGCAGTGTGACAGCTATGTAGTGAAAAATACACCTGATGAGGACCAATTACGGCCGAAATATGTAGTGTAGAGGAAGAAAAGACAAAGATCTACAAACCAAATAAATTGTTGCATTCATGGCGGCATTTGTATTATTACATATAGAAATTAAAAGAAGTATTAAATAAGCATATGAAGTGCATTAGAAAATGGCCCAATGATGTGCCATATGAATCCAGTTCACATTCTCAATCTCTGTTTCTTAATGATTCACTTTTAATACTATCCTCTCATGTGGTGATTAAGCATATTGATTGTTTTATCTCATTCTGAATTTCCTTTTATAGGCCTTTCACTTGTTTGACCTGAACCACGATGGGTTTATTGATAAAGATGACTTGAAAAACACATACATCTCTCTGGGAAAAACACATATATGTGATGAGGATATCCAAAACATGCTGTCTGAGGTATAGTATGAATTGCCTATCATATTAAGACCATGTCTTGCACAATTTCTGAACAGAACACGTTCCAGTACCATTCTTTCTATTCACTGATAAAGGGATTTGGCACATAACTCCAAACCTGACTGCAGTCAGTTAAAACTTCCACAATCGAGCCATTGGTGTTGCCAAGATTTATCTTTCTTCTCTTTTGTGTGTGGGGGGGAGGTCGTTTTTTCAAGAAGAGGAAACCAGAAGATTTGCTTACAAAGTTATGTTTAAGCCATTTAAGACTACTTTTACTAATCACTCTAGTGTAGTCAGATATAAAAATATTTTTCTTAAACAATTTTGACTGTTGATAATAATATTCAGTATATTTCTTCCTTCCTTTGAATTCTGAATCCTTTACAAAAATCCAGGATTGGAAGCAGATGCCTTGCTTACCCTCCTCACCTTCCTGGCACCCATGCACAGAGCTAACTAGCCGTGAGTTTTGAAACTTCTGTGCTATCATATGTACACCCATGTCTTCCACCTTGTGCATGCAGCCATCATTATATGGTCAGCAACAGAAATAAAGGAACCCTCTCAGCAATGTTACGAAATGAGAAACGTGACAGACTTAAGAACACTAGCCATTATATTGTCCTTCTTCAGAATTTACTAAGTTCTCTATCATGAGAGGGCCAAGCAATCATGATTAAATTCTATAAACTTATGCATTATAGGGTATTACTCAATAATCTGAACTCTGGACACTAAAAAATTAATAGATGTTCAGCAAAGTTTAGGAAATTAAATGTAGCTAATTAAAAAATAAACATTTCCATTTCAGGCCATAAACCCTTTAGACTTTGATGCCTTTGTGATTCTTCTTGGATATAAATCAATAGAACTGGACCCAGAAGAAGTTCTTCTAGAAGCACTGTCACAATGGGACTATGACAACTGTGGTTTGATCTCAGAAGAAAGGTGAGTCTGTAATCAACACTTTTACTCATGTACCCAAGTATATTCTGGAAATAAACCATCTGCATTGCCAAACACAAGAATTATAACGTTCAAGTTAATATCAATGTCATTTTCTCCAAAGGTTAATGTACTTGTATAAGACAATCTTTACTTCTGACTAAAATTGGGACAATTCAGTACCATATCATATCCCCCCTACACCATGAAAGCGTATGGGGAAGTAGATGTATAGATACATATTTCCTTTACTTCGGCACTAGCTGGAGGTGAGTGGTCAGCTTCACTCCCCGGCCGCTTTACCCCCGGGAAAAGAGCCCCCAGTACCAATTGGATAGGAGATTGTGTGGGCTCCGCAGCCATGCTGGACGACATGGAGAAGTGAAAATTCTTGACTCCACCAGGACTCAAACTCTGAACCCTCAGTCAACCAGCCAGTAGCCAGTTGCTATCCTGACTGTGCTATCCCGGCACACAATAAAGAAGTAATAGTTGTAAATAATTTTACTTCCTATCAATCTTTCATATTCTTGCTTTCTCAAAGATTTTCCACGAAAATTCTGTACGCATTCACAGTCTCCTTAATCTGAACTACATATGACCCATCTTAATTTTCTTAATTTCATTACCCTAATAATAGCAAATGGACTGAATAAATAATAAAGGAAACTGTTACACAGTAACCTTCAGACACCACTTCCTTTAGTCTTCTTAGGTCAAAGTTTCCTGAGTCCTTGTTTTAATTCAAAACACATGCAAACAGATTCTGAAGGCTTATGACAGTGGTGTACAATACTCAGAATTACTGAGTTTTTGGACTTTGTCCATCGTTTAGTATTCCAGAAAATAGAAAACACTTTATTTGGGGATGATACTCTGTGATTTGCATCTCATGAGTAAAGTTACATGACTGAATTTTTAGGCATTCTAATTTCCTTAAGGAAAGGTATACACTGGGTCCATACCAGTTGTGCAAGTAGATTCTAAAGGATTCGGATAATGGTGTATAATACCTAGACTTTGTTCATTATCCAGTATTCTAGAAACTAGTTTCTAGAAGAAAAAAGTAAAAAAGTTAGGCTATCCCTGTACCAGGCCGTGAAGGCCCATAGGGTTGTGAGACGTTGAGGGTCCCACATTATCTAGACAATCGGCTCAAAGATGGTGGTAAGGTTGTCAGCCTTACGCACCGGCCGCGCGTTACTCCCCAGGAAAATTATTTAATTAATTCTTGGTACTCCTTTCTGTTTGAGGCTGAGTAAACCCCAGGGCCTAGTGCGGCTAGAAGGATTAGGTCAACTGAAAAAAATCCAATGACCCCATTGGGACTTGAATGCAGTTTGAAAACAAAGAACTCAGGAACATAAATATTTCTAGGCTGATTCTTTTTATTATCATGTCTTCACACGTGTATATATGAATTTAATATGGTAAATATTTTTCCTAGAATCAAACATGACCTGATGATGTGGGGTGATAAATTTTCATCAGATGAGGTATGTAAATTTATTCTATATTGTACTGAAAAACTATTGCATCGCCTTGACATAAGAACTGTCTTGTAAGTGATCAATATCTCTTGCAGGTTGAAATGGCACTAGAAGATGCACCAGTGTTTTACCAGCAAAATACTGGTGCCTCCATGATTGACTATGTAAAATTCTGCAAGATACTTTGTGGATTGCGTAAAAAGCCCAAGATGCCTCAACCAGGGTATTATGAGCTTCCAAAATGAAAAACAATACAGTTCATGTGGCTTATTTACCACAACAATTTGCCAAAATTCCAATACTGATGTCATGTCTATGTACTATGAATAAAAGTTACATGAACTCATGTCAATGCCACTGCAAAAGATCAGTCCTATCATCTTGTCCATGCCACTGACATAATATAGGGAATCATTGACTGAGAAATGACCTTATACAGGAAAGAAACCATAAGTTATACGAATGAAGCTTGTAACAACTATACGTTCATTTAAATAATTAATTTGTTTTACTATTTAAAGTACCATGTGAATATTTCTTCCCCCTTGGTTTGTCTCTACATTGTCTCCACATTTAGCTTCTCAAGAAGGATTCAGCTCCATCAAGTCAGCTAATAGTACTGCATACATTCTTGTATAAATTATAAAAGATGTTTTATACACACACACATATATATATATACACTTATTAGAAATGTTCATATTTAATTAAACTACAAAAAAATAAACAAGACTTCTGTTAGGGAACCACAACTATATAGTATAAAGAAAGTTTTGGTTAAATGCAAGCTTGAGATAACACATCTAACAAAGTTGGACAGACTGGTTGGTGTCCCACCTTGTCAGATGTACAGAGACTCACTAATTGGACCTTGAGAAGTTAGAGGTTAGTAGAAACAGACATTACATTTGTCTCCAGTTAGCATAAATAGGAAATAATCCACAAGCAGTGGTATCATTATGTAAACAACTCATCCCACTAGAAGGAAAGCAAAGATAAGTATTTTAAAGGTCAATTCAGGGATATATTTAGTCAAGATAACAAAATACCAAGCACTGACCTGAATCTGAGTATTTGATAATTTTCAAACACTGGTTGCAGAGTAGAAGAAAGTTTCAGACTGGACAGAACACACAGGATCATGATATATATAATCTCATAATCTTTAGATAGTTACATGCAAGGAACCTATACAAACTCTGCAACTTCACTGCCTGATAACACAGCATGACACACCAGTGGCCTCAACTGCTTCCTCCTCTGGAGCTCCTGACTCTGTGCTAGTATGTCAAGTGTAATTGCAGAATAGAGTGAGAAATATTGAAATAACCCAGCAGAAACATATTACCGATAACAGCATCTACAACATAACCTATAAAAGAGCAAGATTAAAACTAGGGAACTCCTACAAGGTAAGCTATCAGCACATTACATACACAACTACATACAAATAAAGAGGAAGAAATGCAAATCAAATGACCTTGTAATGCTACCCAAGGTTGTTTTGAAACTAGAAGGTGAGCTTATAATTCAATAGAATGTCATCTCCAATAATAGTTTCCCTATAGTATTCCAGGTGCCACATGGTACTATCCTGCAGGGTTCACTTTCAGTCTGTTTTCATTACAGTGTTTTCTTCCTACCTGGCAGGATAGTGTTCTGGTGATTTTCTGAGTGACAAAGCACCATCCAGCCTCTTTTTTTCTCTTCTTTTAAATACACTTATGTGAAATAAAGTTCCCATGGCTCGTTCCGTTTCTGACCCCTGAGATGGAGTGTCAGTCTTGTAAGGAAATATGCATATGTTTATTTCATTAGTTGTTTGTCATGTAAGTCTGCATTTAAAAGTGTAAAGCTATCATTAAATGATGAGAATAGCTTCATATTATGATTAATGTTAATTTCTTTCAACCTGAAACCGAATGCTGGACTATCCTGACATTTTTATTCTTAGGACTAAAACCCTGCTTAATGATTACTGTTTCAGTATCAGAGTTTCTTGCAATTACATTAAAAATGCAGGTACATGTAACTCCATACATTTTCTGGAAAAAAAAATCGTAAGTGAAAAGAAAAAGGAATTATGCCAAATACTAACACTAAAAATTAAAATTATTAAAAAAATACTCTTCTGTCCTGAATAGAAAGACTGATGTGTAAGAATACTTGCAATTGGCTTACGCAATAGTATATAAGCAATATTTCTGGCTGTTGCCCTTCCCCAAAATAATGTTGGGCAGCGCCCTCTTAATCTAAGTAGTAGACCATTCTACCTTATTTTCGAGGTGTTCTCATTGATTATGGGGTTATTTAATGGCACTGTTTCAATTTCCAAACTTATATGGCACAAAATGAGATGGAAACAACGTGGGTGAACACATAAGAACTTTGAAGATACAATGTGTAATCCACCCAAAGACAGTGAATAAAACTACTAAAAATTTCCATTAAAATAGTCTGTAACCATGCATCACCAGAACTCGGTACATCATGCATACAGGTCTTGGGCATTACCGCTACAGTATGCTTGGTGTGGATATCCTATTTTTAACAATGCTGTCAGTAACTCAAGACTACATAACGCTGGATGACTGGTGAACAGTAAATTGGAAAGGATGTGGAAGAAAGTAACCATGGCCTAACAGACTGAGGAAAACCATGGGAAACCTAAGCCAGGACAGTCGATGTCCAGACCAATATTCAAACCAGGTACCTCTAAAATACAAGTCAGATGCATTACAGCTTTAGCCAACCTGATAGGTGGAATGGTCCTGTTCCTCCACCAACTTCTATAACTATGTTTTAAAGAATAACAGATAGTTTTAATATACATAGAAGGAAACATAAGTTTATAGAGAGGAATATAAATGCATTCTAGCACCAGCAGATAATCACATTTACTCATTAATACCAAACTGCTTTAAGGCCTCCACATGCAAGGTTCTCCCATGATTTCTGTTTGATACAGGGTCCTCCACAAGATGAAAGTATATAAATGTATTTTCATGTAGTTCTGTTACCTGAAGATGGGAGCTGAGCTGTTGCCGACTGTTGTGGCATTAGTGAGTGCCCTTCTTTCCATCCCAGTATGTTACGGCTACACGCTGCTGTGTGAGTCACTCTCACAAGTGGAGATGCTAGCAGTGGCTGGAGCTATCATGACAGCAGTGGTGGCCATCTCTGCATTCTTAACTAAGGGAAAGGTTAAGAATAAGATGTATTATGGTAAGGTATATACATTACAGGAACTGGAAGTGTCATAACACTAAGCCGGGAAAGGCTGAATAGCTATCCCACTGCTTGGAATTACCGAGTTTCTGGACTTCGTCCATCTGAAACAACAGTGTGTCAGTAACCTGAATCTGTGTCCATCCTCAGGTGGAGTCATCTCAGATTACCTCTCCTCACACATCAGTTTCTTAAACAGTGTGTTCATTCAGAATATTACATAATGGATGAGGTATGGAAACTTAATAATTCCAAAGTAATACACCATCAGCATCCTTTACAATTGACTTGTCTCCATACTCTCGACTTCTCAGCCTCTTTTTTAGGTTATATCAGCCTTATGGAAATTAAAATATGTGTGGGAAATGCAAAATGACTATGCAAAATGGGTTAAATATATTTATAAAAGAGTGGGGCACATATCATGCATTCATGAAATAAGGAAGACATGCAGAAGTTGGCTTCAAAAACCCCAGAAGCTCAACATGTAGATAGGAAGATGTTAGATTTGATGTTTTTAGAGACGAGATGCCCACTTCTTGCTCATTACTTGTGTAGACTATCTCTTATCCAGAAGATGAAGGCAGTGCTCCTCTGAAATGTCAGTGAACTTCTATTGGACTATGCAGCATTACAATGCAGAAAATAGTCTGGATCTTAGGAACATACATTAATGGACGTTTCGATTCCATGGAGTATTTTTGAATATTTACTGGCATATCAGGTAGTTAGATCATGGGAGAAAGTACACACACACACAAATAAATGGGCATAACACAGTACAAAACCAAATTGTGGCTGGACAGGCTATGCCAGGTCTGTAGTGTTCAGCAAGGAACTTCACTAACTTTGTTAAACACCTGGATGTATTGGGGTTTTATCAATGGCAATAGCAACTGTGGATCATTTTGTTGCCTGCATTGTTCATGATGGCTCAATCTCAACAAGAAATTCCCCACATTGTACACAAAACAAATATTCATTACTGTGTCACAAGGGCCAACCACTTTTCTCCCCATTTCTTTAAGACCCCTTTAGTAATAACTGCTAAGTTTTCCGAGTGGTTTCTTCTCTTCAGATTTCTTGTTTAAATTAATGCATATCTCTTCTCCTCCATGCATGCTACATGTCCCATCTTCCTCATCCTCCTTCATTTGATCATCTAGAGGTCAGATATGATAATATACTAAACTTTACCTCCATGTCCCCAATATGCCTTCTATCAAGAATCATGATGTTGCATAGGTACACACTCACACTCATGGAACTGAGCCCTTCTCGAGAAGCCGCCAATTCTGCAGCTACTCAAGAATTTCCCAGCATTTTATGGAACCAGAAGGTTCATTACCGTGTTAAAAAACCCTCCACTGGTCCCTATCCTGAGCCAGATCAATCCAAACCATACCATCCATCCTATATCTCTAAGATCCATTTTAATATTGTTCACCCACCTAATCCTTGGTCTTACCACTGGTCTCTTTCCATCTGGCTTTCCCACCAATATTCCATATGCATTCATCTTCTCCCCCATTCGTGCTACACGCCCATCTCATCCTCCTTGACTTGATCATTCTAATTATACACAGAGAAGAGTACAAGTTATGAAGCTCCTCATTATGCAGTTTTCTCCAACCTCCTGTTACTTCAGCCCAAAATATTCTGTTCATCACCTTGTTCTCAAACATCCTCAGTCTATGTTCCTCCCTTAATGTCAGAGACCAAGTTTCACACCCATATGAAACCACACGCAAAATTATAATTTTGTATATTCTAATTGCATCGGTACACATATGCATTTAATTCTCCATGATTTGTATAATGGATATAGACATATACAATATATTTCCTTTTAACAAATATACAAACCTTTTCAATATAAACTTACATACATACAGCATATTACTACCTAACATGTGCACATTCTATCAAAATTGATGACTTGAGATAAGAATTGTAGGATGTTTATTGGTTACAGTATGGCCATAGTTACACTGTGCACGATGCTTCTGCAACCACTGCTCTGCTACCTATTGTCATACTTCTCAATGTTTAATAACACTGCCTGTAATTTAGCTTTGATTAAATTAATATAAAAATGACTAGATGCAAGTTAATGATTCCCCTTATTCATCATTGGTCTAAAGCAGAGCTACTGAATATCTCAATAATGGGTATTATTTCATTTTCCATTGCAGGTTTTTCTCTCTTCACTTTCACGGCAGTAATTGATATAATTGGTGGACTGGAGGCAGATGGCATTGTTCATGGGTTCATGACAACATACCTGAAGCATGGAGAGCCCTACCTCCTGAGTGCATGGGGTGCTGTGGCATGCTATTGGGACGGAACAGTATTCCTCACATGCTACATCATTATGGTATACCTCTCGAGTAATGGGTAATCACAAATACAATTAATAATAGAATATACATGCATGTTTAACCTACAACTCAGCACTACTATGTTCCCTACATTATGATGTACAATCTGTGAAATGGTTTCATTCATTCATATGCAGTGCTTGCAAGATAAGAAACACACTGTAACCATGTTTAAATGATATAAATACCTGCGCTCAAATTCAGAATGCAAAATATTATACAGATAATATGAAATTGAACTTATATTAAACTTTACTTACCATGCTTTAGATTTTGTCACTCTCAACAGAGTGCGCAGTAGATGTGGCCGATTCCGCTGACTGAGATGGGGATTGTAGTGTATGTACAGGTTATAACAGGGCCTTAGTTGTAATGTGTCACACTCCCTTGTACAATGCAGTGGCAACCACTGCCCTGCTACATCTTGCCATACTTCTCCTCACATCAACCCAGAAGCCAGATCTAAGAAAGTAGCCAGCAAATATGTCATACTGAATAATGTGACTAGAACATGAATTTCAGGTTAATTTAAATACAAAAAGTAAAGATTTTCAAAATACAACAGACAACATTGGCAGATAAAAGTGTCAGTCAGGGGACAGCTTCCATACCCACATTATAAGTGAGAATGACATTTATCTAACATTCAAGTCCTTATTATGCATATAGTATTTAAGCAGTCACTAAAATATTTATTAAACACCTAAACATGCAAAAATCATACTTTATTATTATGTCACATCTTATCTCATGTCTAAAGTCTGTGTTTCAATTTGATACTTAGGAGAAGCTATCGAACATTAGGCCTGCACTGGTCCTCCAGCATCCTCAACAGCATGGTCGTATTACTACTGGGAGCCTGTCTCAGTGAGTCAGGTCCAGGCTGGTGTACCATCCTCAATACACCCTATGTGCTCTTCCCTCTGGCAGTGGCTGTGCAGTGCCTGGCAGAGACGCCATCACACCAGCCACAAACAAATGGCAAACCATCCTGGCTTGACAAAGCCCTGGTTGTGCTACTGATAGAATCATCACTGGCCGCCCTGCTCAAGGGACTGGTAAGTTCTTGCCAGTCCTTCACAGCCAAGTTTCTTAGCAGAGCATGCCCTCAAAGTCAACCGTAGAGTGACAGACTAAATAAATTTAGGGTTTATACAGAACCAGTGTTATTACATTCGAATGACTACTGTAGTTTAAGAATAAATCCCCCATATCATGCAACTGGTAGCTTAATTTCTCTTTGTTCATAAGCAATGCAATTACAGTCCTGTTTCTTGATTTTATAATGCCCAACAATTTTAACTGCAACTATTATTTTTGACACTGTCCATTGTCCTGAATTGTTTCAAACATATATTAGAAAACAGATCTATTTTCATGATTAGATGTAAGGAAAGAATGGTTCGTACTCTGTAGGGCCCACTGGAAATAACTAGTCTCATCCCCCCAAAGTGACGTGGAAACTGATCCAGTTCAAGGAACATCATCATTGAATCTTTTATACTTCGCTTAACAGTTTTCTAGGTTACTATAAATAAAGTTTAATGTTCACATCTAACATGTTTTCAGAAGCTGCTCATTTGATTTAGGTGGTAACATACTCTCTCCAGATAACCTCAAGAGTTCAGTGACATCATAAAACATCTGTATCTTCCTAGAGTCCCCTGCTTCAGCAAATCCTGTCTCTTCAAAAATAACATCATTCTCCACAATAAACAATTTAACATTCAAATCTGGGACTCAACCCTAAGTAGTCATTTTCAGAGCTCCAATATGGACATGCAGCTTGGTGAGGAGAACAAGAAATGCATACAGAGCTTTGATGTGGGAAATGTTTTTGAGGTGGTCACAAAGAGAGTTAAAGAATGATTGGTGGTGGGGGGAGATAGTAAAGAAATGTCATTTGGTATTAGTGTTGAACCTTCATATTTCACTGTTGGACAGTTACTGACAAGTAAATTAAGCATAAATCATGATACAGATAAGCTACTTGAACTTTCTCATTCATTTCTAAATTGTGGTTTGCTGAAAACTTCTACACATTGACATTTTCTTTTTTAATTTATAAGCCATCATTTAACAATGAACATGCAATCGTTAATAGACAAACACTTCATTCACTAACAAAGTTAACTGTACATAGAAATCTGTCCTTCACATTTTCATATTAATTGTTTCCCTTTCAGGCCACATGTGGCAGCAAACTATATATACCTAACTGGTACCGCACAGTGGCTGAACCAATCCTTGAAGAGCAAAAACCAGCACCATTTGCAGCCATTCAGGGACTTGTTACTCTATTTTACTTCCTCCCTGGCTATTTGGCTGTGGCATGGGGATTAATGACCAACCCAGGACAGAGATGGCTGCAGGATCTAGCTGTCATTTTAGCTGGAGCCTCATTTAATGTAAATGACTACAACTAACTTTAGAAAATTTTTATTCCTATAATATTATATTATAATATCCTGTTGCACATCCCATTCGTACTCTAGACACACAACATAATAGGAAGAGCCATACAGACCCATGGAATACACAAACACGTAGATGAGACTACACATCAAATATTAAAACCATAAAATCAAAGCACAGCAGTTTTTTCCAACAGTTTTTTAAAACACCTGATGATGACCAATGTCGGTCAAATCATATACTGCAATGTACAGAAACTTACAAATAAGGTGTAAAAAGATGCAGTGATGTGATTTAAGGAACTTCTAAATAAGTTTTAGAAGGACGCATTGCATGTACAGTGGTAAATCAACGACATTTGTTGAATAATTTATGCACATGGTTTCTTGTTTCAAGAGTCCATGCTTTAATATTCCATCTGTATTTCTCTGGTGTTACAGAGAACAGGGTTAAATCCTGGAATTGCACTTTCTATATCAAAATAATAAATCAAAATTTCTCTAGTGTTATGAAAAAGAGGGCTATGTCACCAAATTTCATTTTTCAGGAGAAGAAGAAACAGCTTTGGGTGTTCATGCAATAATGTATTTAACTCAATATTTCATTTTGTCACTCAAAGAACAGTGTTATCTTTAGAGATATAACCTAGATTCTATTCTGATTCTTTTGTATTGAGAATTTTATGATACACTTATCTCAGCTGGACCAATTTTTTACTTAACTCTTTTTCTGTAACATCACAGAATTATATTCTTCTCTATGATAACTGAATTACTGCATTGGGTTCATATGAAACACATCAGTAGTTCAAGGTTCATTCTTCCCCTGTGTTCACATAAGATTTTCCAACATGGCTCTTATAGATTTCAGAAGCCTAAGTGTTTTATCTGTGGATGAATGTGTACTTAAGTATCATTTCAGTGCTATTTTAAATTGTGCCTTTTCATTCATAAGACCTTTGAGATCAGATGGCAGGTTATTAAAAATGTAGATCCCAGCATAATATGCACTTTTCTGAAAGCATGAGAGGTTAGCAATTGGTTTATGAAGACAGTGTTTGTCTTGTGTTAACACTGTGTACATCCACATTAGTCTGAAAATGTACTTCGTTATTTGTAATGAAGTTTATTAATGAATATATATATATTCACAAGGCAAAGTTAAGATCTGTAGTCTCTTAAATAGATCTATACAGGAATTACAGGATTTGACACCCATCATGATTATAACAATTTTCTTTTGCAGTGTAAATACCTTTTTACTGTCAGATGAATTACCCAAGAAAATTATTCCATACTTCGTTAAAGAGTGAAAATAATCAAAACAGATTGATTTGAGAGTGTCAATGTTACTAATATGTAACATGAATCTAACTGCATAACGTGCTCTACTTAACTTTGGAATCAACTGACCGATATGGTTTTTCCAGTTTAAATGATTATCAATTTGCAAGCCAAGGAATTTTGTGTTTACTTCCTCTTCTATATATTTATCATTATATCCCATGTTTAATGGATATTGTGGTGAGTTTTTGTTATAAATTTTATTACATTTGTTTTTTCTAGGTTCATGGACAGCTGGTTTGAAGAAAACCATTTACTCATTTGTGAAAGAACCTTGCTTGATAATATGCAGAAATCATCTAAATTTTTAACAGAAATTATAACACTAGTGTCATCTGCAAATATTATAGGTATTGATGAGGTCTTTAGTGTAGGAGGGAGGTCGTTTATATAAATTATGAAAAGCAAAGGCCCCAAAACTGACCCCTGTGGAACTCCATGTTTTATTATTCCCCAGTTTGAGTAGGTACTTTGTATTGAATTTGATGATTTTATTTCAGTCCTTTGTTTTCTATCTGTTAGGTAGTATCTGATCCAACTTAACGTTGTTGAATGCCAAAAGAATGTAATTTAGTTAATAAAATTTCATGATTTACACAGTCAAAAGCCTTTGCCATGTCACAGAATATTCCACCAACATGCATTTTTTATTAATAGATTTCAACACACTGTCTGTTAACTTAAAGGCTGCATTTTCAATGGAAATTCCTTTCCTAAAGCCAAACTGTTCTGGGACTAGTATATTGTTACTCTGAAAATAATGGCTTAACCTACTGTGCATAACTTTTTCAAGTACTTTAGAGAAAGTAGTTAGCAGTGAAATTGGCCTGTAGTTTGACATACCAGTCTTGTCCCCTTTTTTATATAGTACTTCGCTACATTAGCACTGCCAACCATAGAGTCAAGACGTAGGTGGGTGGACAATATTAAAATGGATCTTAGAGGGATAAAATGGGATGGCATGGACTGGATCAAACTGCCTCAAGATAGGGACCAGTGAAGGGCTCTTGTGAACGCGGTAATGAACCTTCAGGTTCCATAAAATGCTGGGAAGTTCTTGAGTAGCTGCACAATTGGCAGCTTCTCAAGAAGGGCTCAGCTCCATGAGTGAATGAGTAATGTGAGAAGAAGCAGTTACACATCACGCCATGTAAGACTATGTGAAGTGTAAATACCAGTGCATCTCAAACTTTTATGATTCATGAATTGGTTATAGCAGCATGTGTTCTGTGGAACAATACCCTGACTGTTTGACATTAATCACCGACAGTACACATAACAATCTACAAATTTAATTACTACAAACTTGTTTATTTTAAATGTAAAAATGAACACATTTATGTAACATTAATATGAAATATACCACAATCACCTACACTGAATGTAAGCTTGCTGTCTAAAAACGTTTGGGTGCCAGCAACATTTATATTAATGGCCAGGAGCACACCACATCCAGTTTCACAGTTATCCTCTCATTTCAATTATCATATAACCAATTCAGTTGATATAGCACTGTTAAATAATTGACTGCTTACAGGCTGGTGGTTCAACAGTGGCAACAGTCTTCCATGGGTTGACAAAACCTGAACACCGACTGCCATCAACCGTGAACCATTCTGCCTACTGGGCTTTCTGGGGTGTCAACACACTCCTCAGTATTGTGCCTCAGATTGTAGCTGTTCGGTTAATGTGGTTACCCGTGCATGTCAGCCATCAAGTTAAAAATGGGAAACAAAAAACTAACAGAAAAGGTCAGGAAAAACAGAAGAAGAATCCAAGAAAACTTAAGGAAAATTAAAATTATGGACTTGTTAATGGACCGCTCATGTTGAAGAGTACAACTTGTGTTCATGTGCCAAGACATTGAGACTAACAGGAAAATGCTTGTAATAAAACAATATCTGGAGGCTTTAAGTCTTTTTATTCCTGAATGCATTTTACCTACACATTTTAGGATGCTTTAGGTTTATGCATATGGTTCTGGTAATTGTGTAAAGTATATTGGATCAGGATTTGATAAAAAGTTTTTTAATTTTATGCTTTCAGAAATATTAGAGAGAGTTAACATCAGTCTATCTGTGGCATAGTATCAGCACCTAAACTGTTAAGACTATTTTTTATTCCTTATCAGACAATTTCACTAAGGCTGCTTTGACATGTTTGAATATTACCAATATTGGGATACAATCACTATACACATACTATACACGTACACTGTAATTTATGCCTTTCACACAACCTCTGATCTGATAAAAATGTTATGACAAAATGACATCAACAAGACTGCTGCTGGAGGGTCAACTAAAAATTGGTTCAATATTTAGTAAAATGTATAAGCACACGCATTCTTTCACATGGGACCTGACTAATCAGTGTAATGAATAAAAGAAAAAGTTTCCCTTAATGTCTTCACCTATTAATATTCTTTCCACCAAAATATGAATGTGGATTTCGAGCCTTTTTTCAGGAATGATAAGACACTTGATCCAATGGTACGTTAAACAGACATGTTTCAACTGTTAAATGAAATTGATGTTTTTCTACAAGGGTAATTAAAGTATCTTAATTCATGTAAAAAAATTAAGGCATTACAAATTAAAATGAATTTATGGATTTCAGGGCTTAATATGAATTCCTGTGCTTGCATTTAAGAATGAAATTGCTTCCCTTTGAATGTTTGTCCTAAGGAACTAAAGATAATTTTCTCAGATTCGGAGCATTTATGAAGAAATTTTCCAAATGTATCACTGGACTGTTTCCTTTGGTCAGAACATTACTTACATTTCAAGCGGGAGACACAAAGATACTGCATAAGACAAATTTACTGAAAGGATACACAATTTAGACATCACATCAAAATTTTCTATCCAATTGGTAATCCAATTTGAAGCTGCAGACTTATGTGATATGAAACAGTGCAAACATTATTTTGTGTATATTATAGAGTACACTGTTCCCCATTCTCGTCTGCAAGCACAGCTCAACTGCATTTAAGAAGGAACCATGTTATCACGGATATGTAAGGAAGGTTTTCTACTAAGCCCTACCCTTGTTGTATGAAAGAGAAACAGGACTAGTTGTCCCTGGGCTTAAAAAATTAATTAATTAAATGCTATGCCATGAAGACATGTTGGGAAGTGGAGATATAGCTTCACCATTCTTGACTTCAGCACTAAATGGAGGTGAGTGGTCAACTTCACAGCTGGACCGCTTTAACCCCGGGGAAAGAGCCCCCAAAGGCGGTCTACATGTTGAGAGCAGAAGAATCTACAGCCCTTGCCGGGAATCAAATAACCGCCGTCCAGTCATTAGCCCATTGCTATACCGACTGAGCTACCTCGGCTCCTGTAAAGAACATTTTAAGCTCAACACATAGATGGCAGCAGTACTACACACTTTGCTGAGAAGAGAGGGAAATCATTTCCGTGATACTACAAGTGTAGAGAAATTAATTCTATATTGGTTGCGCCATCTTCGATTTTTCGCGCGAAAGCTGTTACTAGTCTGAAAGATGGAGGGGTTTGATGATCCTGGTGTGTTTTTCTCAGATAATTTTGCGGCCGGAGAAGCTGATGCTAACCAACTTAATCTTCAGGCAGTGAAAAGGAAGTTCAAGGACTTTCTGAGGAAATTTCACGAAGGAAACTTCAATTATAAGTATAGAGACGAGCTAAAGCGTCAGTACAATCTTCGTCAGTATTGGTTAGAAGTGAACATTGAAGATTTGGCTAGTTTCGACGAGACGCTTGCCGATAAATTGTATAAACAACCTACTGAACATCTTCCAGTGTTTGAAGAGGCCACAAAAGAGGTTGCTGATGAGGTTACTGCTCCAAGACCAGAGGGAGAGGAAGAAGTGGAAGACATACAAATATTTCTGTCCTCTGATGCCAATCCAGCCTCCTTAAGGGATCTGAAGTCCGAGGTAGTATCTCGGTTAGTGAAGATACCAGGGATCATTCTTTCAGCTTCGGGAATTAGAGCTAAGGCAACCAAGATTGCTATTCAGTGCCGTTCTTGCCGAAACATGATTCCTGATCTCCCAGTTAAGCCAGGTCTAGAAGGTTATGTTCTCCCAAGAAAATGCACAACAGAACAGGCAGGTAGGCCGAAATGTCCATTAGATCCTTTCTTCATTGTTCCGGATAAATGCAACTGTGTGGATTTCCAGGTGCTTAAATTGCAAGAACTACCAGATTCCATCCCTCAGGGCGAACTGCCACGTCACCTACAGTTATATTGTGATAGGTACCTTTGTGAGCGGGTTGTTCCAGGCAATAAGGTTGTTATTTTGGGTATATATTCAATCAAGAAAATAACCAAGCCATCTAAACGTGGAGGTCGTGAGAAACCAATTGTTGGTGTGAGGGCACCATATTTGCGTGTTGTTGGAATACAAGTGGACACACATGGTACAGGATTCACAAGTGTATTACCAGTTACATCTGATGAAGAAGAGATGTTTCGCCGCATGGCATCAAGCCCCAGTCTCTATGAACGGATTGCTGCTAGCATTGCACCAAGTATCTTTGGAGCTACGGATATAAAGAAAGCAATAGCTTGCTTACTGTTTGGAGGGTCACGAAAGCGTCTGCCAGATGGGCTGACAAGGCGTGGTGATATTAACATCCTGTTGTTGGGTGACCCTGGTACAGCCAAATCCCAGCTCTTGAAATTTGTAGAAAAGGTGTCACCAATTGGGGTATATACTTCAGGTAAGGGGTCATCAGCAGCTGGTCTTACAGCATCAGTGAACCGTGATCCTGTCACTCGAAACTTTGTGATGGAAGGCGGAGCAATGGTGCTGGCTGATGGAGGTGTGGTCTGCATAGATGAATTTGATAAGATGAGAGAAGATGACAGGGTTGCCATACATGAGGCAATGGAACAGCAAACAATATCCATTGCCAAGGCTGGCATAACAACTACTCTAAATTCCCGTTGCTCTGTACTGGCAGCAGCAAACTCAATTTTTGGGCGATGGGACGATACAAAAGGAGAAGAGAACATTGATTTCATGCCTACTATTCTGTCCCGTTTTGACATGATCTTCATAGTGAAAGATGAGCATAATGAAAGCAGAGACAAAACCCTCGCCAAACACATCATGAATGTCCATATGAATGCTGGTCAGATGACTGACGATGTCGCAACAGATGGAGAACTCTCTCTGATGACAATAAAGAAGTACATAAACTACTGCCGACAGCAGTGCGGTCCACGACTATCAGAAGCTGCCGGGGACAAGTTGAAGAATCGCTATGTGCTGATGCGCAGTGGGACGAGAGAACATGAGCTAGAGATGGACAAGAGGCTATCCATTCCAATCACTGTGAGGCAGCTGGAGGCCATTATTCGGATTGCTGAGTCTCTAGCTAAGATGCAGTTGCAGCCCTTCGCATCAGAATCGCATGTCACCGAGGCACTAAGATTATTTCAGGTATCAACCCTGGATGCCGCAATGTCTGGGAGTCTTGCTGGTGCCGAAGGTTTCACTTCAGAGGAAGATCATGAGATGCTGATAAGAATTGAGAAACAGCTGAAGAGGAGATTTGCCATTGGTTCACAGGTTTCAGAGCACAACATTGTGCAAGATTTCCTGAGACAGAAATATCCAGAGCAGGCTATTTACAAGGTGATCCACACTATGATCCGTCGAGGAGAACTGCAGCACAGGATGCAACGCAAAATGCTTTTCCGTCTTGCATGAACACAGACGTGAATGTGACATTCAGTGTTATCTTTCATTTTATTTGAGATGATTAACATATGAAAGAAAAACTCTTCAGCTTTTGCAGAGAACACATTTAGTGTAGTGTAAAATAGTTTAAAACATAGCTTGATATTTTCTTAATTTTCCGAACACCATATAAGTTCTGTATGTTAAACCTGAACAGCTGTTCTGAGCTATGAAATGGCAGAAGTGATACTTACATCATATAAATAGATGTTGAAACATACTAATGCAATACTCCTAGCATGGTAACGTGTAGTAATATCTCTAGGACCCTGTCTTCTTTTAACACTACAACCTAACTCAGCATACTAAACTAATCTATGAGCTGACTTCTGAAGAATTGTGATTCGAGTCCTGCCACAGGCAAGAGATCTTTTCCACCTCTACAGCTCTAGTCCACCAAGCCTGCTCTCCATTGCATATTGGCATTTATTTCCTCGAGGCAAAGTGTAGTGATCACTCACCTGCATGTAGTACTGAGACTAAGAATGTGTGGGGCTATACCTCTGCTCTCCCATTGATCTTAATGGCATGGTGCTTAATTAAACACAGTGGCACTTTACCTTTAGTGAAAATTAAGTATCATTTAAAATCCATGATTTATTTAAACCGTCTTGCAGTGCATACACTCATTTATCTCCTTCTCTCCCTCGCACTACATGTTTCGGCATAATAATGCCATCTTCAGGTGCTTACTTATCCACGCCAAACTAGTTCATTGCATGCCTTGTCCTCATATTAAAATAACTAAAATATGTATCTATCATATACATTGTCAAACGTTAAAAATATTAAAATTGTTCAGGATACCACATCGCTACGTCGCACCTCACTACGCCAGTCACGCCCATTCTCCTCTGTTGGAGCACTCCTTCACTATCTTGTGTGTGTTGTGCTTTTGTTGTGTCTTGCTCCTGTGACTGCGTGTGTCATTTAAAATATAAACAGCCAGAAGAAACTGGGCTGCTCCCACCACACTAGTGTTTTGAAAGGTGCAGGCAAAGGACTTAAACTGGTTGGTTTCAGATGTGTTCTGTATTGCACTGTAAACTGGAGTGAAGGATAGTGTAAAACATTTGGTATGAAAACACTCAAGGCCTGGTGTGTGATGAAGTGAGTCTTTCATGGATAGGAGGCACTGGTACTCAGACTGGCAATTTTGTCTTGAATTTCCGTATCATTATGGACACATTACTGACAGTGGATATCTCTGGTCTGTGAAAGTGTGTGAATTCCCCAGTATGACCAGCTTACTGGTATGATTCTGTTCTGAGCTCTTTCAAGTCTGGTACCTACATAAAAATGAACTGAGGGACAAGCTGCAAGTTTACATTAGAAATGGTTAATTCTTCTATAACTTTATAAAATATGAGTGAATGAATTTAAGTTACACAGACCTGATGATATGTACATTCTACCTTACACCCATCTATGGAGTCAGTTCAATACTCTGCTGATTAACATAGAACTCAAAGTATAAAGCCATCACTATTGTATTTGAAATTACAAAAATTGTAAATGGAAAGCAAATTTAGTGGATCCATGTCCAAAAATTGCCCAAAGATGTTCTGGTAAGTCATTCAAAATTGCTTGAAGTTTATACTCTCTGTGGATTCATATAATCAGTTACTACTTCCACTGTTGCATTAGGTCTCGCATATTAAACAAATAGCGCACAATACTATGTTATTCAGTGATGCCAACTTTGGATCAAAATCACTGAGGACATTTCAGTAAATATTCCTCTCACTCCATACATGGTTTACTTCATTCTGACCAACATTAAAGACAGTTTAGCAAAGTTTAGATTAGCATAGCCAGGATATCTGCATGCAGCTACAATCGAAGTATAGCATGGTGAAGAACTAGTCACCAACTTTACAAGTTTAGTAATTCTTCGAAGTAGAAAATCACTCATACTCCCCTTGCAATCCATCACATAAAATTTTATCCACTCATAATAAGCAGCTCTATGGTTACTAAATTTGCAGGAACACTTCAGATGAAGTTTTAAGCAGGGTGCAGGGACCAGTATTTCTCACATTTCTAAAGTTTTATATTGTCAGAAGGGGACGAAAAGGAAGGCAAGTGGAAATATCTGCACTGGATCTGCTTACTATTTGAAGACAGAAAAAAAAAAAAATAAAGCCATCTTTGTAAAAGGCTGTGGAAGCCCCATAGGTTTGAGATGTTGAGGCTCCCATATTTTTTTAGACAAACCATAGATGACAGTGATGTCAGCCTTACATGCTAGCCACACCTTTAACCCCAGGAGGATTCCTGGCACAGCTGGTACGATTAGGTTAATTGAAAAATCCAATGACCTCATTGGGAATCTAACCCACAACCTTCCAGCTTGTAGCATTGTGCCTCAACCAACTATGCTACCGTGTGCCACCCTGTGAAAGCAATACAAATTTGAATTTCTGTTCTGCAACAGTACATATAAAAGAGAAAATTATTTCCCCCCCCAGTGGAAAACTTGATTGTCTAAACTACTAATGTGAAAAAGGAAATTGTTTTCTCACTTTCTGCTTCAAATAATGTTCTGCAAAACTCAACTTTCTGCCTGAACAGACAACATAAAACACAAAAATTGTTTTCCAGTTTTCTTCTTCAAATAATGTTCAAGTGGTTCAAATCCCAATGAGGTCATTGGATTTTTCAATTTACATAATCCTTCCAGCCGCACTATGGCTCTGGGGTCGACTCAGCCTCTAACGGAAATGAGTATCAGGAATTTTCCTGGGGGGTGAAGGGCAGCTGGCGCATAAGGCTGACAACTTCACCGCCACATATGAGCCAACTGTCTAGAAAATGTGGGAACAACCCTATGGGCCTTCACAGCCTCTTACAGGGATGACTTTTTTTTTAATAATGTTGAAGTGTGAGAGCTAAGGAAGAATGATGCAAAGAATTACAGTAATAGCAAAGTGAAGAGCAAATATTATACATAAGTTTATTCCAATATAGTGCTACATATGATACTGACTGCTGAATCTCATTCATGAGTAACCAAATATCAATAGATTCTCCTTTATATACAATTTGTATCATCTTATAATAAAACTGTTTAATGAGAGCTCACCAGTCTACATATCTGCCAACAGGAAACACTTCTAAAAGATCCTTGTTTCAGTATTCATTCCTAACATCACATCCAACAAGTAAGACTGACATGCGGGTGAAAATATGGTACAAATTAAAGGGCTGAATATATTACATCAATAAGAAAAAAAGAGCTACTTTGTAATGAACAAAACTCTGTAGTACTGTTTTCTGGGATGCGATGCCATGTAGGCTAGCAGAAGTTTACTGATATTGATGTTCCTCTGAAACATCGGCAAACTTTTTCCTAGTCACTGCTGTGAGAACCTCCAACTGTTCTTTCATGTACCATCCCTGCACTACCTTAGATCAAAGTTATTTTCAGAGGTAAAGCGTATCTTATGGTCTGGAAAAATATGCTGTGTATCGAAAATTATTCGTTTTGTTTACAAAGCTAACAGAGCACAGATTCAAGTGAACCCAGTTATATCCTCCCTGAATAATGTCAGAAGAATGATTCTTCTTTGACGATACAATATACCATGAGAAGTCATCCTATTAAAGCAAAGTCCTGTGCGTTCAACAAGGTCTCTGGGCTGCCAATACTGGTTCCCACTTGTATACTGAGAATGGAATCTAGTAACTTTCTAGTGACAAGGTAATGATTTATGTATGGCATATGATGATGCCATATCCTGAACAGAATAATGCATATGTTTCTGCAGTGACAGGAACCATTATCCCCCCCCACCCCTCAAACTGACCTGACCTGCCACCATTTCTTTCTGTGAGGTATTTGTGGCAATTCTTAATTTTTTACTTCTTAGGAAAGAGTTTTGTTTGAACTTTGTATACAAGATTTTAACTATAATTATTTATCCAATAAACCTAGTGTTGCTTTAACTTAGTGTAAAATTAATGTAAAACTTCAGTTACAACTATAACTGAACTTTTCATTAAATAAAAATTCCAAAACATAATAAGGAACAATACTGGAAATACAGAGCACAATTAAGAGGTATATTTATGGATATAAATTACTTTGTTATTCATAGAACATGCTTTGACTTCCAAAACAGTTCTGCTGGACAGGGACTTTCAAAATGTGTAGTGTCTGGGGCACAAGTACAGAAATTTTAAATCTGCTGCTATTAACTAACTTCACAGCCCAGAGACCTTGAGATAAGAATAGTTGCTCAGCTGGTCAAGAAATTCCGTCTCTTATGGAACCCAAGTTTCAATCATGTGCTCACAAAGAGCACACCACTGGTCCCTATCCCAAGCCAGTTGAATCCAGTCCACATCTTCAGAGCTCATTTTTAATAGCCATTTTAATATTATCCTCCCATGTAGGCTTAGATGTTTAAAGTGGTCTCTTCCCTCTATGGTTTTCTCCCTTACTGTACTAGTAAAATGACTAAATTTGTTCTAATTTTTTGTCTTTCAGTGTGACTGCAATTTTTGAACTGAAATATTTTTCACTTTATTATACAGTTGAAAAACTTTGGCAGAAAATCAGTAGTGAAGATTAACACCTCCATACTTATTGGAACACATGAATGACACAAGTATAGCAGTCACATCAGAACTGTGAATACGTACAGCCAATGTGCATCACTAATTGCATGGCACGGGGGCTTCCTTGTGCAGTCTTTATTACAAAACCCTGTATGTGGCACTGAGTATGTTAAAACACTTCTGAAATTAAACTGTTAAACTGTGACTGTCCTGGACTTCAGTCTGTTCAAGTTTCAAAAAGTGAGCCATGTTTTGAAGTAGCTGACACAGGCTGGTGCCCTCAAATGAGACAGCTATAGTAAGACTGGGAACCACTGCTGGAGCATTGAATCACTTTGTGACCTTATTTCTCATATATGATGTTGCTTCACAGCCTTCCTTCTATGAAATTCCATTTGACACAATGCATCACCAGATAATGGCTTAACTTAGAGTGACATTCTTTATCTCCTCTGACACTGTGTCTGTGTGTGTGTCACTCAACTTCTTTTCTCGCTGTCCAAATATTATGCTTCCAACCCGAACATTTGTACTTCCCATTTCGATCTGCAGATAGCATTTAAATACAAATTAACAAAGATCTTTCAGCCATGAATATTATTTACCATTCACTTCATATTGCAAGGGTAGCAAATAAAGGTTATAGTACTGGAGAACACATAAACACAGAATTTTCATGTGCAAATTGCATAGGACGAGGTCACTGGGAAAACCAATAATGTTAAGATTGTGGTCTTCTGAATTGTGACACCACACAGTCTTGTAGTTTTGATACAGGATACTGTCTCCATCTTCAGGATTGAAATGTGTAGGGTGTGGGAACAGTTGCATTATATAGGCAGGTTATAAACAAGAGGGGGAGAGAAAAAAAAAATCTGGGCCAATAGGAATCATGAAACAGAAGAAAGACCTTTTTCAGGCCAAAATCTGAACAATCATCGTGAAAACTTCAAACCTTCTATAAGATAATCCCTCATATGGAAATAGGTTACCAGTAAGTCATGTATATTATGCGTGGGAAGAAACCACTCATAACACAAAGGAAGATAAGACTCAATAGCTAGGTTATGAGGATATGGGCTAAACTAAACAGGGCCAGGATATGGGCCAAAGCAGGATGAAGAATGCAGCGGCCATATAAGAACGGCTGAATATCTACTGTACGTTCACCAAAGACCCTGCAGCATGAAGGTGGATAAAGCTAGGAAAGGATCCAGTGCAGACTCTCAAGCCTTCCACAGATAAGCAGTAAATGCATAAGGATAAATAAAAACTAACAAATCTTTTGAGATTGTCATGCAGCAACTCCCACTAAATCTTTCTGTACTGGGTTTCTTTTGGATAGTTCTGCATAAAGAAGTGCCAAAGGACATATATATTACTCTCTAACTTAATGTAAACAACAATCTCTATACTTAACCTAACTTGACCTAACCTAATTTAATCTAGCCTAACTTGAGAATATATATATCAATAGCATGGAAGGGGTTGATATAACAATTACTAATATGTTAAATCGACTGATGCTTTCTGAAGTATAATAATATTAAAATCAAAGGTAGGAATTTATCTAATCATTAAAAATATTATTTATCCATGACATAAATATTGGTAAAACTTTTATAATCAGTCAACATGACAGGGAAGTGTAACATTCTGGGCTGGAACTAGTTCATACAATCTGTATACAGTTCATAAGCATCTGTTCATGGAGAGTATGTACAAATGGATGGATAAATATGATGCAACTAATTGTCTTTTCATTTCATTATTAAATGTGTTCAAGAAAGCCTGAAATTATAAAAGCAACTTTCCATGCCATGTGCAAAACTCAGTTTAGATTACAGACTTTTATGCCTAACACTAATGCATTTCAGTGGGATTATCTCTATTTCATTTTCAACTGCCAGTACTGAACATAAAACAGTTTTTCCACTCCATACAGAAGTAAGATAAAGGCAAATGCACAATAGATCACTAAAGGTCGCGGTGCAAGGGCTAGCAGTTAGTATGTATGTATGTATGTAAGCTAAACGCAAAGTTGTCCCTGTGCTTAATNTGGTCATGGTGCAAGGGCTAGCAGTTAGTATGTATGTATGTAAGCTAAACGCAAAGTTGTCCCTGTGCTTAATTGGGAACCACACCATGAACATTCAACTAAGCAGCATACATATGGAGAACTGGACATTCAGCTGCGCACAATCTTAACCTCAGCACTGGATAATCATGCTTTACAGGCCTGTTTCCCTTAACCTTTGTTATATCAATTTAACAGTTCTTCTATCAGGAAATCTATTTAGCGTTAAATGAGTTAAACATTCAAAGGGCCTCATTAGGATGTAATCCAGGTTATTGGGAATCAACATATAAACATTTACATACAACTGGGATATTTAAAATAATTCTCTAGACTTTCCTCTGATAACAGCAGAATTGTTCAGTTTAAACTAAAAATAATTAGAAACATACAATGTGTGCTTCTCTTCTTGGGCAACCAGCCGTGTCAAAGCAGAACTGGTGTTGGACATTTCAACAACTGCCTCTGTCTCCATCATCAGGAGTGTGATGTTACAACTATCATATTTGCATGCTATATTTATAAACAAAGCGTCCATCTGCACCGGTTTGGACCACATGGGGAGTGGTGGGCAGACGAGAGCTTTGTGCATAACACAGCATGCATGACACTAATCACATGAACCCCTGATGCCAGAGACAGTCCGTGAACTCCTGGATACTAACTTCACATTGACGCAGACAATTTCATTGTCTACTGCCAGCATGAAAGCTTCAAGTCATGTGAACTAGAAATATAACTTACTGCATGTTCAAAGTCATCTGACATCCCCATGGAAAGCTCCAGCTTGTTGCACCCAATGCCAAGGGCTTGGCAGACATCATCTCGAACTTTCTTCAAACACTGCAAAGAGATGTTAATATTTTTCATGCAGCTGGGTGTAATTAATGCTTGATAAAAGACAACATTAATGTATTAACCACACAGAGGACTATCCAGTAGCACAATGGAAGAAGAATAAATCAAAAGAATAAATGATAAAACATTCAATAGGGTACAGTCATGCCACAGCTCAGAAGTGAGATTCAAACTGATCATCTCCCATACATGAGTCTAGAGCACTGCTGCTATGCCAGCCCACTTCATCATGTTGGTTGTTGTCATCACTGTCATCATTGTCATCGTCGTCATGAGGAGCAGGTGAAGGATGATAGACTAACTTTAGCGATATGCTGTACTGTTTGTATCATACTTACAATAAAATCTGGATTTGGTCCTTCAGATAAATCATGGCCAAATTTTCCAATAGTCATAAGCCCCACGAGCTCCAGATTGGGACATTTTTCTAAAATGTGCTTCACGAGATGTATTGCATCCTCTGGTGTACAGCCATTTTTTTCTGCAAAATGGAGAAAATATTAAAACTTAAAACAAATCTGTGTCAATCACAAATGTAAAGTATGTTAAAATCAACATGCCACCTAAATGGTTTATGTAAGCGGCCTCCGTAGTCTAGAGGTAACGTTCCCACCTCATGACTCATAGTACACGGGTTCAAATACCCGGCGGAGGTCATCGAATTTTTAAGGGCGGAAAAATTCAGGGAACAAGTCCTCTGGGAGGGACTTTAAGCCGTGGGTCCCGTGTCGTAGCTTTACGGCACGTAAAAGAACCTCATACCTCCAAAGGAGGTCACTAAGCAAAATTGCGGACGTTTGCCACCCAACAGCAGTCACTAGTACCTCCGGTAGATGGGGTGAGCCATGCAGTGGCTCCGGTATGACGTCATGGGCTTCCAGCCCCTTGATCGAGGTTCTTAAACTTATCCCCCACCCCATCCCCATGTGGGACTGGGTCACGTGGTGTTGCCCTTTCCCCTCCTCTCTACCCCTGGGAGCCTTGCTTGGAAGTTAATTTGAGTTCGGAGTTCAGTTCTGGATATGGATCCATAGGGCCTTGCTCGCGGCACCGAGCCAGCCGGAGCGACTATCAAATTCCTGTTCGGCTGGGAGTCCAAATTTGGTTTCGGCAAGTACTGGGCTGGTTCGCGGCCGACGAGATCGCCCGCGGTCGCCCGTCGTTGGGTTTGTAGGACGGCGGCGACTCGTACCAGTTAGTTATGCCTGTGTTTATAATTTATATTGTGTATTTAGTTTAGACTCAGCCTGTGGCCCGGCTATAATGTAGTAGTTATGTTTTCATGCAACCAAGGCAAATTGTTGCGCCAGTAAATATGGGCCATTCTGCCCGAGTTAGATGCCGCTGTGTGCGAGCATGTAAATGTGCAGTTAGTTCAGTTGTTCTGTTTAATTTCTATTGTGTTTATTAAATTCTGTTATTTGTTAATATATTGATTGCCATCATTTGTAACTAGATTTACTTCGCTGCTAGCTTGGATCCCTTACACTAACTTAGGGAGCGTGCGAGCACAGCACGAGAGCCATATGACGGATCAACGTTTCCCCCTCCGATTGAGGAAGGGTAGACGGAGCCGAAAAGTGCCAGAGAGTAACGGTGCTGTGGTAGCAGACCGGACAGACGGCACAAATGGTAGCAGAGCGTAGGCGGCGCAGGGGGAGGCATTATAGATACTTCTCAGCCAGTAGAGCCGGTCTCGCTGGCTGGGCGGGACTGATGGTAAGCACCAATACCGGTAGGATATAGAGGCTGGTAGAAATCATAGAGGGAAGCACAATGAACCATGACAGGTCTAAGTGCATGGGGAAACCCACCCTCTCTAATAACTAATTAAGTGGTTTATGTAATATACTGCCAGTACTTAGAATGTATAATGTAGAATGGCAGGATGCTTGGTGAATGAGCAAAAAGGCAGGGGAAACAATTATTTAAATATATATAAGCTTAGGTCATGGCATGCGAGAACAACATATCTGTATTCGATGCATTTAATTTGTAAGTTAATGAGCAAGTCACCATACTAACCATCCTCTCCACTTGTGTTAATCTGCGCCATGACCTTGAGTTTTGCACCCTGACCCTTCTGTTTTGCCCACACTGTATCCAAAGTAGTTGCGAGTTTATCTGTGTCAACTGTCTCCACCACACAGAGGCCAGGAACTGACAAAGCTTTGTTCACTTTGTTTCGCTGCAGATGGCCAATGAAATGCCACTTGATCTCTGAACACTTCTCGACAATCTAAAAATAAATAAAGAAAGTTAAAGAGTCTTCAGCTCATGCTCTTAATGCAACTATAAAGAAACCAAAAACATTTGCTTTTCTCTCCTTATGCCCATTTTATGACATTGTGAGTACCTCAGACTATACAGCACTGAATGACAGGATGATTAGTAAGTCATGAATTGGGAAGGATTTTGAAGGAAGCAGTCATGGCTTAATTGGGGTACTATCCTGGCATTTGAATGATGGCACTAATGAAAACCACAAAAAACATCAGTCGGCAGAGCACATGTCCTGAATGCAGTTCAAATATATCTACATTCATTCATTTTATTTAGCATTCATAACTGCTACAACAGTAACACTTGAACAAGCCACATCATTAAATACATCATTCTTGAAATCATTTTGCCCAAAAGCCTAAAGGATTAGAATTTGTCTACAATAAATAATTACTCTTGACTTAGTTAAATCTACAATCAAAATAGAATACACACTATCAGAACCAGACAAATAATCGAATTAGACACAGTACATAAATGGGAATGCAAGTTGATTTAAGAAAATGCCTATCATACTAGTTTTGTTAACCTTATGAGTTTATAGAGAGAATTTTAAGAGTATTATAGTAAATTAGAAGTCCTACATATGACCATGTCAATCACCAATCACACTGAGACACTACAAGTGACCATTTGATATTTCAATTGCTGAACAGAAGTTTCACCATGTTTACTGCTGTCCCTCTAAAAGAAACTCATACAATGTAGAGAATGGATGATCTAGTAAAAATACTTTCTGCTTACATTTAAAGTTTTTATGTCCATCTGAATTACTTAATTCCAAAAGCAGTTTATTATGCAATTTAATACCCATATTGATATAGGTCTAGAGTACTACCACTACACCAGCCTGCTAGATGTTTGCTTCTGAACAAACTATCCATGATACTGAAAATCAATTCCCATTCCAAGTTTTATTTCATAAGTGGGACAGTTTTAAATTTTAAACTGCTGAGCATGTCTGCAGCATACTCTTTCACACATGCAGGTATGAGCACATTTTCAAAATAATCATGATGGTGACGGTGAAAGTGTCCCAGTTAAAAGGTACTACTTGTCCTTGTGCTTAACTAATTAAACACTATGCCATGTATGGGGGAGTGGATACATAGAGCCACGTTTTCTTGACCTCAGCAGTAGCTGGAGGTGAGAGGTCAGCTTCATGTCCCAGCTGCTTCACCCTAAGGAAAGAGCAACCAGTACCCATTTCACAGGAGGCTGGGTGGGCCCCAACATCGGTCTAAACAATGTGGAGAAAAGAAAAATCTTGACCCTACTAGAAATCAAACCCTGCAGCACATCACTATACCAACTGAGTTATCCTAGCTCCCTAAAAATTATCACAAACATTTATTATGTTTGGAAAAAGGTCTACTCAACTCCAGCATGTTAAGGATGTCAAGCCTGCTTCTTATATATTACCGTCCCATGTACTCCGACTGCTGGTAGTGCTGCTAACCTGAAGTGATCTGCACACGAGACATTTTTAAAAATATTCTTTATGTGTCTGGTATATAATCAAAAATTATAATCTTGATTTTCTACCCCACTATTCATGATTACTAATGACAGTATGTCAAGTTAAGTATCCCACTATTCTTTTCCTGTCTCACTGCCAAGTGCCCCTGTATGTGATGGACTGGTGTTCCTGTCTCACAGACACATTTTGGAGGAATCTCCTACTTCCATCTTCAAGGTTCCCTGAATAGGGGATGTGATAGGGTACTCTGAAACACTGGTAACTTTCTACCATGCAGAAGGGGCAGCAGGTTCTTGCAGACTTCGAAATGACACAACACAGTATCTTCATATTCACCACTGCGGGAACCTCGAATCTCACATAAACGTTCTTACCTCTGTGTCATGACCTTTTTCAACAAGCTCATGGACATAGTTCTCTCCAAAATGTCTTTGGCCACGTTCATAAGCTTCAAGAATTAGAGCTTTCGGTTTCGTCTTGCTAACAGCCACAAGCCTAGGTTGTACACTTTGCAGCTCCTACAAAAAATTATAAAATTATGAACACCGAAATGAATAAATCACATCTGTGCATGAGGAAGGAGAAGGCATGTGGAAATCTCTGCAATGGACCCAGTTGATCTTGAACCCTAGATTTTCAAAGAAAGCCTTTCCTCTATATCACTACACCCATGCCATATGACATTATATTCTGCTTCATTTCCCATTTTAACCACTACATACAACAGAACCCAAAGTTCTCCTTTTAATTTCCATTTGCATCAGGGGTCAAATTCATTTATTCAGTGTCCTGGCCAATATGGTGGCATTATTAAAGGAATACAGTTAGAAAAATGTTCAGAACCTTATATCATGCTAACAACCCCATATCTTCTGTGTGTCTTGGGCACTGCACATTCACAGAAAGCAGATGGAGACAGTGGATATGAGACAGTTCTGCACAGGATTACTAGCCCTCAAAATGTAAAAAATATATCCACTTTGAAACATGCACAAAGGCAGTGTAATTTTATGATATTTTGGCACACCTCAAGTGACATCAATCGAAAGAATATAAAGAAGTTTATGGATCTACAGGACAGCAGATGCTTCACAATATTTTGTCACCGAGGTAAAGGCAAATGGTTAAAATACAGCTAGAGGAGTCCAGCTGTCATGGAAATGGAGTCATAATAACACAATTATTTATTTTTATCTGGAATATAAATGATATTCAGACTTGAAAATATGAAAATTTAAATTCTTTTCATAACTCTGTAACATGTGTCAATTCCCACTTCCATTTAATGTAATCTTTTCAAAAGAAAATCTTCAAAGTTTCAGAAAAGACTGTGAAAAATAAACCATTTACAACTCACTGCTAAAATAAACAGTAAAATTGTGTAAGATGTTCCTATAAATTTCAACTCAACAGAATATCTAACAATTGTCTGTTCTTTGTTGACTGTAGCAAACCAATCTATACCCATTTAGTGCTAAGGTTAAGAATGTGTTACAGTACATTCTGTCCAGTTCTGTTACCTGTTTTCCTTGTACTACAAGACTACACAACATTCACTGATGAAATATTTACGCCTCATGCAATAAGTCATGGTATATGCTCAGACATGAGAGAACCCAAAAGGAAGAAGCAGTGTTGTGTGGTAGCACTGCACAAAGCCAGGCAGCAGACTGCTTCACTTCTCTGCACATCATTCAAACTAGTGGACCCATCCCATGTTTGTGACTCCCCACAAGAATGGAACAGTGTTTCTGAGTGCATGGCTTCACTTGTTGTGCAACCTATACAAGCCATCTCTGCTGTCTCACATGCAAGAGGGATGACTCAGTCACCAACAAAATTTCCTGCACCCTTCCCTAAATAATACATCAATCTTCTCCTGTTACTACTCCATGTCCCATGAACAGCTGTGTACTCTATTAAATATACATTCCAGGTGAGGCAATGCACAATAATTATGTGAATTAGTATGAAAAATTCTCTGTAAGTTTTTTGCCAGTTTAAAGACGTTTGGAGACCATCACCTGCAGACTAGTGGCAACATTTCACTCGACACAGTCAATGGCAGCCAAAAAGAAAAGGATGTCTATTTCTATGTCTGATTCATTTAGAAGCATATAAACAATGGGTTAATTTAAATGTAATAACTCCGAAGCTCTGTTTCAATGCCATACCTTTGAACGTATTTTACCACAGAACAGGGGCAACTCTGGCAATGTTCAAAATAGGGTTTTAACAATGAATAGATCTTTGGAAAGTATAAAGCTTTCGGTTTCAAATGAAAATAGCACAGCCGAACAAATATATATTTGAAGAAAGCAGTCTTCTGGGATTTGGCACCGTGTATATGTGGTGTTAACCGACGTTTCGGAGGAACCGGTTTTCACGGTCTCTTTGCTTGCCGATTTCTTATATTTTTCCTTCTTCCCTGAAGATGGAGGCGATACGTTCCTCCGAAACGTCGGTTAACACCACATATATACGGTGCCAAATCCCAGAAGACTGTTTTCTTCATAGTCAAATCTTACAAATATATATTGGTCTGGTAGCTTCATGATGACAAAGAAAATGACACATATTTCTTCCTTCGTTATCATGTAACATGTTGTGGGATTAGAGTTTCTCACGGCAGTGGCTATGTACAGTTCTATTATCTGGGACATAATGTCCTGCAGTCCGTTCAAAAGTCAAACGACATTTCGGAAGAATACGTCGCGTCCATCATCAAGAAAGAAAAATATGCCAAGCAAGGAACCAGCATCAATTTGGTAGCAAGCAGAGCTGAAGACGGAGACAAAACGTTCCTCTGATATGTCAGCAGAAACGTAACATGTTATTGATAAGAGCCCTAACAATAAAACAAAACAAAATTCTAACCTCACTTCCTTTAAGAGCCCGCCAGGAGAAAAATAAATGCTTGTTCCAATCATAACATTTTACTTACATCCGCTCTCTTCTGGCATGCTGCCAGCATTCGTTCTCGTACAATCCGTAAGTTATTACCTACATCAATTTCTGACATTATTACTCTACGCATAACACTTAATTCGATAAATGAAGTCAATTTTGAATACAGCCGGCTCCTTCGAGTTTAGTTTACTGCCATCTACGGTAGTAGTATATAATTATAATACTCCATTGCTTCCGACTTCGCTAGATCGGTCTGCTGAGGAGTGACCGGAGTGACCATGGCCAGCACGTGGTAAAAAATCAATCAATCCCAATTATGCAAATGGAGTAAACACACAAAAAAAATCGGTGCGTGGAAATGGACATAAGCACATGTATCATACAACCAATGTGTGTCCGTTGCTAACGAACTTCTGTATATTATCACTCCATTAATGTAATCTGGAAATTTGGGCACCCCTGCAATACAACTCTCAGAAATATATTGCATCGTGCCGATCCACATAACCATGTGATTACACAGGCCAACACTAAATTTACATCATGAAACAAAATATTATATGGAACACGTCGGGACAATGTGTTTCGCAGTTTCCGTGGTGTAGTGGTTATCACATCCGCCTAACACGCGGAAGGTCCCCGGTTCGATCCCGGGCGGAAACAGTTTTTTTTTTATACGTTGAAGGTTTCTTTCTCCTGTTTAATAGCACTTCGTCATCTGCATAAATTATATACCGACAAATGACACAATATTTACTTAAAATATTCTTTAATTTATGATTTACCAATTTTGCAGACACCACTTCATAGGCAAGGATCAGAAAATCTTATTGGATTTGATATATAATCGCTTAAATATCTCATTCGTTTCAAATATAATATTTCTTTCTGAGCTAATTTTATAGTACTTGTCTATTTTATTTTTAATAGCCAAATGATTCGATGATTACTGGAAAATAAATTATAACGAATGGCATATACTGTCTTCGCTCGCTTGGAAACCGGGGTCGTGGGTTCGAATCCCATTCAAGGCATGGATGTTTAGTTTGTGTGTGTGCGTTTTTCTGTGTTTGTGTACAGGTAGAGGCCTTGCGATGAGCTGATCACCCGCCCAAGGAGTCCTACCGATTGCGCAAGATCTAGAAAAACCGAAGTGAACAGAGAAGTTCATGGAGGTAGACGTAGGCCCACTGGGGCTGTAGTGCCAAGAAAAAAAATTAGAACGAATATAGACGGTAACAGCCGTGACCTAAATTGATCTGACGAAGAATTAGATTCAGTGGATAAATTTTTATGGTGTCAGATATGTACAATTTTTAAATTATTAGGCGGAATATAAGCAAATGGTTAATATGCCATATAAAGAACCACAGACGAATTTCTTTTTACAGCTGTGTATTTCTATAAAACCGAAAAAATTTTGAAGCTTTGAAAATACAACATTCGTGTCATAATTGTGCGTTTCCGAAGAAAAAAGTACGTATGAATTATTGGTGACCTCTCTAATCTTCAGTTTGATGTGTCTGAACATATTGTCACGTGATAGAATGACTATAGACGGGGTTGGGATTGGTAATCGGATTTGCTGAACACTTTTAACACCCAGGTCGTGAGTACACTTTACAAATCAATGTCAAACAGTCTGGTACAGTCTCCAATAGCCGTTGCTTGGTAGCAGCTTCAATGACGAACTTCTCCTTCCTCTGGGTTCCCGAACTGTCCCCTGCCTCAGCTACCTGCTTCTCATAGCAACGGCTCACAACGAGTGAACTGCATTTAATTCACCAGCAAACTCTTCACTAACCCCTAATTGTTCTTGCTTACAACATATTGGCAGTGCCCGCGAAGGAATCACAATTCTTCTGTTGTTTACGGGCCGCTGCCTAGTAAGGGTCGGCTGTCGTGAATCCACAATTCTGGCTTTGAACGAGTATTCCTCGTTATTTAATGATTCACATTGCCGTGTTCATCCCTTTGATTTAATTTTGGTATGAAAATCTCGTCGAAAACAAATAGTACGAAAGTGGGCATAGAAAAAAAAGCTTTGCAAGGATGTGAATTGGAGTGAACTTATTCAGAGCAAGGTCAATTTACTGGATCTAGTTATCACAGTGATGGACTTCTGGATACCGGCCGAAAGAATATGTAGGATATGAGGTTCTTACAGCTGTGACTATGGGACGTAAAGACGTGCAGTCCGGTAGCAGTTCACAGCGTTTCAAGTAAGAAACCAGCAAAAATCAGGCTACGAGCAGAAAACTAACGTACGTCATAGGCCAGAAAGGAATTTGGGGAGAACCAACAAGTGTGAAGTCGTTGACTATGAGGGCCTCAAAGCCCCTTTCTGTGCCCCAGATTGTAGACTTACTCTTACAACGAAAACACGAGTTAACATGGGCATGACTAATCTTATCAACCACCTATCAAGGTACTGGCTATTTTGGGCAAGGTAGCCAATATTTCCTTATCTATGTATGTATATATATATATATAATATTATTCATACTTCATCATATTTCAGAAGCTTCGACTTCACATCACAGCATGAAAGAACATTACCATGAATGAAGTATCAGATGTCTTCAGCCTCCTGACGGATGTGGCCGCAGGGGACACAAAAACAGGCAACAGGCACTTCATTAAAGTTTCATCATTCACAGGCCTTCGATAACACGTACACCTGATGAAGCGTACCGATCGTGTCTAAAAGCCGGGACTGGTTATTGGCTGGACGACTGAGGGGCTCAGATTTCGAGTCCCGATAAGGTCAAGAATTTTCTCCACGTCCTCCAGACCTGTTTTGGCGCCCACCCAGAGTCCTATCCAATGGGTACCGTGGGCTCTTCCCCCGCGGATAAAGCGACAGGTCAGGAAAAGGTGGATCTAGACATCCACTCCGCCATACGTCTTCATGGAGTAGTTCTTAATTAGTCAAGCACAGGGACAGTTTCTTTTTGTCTATCGTTTTTTTAGACTTGCTGGCTGGGTTGCGAGTGAGAAGAAGCATGGCCAGAAGTGGCTGGGCAGTGGTCACGGTTGCAATGTTGGGGTAATAGAGAATGACGAACTGTAACGAAGGCCCTGTTGCAACCCTTACACCCTACAGACCTTATCTCAGTTAATGGACTCAGTTCAGAAGGGGATGGTGTAAAAACCCGAACAGTAGATAAGTAAACGAAGAAATAACAGAAGCGCAACAATTGACTCTGTTGCAGTAAGGTTTTATTAAGACTGGAGCAGGAACATACATTTATTTATCCATGCATCTCTATATATTGTGGCTAGGAAACTGAAACCATGGCGAAGGCATATCTCTTATACTTGGTCGCCGTTTTGTTCGCTAAGGGACATTGTCATGATAGTCAGGGCTTTGTAGTGGCAGCTGCACTGATAGTAAAACGGGTGATGTTTTCCCCTCTCTGCCAGAGAACTACATAAGCTCATTAAACAAGGCCATGTCAAAAAATAAAGAAACGTCGTTGTTCAACAATCGGAATTGTCGACGAAGGCCCAGTCGTCTTCAACAATATCAAAACCGCTCATCACAGACTTGAGTGTCTTGAGGACTCCTTCGTCAAGAGTCTTCGATCGGCTCCAGATCTGGTTAATGTCGTGCTTAATGAACGTGTCAATTTTCTCATCATAGCGTTCTCCGCAACCGTGAACAATGGCGTAAGTCTCGTAGTCTGTAGCGAGGATGGAGTGCTTCACAACATCTGTGGACATAACACAACAATATACGTATCGTCATGTGCCTTGAATGGAAAGTATGTGATGTGAGGCTCTCTCAGTTTCGAAGCAAGGATTATAACGCGGTATTCCGCCTCGCCTTCCTTCTCACATCCGTAGTGGTAACTTCAGCAGTAAAATTACTACGCAAAAGAGCGTTGTTGAAATGCCTTTTATCTGCTACTTTTTGTGCAACAAGGTCAACAACAGTGAATGTTAACCGGCAACAAATGAAACCAAGGCCAGTGAAACGGAGCAAAATATCTGAGAACGTACTCGGTAAATTGTGTGTTCCGTTCCATTCCATGTTTCTGTACTTGTTTCCAGGCTGAGAGGGGCAGAAACGAAATTGCTGTATTGTTACGTAGATGAAACACATAACAATACCAGAAAGGCATGATCCAATGAAGGACATGCAGGTTTCATAATCGTCCTCTCCAGTTGGTCATACCTCAATGACTTTAGTCTTTGTTTATTGTAAATAAAAATTGATTGTTGTGAATCTAACAAACAAATCTGATGAGGCATTTAAAAGCAGCATAAATTATTTTTCCCCGCGTTTTATTAAATATATATTGGGCGAAAATAAAATAAAATGTTGTGTGAACTATCTCTAACTAACAATATGTGAGGCAATAAATAAACTCAGAATCATTTCCATGGTAATTAGTCTTTAGGTTTAACCATCACAGACCGAAATTAAATTCTTCCTGGAACGCATAAGCTCAATTTTATCGAAATCTCTTGATATTTTCATAAATACAGCTTGAGGACTGATACCTATAGAACACATTCAAATATTGTCTCAAGAATTCGTCTATAATACGAAACACTGTGTTCACTGGAACATGAAACACTCGGAAATGTGTGTTTACCAGCATTTTCTCTATTGTCCTAGAAACAATGCATCCAGGATATCAGTGGGAAAGCCAGAAGGAAAGACCAAGGTATAGGTGGGTGAATAATATTAAATTGAATCTTAAGAGTAATGGGATGGAGTAGTATGGACTGGATTGATATGGCTCGGGACAGGGACATGTAGAGGGCTCTTGTGAACACGTAATTAACCTTCGGGTACCATAAAATATTGGCAAGTTCTTGAGTAGATGCATAGGGCTCAGCTCCATGAAGTTAGTTAGTCCTATAAACAAACAAGAGAGCTTGCTATAAACTGACGAAGTCCCACCTTGTATATCTGAAAATCTATTTAGTAAATCTAGAGCTCACGCTGTATAGCGACGGGTCATGGTATGGACAGCCGGTGTTCGAATCCCGACAGGTGCAAGGGATTCTTCTCTATGTCACAGAGTCCAAACCGGTTCTGGGGCCCACAGAGCCTCCTGCCCAATGGGTACCGTGAGCTCCTTCGCCGACCTAAAGCAGCCTGAGCGTGAAGCTGCTCTCATACCTCCACCTAGTGCCGAGGTCAAGAATGGTGGCGCTATACCGCCATTAATTAATTAAGCACAGGGACAACTTTACTTACTTTACTTTATTTAATTAGAAAAGTGAGGCTCTTAAATATGTTAGAAAGAAAAGTTGTCCCTGCACTTCATGAAGACGTATGGGGAGAGTGGAAGGATAGCTCCACTTTACTTGACCTCGGCAGTAGTTAAAGTTGAGTAGTTAGCTTCACGCTCCGACCACTTTCGTCCAGGTCAACATCCCCCGGTACCCACTGCATAGGAGACTCTTTGGGCCCGGGACCCGATCTGGATGCTGTGAAGAAGAGATAACCTGGTTCCCTGCCGGGAATCGAACTCCGATTCCTCGAACATCCAGCCATTCTTTGTTGATTGTGATTTTGAAGTCATCACGTGTAATCACTCACTGTGCCACTTGTCATCTTCTGGGAATCTGAAAGCCACTGAACTGACGGACGCGAGCCCTGGTTTGAAGGCCTGGCCTCTTCCTTCTACGTGGTGCTCGGTGCCGTCCGCCGTCTTAAAAGTTATGTCGAAATGTGTTTTGGTCACATTTTCCACAGTCTCAGCCGTGAAGTGAATCTTGTCGCATTTCAGTTCCTCGGAGTGAAGTTCGGGTCTGAATACGTTGGCCACGGAGTACCAGTCGCCTGAGAACTGCAAACACAGAAGGCAATGCTAAGCCACAGACGTGTCATATCCAGAGGCTACGTTCCTTCTCATTGCCCGCTGGTTAAGAGAGTTCCAGAGCCGTGGAGAAGAGAAGAATTCCTCAGGACTTCCGGCCCTTAATGCGTCAAGAATGATGCCCTACACCTTTCACTTAATTTCTAGGAGTAAATTAAGAGGAGATCGAACTCGGGTAATGCTTGCTACCATTCAGTCCAGGACCTTTGTCTTCCCGTTTGCTGGCTAAAAACATAAAAATTAGAATATACAAAATTATAATTTTGCCTGTGGTCCTGTATGGGTGTGAAATCTGGTCTCTGATATTATGCGAAGAATATAAATTGAGGGTGTTTAAGAAAAGGGCGCTGAGGAGAATATTTGGACCGAAGAGAGATGAAGTGGCAGGAGGTTGGAGAAAACTGCATAATGAGGAGGTTCATAACGTGTACTCTTCTCCAAGTATAAGTAGAATGATCAAGTCAAAGACGGATGAGATGGTCAGGACTTGTAGTACGAATAGGAGCGAAGAGGAATACATATATGATATTGGTGGGAGGGCCAGAAGGGAAGGGACCACTATGAAGACCAAGGCGTAAGTGGGTGGACAATATTAGAATGTGTCTTAAAGACATAGAATGGGATGTATGTACTGGATTGATCTGGCTGAGGATATGGACCGGTGGAAGGCTCTGGTGAACAGAGTAATGAACCTTCGGGTTCCATAAAATGTTAGGAAATTCTTCAGTAGCTGCACAACTGGCGGCTTCTCAAGAAGGGCTCAGCTACATTAAGTCAGTTAGGTTTGTTATTAGTTCGTAAAGGGAGGGAACTGGGATGATGGGTGCAGACAAGGGTGTAAAATCGAAGTGGATTTCGCGAAAACTGTGAAGCTGAATAGACAACTCCAGAACTGACCAACTAGTCGCACGCGGGCAGCCTCGGCTCGCCAATTGGTTTCACATGACCCACTAGTATATTTCCGTTTCGCAAAACACATGTTAAGGCTTTTCTGTATTTTTCTTAAACCGGAGTAGAATCTTGTTAAAACAGCTTTGCAGAAAATGCTGATTTTGGTATGCAAAAATATTCGTTTTTTTAAATATTTGTGAGGACCCGTTGCTAGTTGATTATACAAGCACAGAGAGGGGAAGTTCTATGTATTCAACGAGATCCTGGTATAGTGGTATCGCTGTGCACCTGGTGCTAACAGTAAAATGAAGTAACTCTCGCGACAAAGACCTGCGCCACGGTCTGATGGTGAAGTACCCACAGCGATATTTTAGGCACACTGGGCATGACATGACATAAAAACGTAGAAGATAAAATTGTCCAAATGCTTAATTAATTAAGCACCAAGCCGTGAAGACATGTGATGAAGTGGAAGTAGCTCCTCCATTCTCGGCCACGGCACTACATGAGGTAAATTATCAGCTTCACTGCACGGCCGCTTTACCCCCGGGGAAATCGTTTCCTGTACCCACTGGATAGAAGGTCCGGTGGGCCCCAAGACCGGCTTGGACGGTGTGGAGAAGAGTAAACCCGTGCTGTGAATCAAACCCCGGACTTTCAGCCCGTTGCCTGTCGCCATGCCGACTGAGGTTTCCCGACTCCATTACTTCAAAATAAATATTTTAGCTCTGCGAATTCAGTTCTTACCCGTGTGCTGGTGTTTCACAGATCTGATCCTTACATGGCAGACATTTACAGCGGTATATTTGCAAAAAAAAAAAAAATTGTGCGCTCTCTCTGTTGTTTGTTTGATGATCGACAGTCGTGGCCTACTCGACAGAACTGACCCAGGATCATATTTAGTGGGAATCTTTGGTATTGGAGATATCGACCTTCGTTTTATAAAGCACAGAGCAGATCATGTTAGTATACCAAGAATTTATGTACAACGGACTTAGCAGAAGTAAGGTGTGGCGCTGTGGTCAGTTCGACTAGCTCTGAACAGGATTAAGTACTTTTACAAACCTTCACAATTTCGAAACTTCTTTGCTATTACCATCGGCTCAGTGTGAACTGGGCTTCTAGTTGCTCCATTCAGTGCCTTATAAGGTTTACATTCGCTTCTGAAGCAGACAAGCGAAATGTATTTGCAAAACACTTTGAAATGTCGACGAGGGTGTTACCTTCTGCTCGTCGAAAGGGTACTTCCCGAATATCGGCAGACAGCGGGGGGCGTGGAGGTGGTGCCCAGACACCAGTCCACAGCAGAAGAGCACAGCAACTACACACAGCAACTTCAGCATCTTGACGAGAGATAGCTTCTCCTCCGGGTAGCGCCATAATTTGTACCCTGAGCACAGTCTAATTGCAGGCAACACATGACAAGTGGCTGTTTCTTCAAGCCTGACCGTTCTCACGGGAGTCATCGCGTGACAAGCGTTTTCTTTCCAGCCACCAGGAACTAATGAATTCAATTACAGGTAAGGATACACTGGGATTCACCCATTCATTATACATAAATTATTGTCGGTTCCAAACAACACATTTATCTTATGGCGCAACTCTTTCTAGTGGCCTTGATTATTAAATTTATGTTACACATCAGATAAACAGACTTTCATATTCACTAGCACAATTCCCCTAAGTATTAAGATCTAAAAGTTTGTGACGATGGTACATTGGTACAAATATTATGTTTTTGGCTATTAGACATCGTTTTGTCTCTATCTAAAAACCGTCCTGTTTATTTTTCAAAACACAACGTTTCGGAGACTGGATTGTCTCCATCTTCAGGTAAAACCTACTCAGTTGGGTCCAATCGATAGAGCTAGTCCCTATCACCCGGAGCTAGCTCTATCGATTGGGCCCAACTGAGTAGGTTTCACCTGCAGATGAAGACAGAATCCAGTCTCCGAAACGATGTTTTGAAAAATAAACAGGACGGTTTTTAGATAAAGACAAAACGATGGATAATAGCCAAAAACATAATATTTGTACCCCTAATTACTGTTTCGGCTGTGAACTGAACTCTCATCCTTACACAGATAAACACAATTTGACTCCTGAATTCTGTAACAGCAATTCTGGGAAATCTTACCTGAACACAGGGGAAGAAAGAATTTTCAGCTAATGGTGTCTTTCAGACAAACCGAATGCGATTATTCTGATAGCCTGGAGATAAATATAAATCTGTGTTGTTATGGTAAAATCAGTTTCGTAAAAAATTGGCCAAACTGAAATAAATGTATCATAGGCCACTCCTTACTAAAGGGATAAGACGAAACCTAGGCTATGTCTCTAAACACAACACCGTTTATTCGGCGCCACAATGAAACGCTGAGATAAACACATGCTGCATGAACATCCGAAGTTGTTTCTTCTCCTGGAACGTGACAGTTCGTGACTTACCCTTATTTTGCGTAATACCATGGAAATTTCGATTTACAGAACCGAATTCCGGGATCTGTTGAAAACCCAAATGCCACTCTGGGAGTTACATTTCGTCCTATCTTAATTTACCTCCGAGAACAAGGGCTATTGGTGCCACCACGTCTGTGTGTGCGTGTGTCATGATAATTTACGAAATATTTTAATAATTTTAAGTAAAATTCTTATCCTACTCTAATTCGGTATAGAGCCTGGCTACGGGCTGAATGACCGAGAGGTCGGAGTTCAAGTCCCAGTCTGGTCAAAAATTTTCCCTTCTCCGCGTCGTTTACACCGGCTCTGCAGCCCACTCAGCCTCCTATCCAACGAGACTGGGGGTAAAGCGTCCGGGGCGTGAAGCTGACCACTCAACTCCAATTACTGGCGAGGTCAAGAAAATGTGGATCTATACATCCATTACCCCATACGCCTTCATAGCGTAGTGCTTAATTAGTTAAGCACATGGACAGCTTTACCTGTTAGTCTGTTAGTACCTGCTCACGCTGGTTCTTCGCTAGAGGATTTTCTTCTTCTTTCTTCTGCCCTGAAGATGGAGGCGATACGTTCCTCCGAAACGTCGGTTAACACAATATTTACACGGCGACACATCCCAGAAGACTGCTTTCTTCATAGTCACCGCCGTGAATACCTCAAATCTTACATAACTTTACCTTGTTCATTGTTTAAGGACGCTGATAGTAGCTCAGATCATAAAAATACTGAATTGGAAAGTGCGAGCATGTGAAAAGAAGCGATAGATGTCTACTTTGAGGTAATATCCCGGAATTTTCCTAGTGGAACTGATGAAAACCACGGAAAGCAAAAAGTCAGGGTAATCGGAGTCCACGTCGAAATTCTATTCTGGCACTCCCGAACTGAAGTCTGAAGTGTTACGCTTGAGACAACATCGTAGACCCTGTGACGGGCCATTAGGGGCCTAGTAGAAATACTAGAGGACTATCTGAGGAAAACGCAGTGAATTGGCCAACGTCGTGTTGGATCGCATATGGAAAAAGCAAACAGGTTAATCGATATTTCAGCTGTACGATCCAGTCTGGCCGGTATAATTACTTTCGGCAAACAAGTGGAGCCGCTTACTCCAATCATTGCTGACACAGGAACAATAACGGCTGTCAGAACTGTGGTGAGCTGCCATGAACTGGACTCACTGAGTGGTGAGCACACGTCTCTGCTGATCCACACATTATACACGTATCGGCAGGAAAATGATGACACATGAAAGACTGATCTAAGCCTCTACCACCCCCTCTACTCTGAATATCATGACATGACAGGATGACTAATGAATAGATTCTTAGGTTGGATAATTAATGATGACTATATAGCGCCCATGATGGGATGATTAATGAATATGTATCAGTTGGTGAAATGATAATTGGCAGGGGAAACTGAAGTAAGCTGAGAAAACCCGCTCCAGTGCCTCTTTGTCTACCATAAATCCTACATAATCTGACGGGATCCAACCCGGTCCGGCGAGATGTGGGGTCGGAAACAGTGAATACTGAATTCCGAAAGATGCGGAAGGAAGAGGCCATGATCCAATTTAAGGTATTATTCAGGCACTCCTCCGGAGGGAATTATAAGTTGATGGATTGGATATGATTTGGAAGGAAGGGAAGATGGAGTGATAGAACTAATATCCCGGTATTCCTCCGAAGGTACTGAGGAAAATCACGAAAAGTCTGGGTCAGGATAGCTGGTGTCTTGAGTCAGGTTCGAACTGAGCACCCCAGGAATTGGAATCTAAAGCGTCACCTCTATGCCAGACAGTACGGCGTCATTTTGAAGTTAAATAACAAACAAACGAATAATGCCAGATATATACTTTATTTGACTGAGGTTATATACATACTGATTTGTGTTGGGACTGTAACACAGTGACGGGACAATCAGGACAGCTGTCTGCAGCGCGGTTCAAAGCAGAAGCCTCTAGCAGGAATCATTGGCAATGTCTTCCCAGTCAGTGTCAGCAATGTCCAAGCTGCTCATCAAGGACTTGAGGGTCTTCAGAAGTCCCTCGTCTATGATTTTGGTTCGACTCCAGATTTGGTCAATTACTAGCTTGTCGAATACGTCGGTTTTCTCCTCATACATTTCTTTGCATCCATGCACCAAGGCGTACGAGTCGTAGTCAGTCGCGATAACACTGTGCCCAAAAACACCTGCAACAAAACGTCTGCGGTAAGCGAAACGAGGCATAGCAAACACAAAAAACCAGTGTGAATCCACGTAAATTATTCCATTACACGTAAATAAACCTTAAAATTAGGAAATATTATATAAATTCTATGGAAGTAATTCATTTCTTAATAAATCACGTAATCTAATATTGCTCTAACACTTGGTGAGAGTGGTGCCACTGTCTATATCTATATAACAGTGATATGGCCTTATTGAGAGTTCCCAGTAGAGCAGCGGGGCGTACCACTTGTCGGTCTTTCATGAAAGCGCGGTAAACATATGGCGTTGCTAACGTTGATTGTTTGGGATGTTTAATATATATAGTGTCTTATTTACACTTATTGTTTTAACTGAAGTGCAATTACATCCCATTGCCTTACATTACACTGGATACTGAGAAACGTCCGGCTCCCGAATACTCGGTGACAGTATGCACTCGTATTTAAATGTGTTTCTTGTTAAATGCTTAAGTTTAAAATTCAGTAGTATCTAAATGGCCTACTGAGGACATTATACTATGATTACAGTTCCGTCAGAAGTCTCTTGCCACGACACAGTGGCACTAGGTGGCCAAATAGCAGCCTTCATAACTAGCCAACGAACTGACTGGCCACTTTCCTGCTCGCAGCGATACCTCCCAACTCACTATATTACAGAATGCAAAGACACTGTGAATAAAGTACAGTGTCCAATGGGGAAGGAAGCAGTTGTGGCTAACTTCATGGAGCTGAGCCCTTCTTGAGAAGCCGCCAGTTTTGCACCTACTCAAGAAAGTCTCAACATTTCATGAAACCTGAAGGTTCATTACCATGCTCACAAAAGCCCGCTATTGCTCTCTAACAAGAGGCAAATCAATCCAGTCCATAACAAACCATTGCATTTCTCAAAGATCCATTTTAATATCATCCACCCACCTACGTCTTGGTTTCCCTAATGATCTCTTTCCTTTTGGCTTTCCTACCAATATCCTATATGCATTCATTTTCTCCCCCATTCGTGTCACATTCCCTGCCCACTACCATCAGCGAAGCCCAGCAAGTGATGTGTTCCATTTAATTTCAGTCCCATATGACTTTCTTGGACCTTCCTAACGGCATATTCTAGAACAAAGTTTAAAAGCAATGGCGATAAAGCAGCTCCTTGTTTCAGACCATTTAGGATAGGAAAATTATCGGACACGTGTTTATCAATATTGACTTTACTATACGTTTCGTTTAAACACATTTTAATCGACCTAACTAGTTTCATGGGTACCCCCAAACTCTATGAGAATATTGTACAATACTTCCCTCCTAACTGAATCATAGGCTTTCTTGAAGTCTACGAATAGCTGATGTACTGTCCTATTGTACTCCCAGTTTTCTCCAGTATCTGACGAATGTAAAAAAGATCTAATCAGTAGTTGATCTGTTATGTCTAAACCCACACTGATGATCCCCCGTAATTTCATCTATATATGTACTTAATCTCGAGAGAAGAATGTTGGATAAAATTTTGATAGCAGTGATATCCCCCGATAATTACTACGGTCGGTTTTATCGCCCTTTTTGTGAACTGGTACTCTCCGTCCATTGATCAGGCAATTGCTAACAAAATCTGCGATAAACACGATTCAGACCGGCTGGTCTCCAGACCGACATTCCAAACGGAACCTCCCTAATACGAACTAGGCGCGCGGAGGAATACGATGTAAGTGAGACAAAGCTAACAGTACGCTCACCGTGCCACTTGTTGTGGTCCGAGGACTTCCAAGTCATAACAGTGGATGAGGCGAAATGTGGCATGATGGCCTGTCCTTTGCCCTCGAAAATCTTCTCGGAGCCGTCGTCCAGCTTGGTATGTACTTCGATGTGTATGCGCGTGAGGTTGCCTACCTCCTCGGCTGAGTAGTGCAGCTTCTCACAGGTCACTTTCCCAAGGAACTTCATGGGACGCAAAACTTTGGACACAACGTACCAATCGCCGGACAACTGAAATCATTCACCAGGCATCACGTCGTATAACTTCCACTTACAACATAGAATAAGACAGGCCTATACACGCACACGCATACACACACACACACACACACACACACACACACATATATATATATATATATATACATACATACAAAAGAATGAAAATTTTATATTCCAAAATATGGGCGTAGCCTGAGGAGGTTCATAATTTGTACTCTTCACCAGATATTATTAGAATAATCAAATTAAGGAGGATTAGATGGGCAGGGCATGTAGTGTGCGTGGGAGGGACGAGAATTTTATATAAGATTCCGGTAGAGAATCCTCAAGGGAAGGGACAGCCAGTCCAATATGTCTTAAAGAATGTCCAAATAATTTGTCTTCTCCGATTTAACTCTGAACAGGTACCGGAACGAGGGTGGGTTGAAGGGTTTTGTTGCATGCACCGTTCGGCGCAGAGGGTAAGCTAACGCTGCACAACTCCAAACACACATGGGTTCCTGTGCCAATCACAGTGCAAGCAGGCGTCGTCCCAGTGTGATCCACTAACCCTCAAGGTACTAAAATGCGCTGTGCTGGCCATACCTTCTGCTCGTCGAAGGGGTACTTCCCGAACATAGGCAGACAGCGGGGGATGTGGAAGTGGTGCCCAGACACCAGTCCACAGCAGAAGAGCATAGCAACTACACACAGCAACTTCAGCATCTTGACGAGGGATGGCTTCTCGTCCGGGTAGCGCCAACTTTTGTACCCTGAGCACAGCCTAATTACAGGCAATAAGCACGGAAGATGGCGCTTCCTGAAGCCTGACGGAGAGCAAAGCGCGTGACACTGCCAAAATGTATTATCCTGTCACGTGCAAAATGGAGGACGTCACAAGAAGAAGACTCTCCACAGTTTCTTGCTCCAGGTTGCATCTGTGAAAATGGCGAATGTGTAATGTCAAAACAGATCCTGTCGAATATACTTCGTGTGTGCGATTTTCTTTGCTACCGAACTACACAGCCTTTCTTTTTGTTTCCTTTCCTTACGTTCATCAATGAAGGTAAGATGACACATGAATGTTGAATACGAAAATATCTGGAAGGAAGCGACCGTAGTATAGTCGAGGTACTGCTCGAATATTTGTCTGATATCGCGATAGAGATTCGAACCGAGTATCTCCAGAACATGAGTCTACCAGACCGGACGGTAACAAAATGGAATACGTCAGAATCTAGAGGCCGATAACGTAGGTGAGAAAATTACCGAGTGTCGGAAATAAGAAGGGAACCATGTGACCAAAATGAGCGAAACAGACTGCTGATGCTAACATGGAATTACATAAGCTTACCGGAAGAAAACCAAAGAGACGATGGAAAGAGAATTTAGAATCCGGGGAGATGAAAAAAGCAATTGATTGAGCAGTTGAAGAATCATATTAATTTACTATTTACTTAATTCCCTGGTTCAGGTTCAATTCCAGGCATCATTAGGAGGGATATTGGGTTTTCGAACTTTATCCATAGTCCTGGTTTAAGATAACTAAGAAAAACACGACGTTTCGGAAACTGGATATTTCCGTCATCAGGTGGGGGACCCAACAGAATATGTGTTTTACCTCACCTGAGGACGGAAACAGATCCAGTTTCCGAAACGTCGTGTTTTTCTTAGTTATCTTAAAAACCAGGACGATGGATAAAGTCCGAAACCCCATTTTTTCTCTATGTGTTATACACCATCGTCAGAATCCTATAGTAATCATTAGGAGGCTTTGCCTTAGCTCAGAATTCCCACTGCGGCGGTTGGGTTCGATTCCAGGTCAGGTCATGTGAGATTCGTCGTTTAAAAAGAGGCACTGGGGAGCGGAGTTCCTTTCTGAGTACATCGGTTTCCCGAACCAATTCTCTTTCCATCAACTGCTCCACGCTCATTAATGATCTGCCGTTTGATGGCGTGTGGGACGGGCGGCCGAGATGCAACGTGTCAGCAGGTTACGCAAGCGGTTCTTTCCCGAAGAAGTAATTTAGCCTGCACTGCGCGATGTAATCTCCATTGTCTTTCAAGTCTCCGTGCCAGAACAAGCATAAGCTTATGTAACATTTTGACACCAAGCATTATTAAGAGACTGAGATGACTTGGTCAAGGTCCTTGCGTGATGCAGCATTTCTTAAAAGAATCCCCCAGTTCAAACGCGCGGAGGCAGTGCATGAGAACCGATCCGCGACCTGTTTCATGTGCGCGTGGTCCGTGTTCCAGCCCTAGGGTCCCTTCTCCGTCGGTATGCTGTCTATGCTAAGGGCTGGACGATGGAGGAATCGAGGAATCTTTTCAATTGTTTCAAACAGTCACCAGAAAAAAAAGCATCTTGACACCTGCTCTTCTAAAGCGTACGTCATTTTAACAGTAAAGTAAACCCTCGCTAATCCGCTTACAGTTAATCTGGATGTCGGATAATCCCGATAAAAATGTGAAAAATGAAAAATTCTGTTATACTTTAAAAGATACATGGCATTTATGAAGGCAGATAAGTCACTTTTCTGCTCAGACAAAACTTTACGGTTTCTTCAAACCTGCATTATTACGTTCAAAAATAAGTACAACTTCTGAGTCTTCTATCGATGAGTAAATATATTTTCTTTTATAATTTCTAAATAAAGGATCTACAATGATATTTTATGTTTGTTTTAATCAGAAACACTTAAATCATTAAATTTTCCATTTATTTGTGTTCTAACTTCTTTTCTTTTTGTCTGTCAGGGCTATCTTTTGCTTCACTAATCCGGATTATCGCTTAACCCGCATGACCAGTCCCGTCCTAATTATTCCGGATTAGCGAGGGTTTGCTGTATTATTTTCTGATATTTGCAGCAGTGTATTCTTGTAGAAGTACAGGGTTTGGGGGGGGGGGGAAACTCAGCATCACCATCTGTAGAGATGAACATATTCATCACGGTCACCGCTGTCAGAGCCTCATACACAACATGCACCCATTTCCACACAGGGACAGCAAAGTCATCTTCACGGTTATGGCCGGAAAGCGCTGAACGTGAAGCAAGGAACCGCGTTACAATTGGCTACCTTGTGTAAGCATTTCGAGGGGAAACTCTAGCACCAACTTCTTGTCATGATCAAGACATCCTTGTCTAAGTTGACGTCAAAATAAAAACACATCCTTTTCACAGAAAGAAATATTTTACAAAATTACATTAAAATTGTTACCAATTTTCTGTTATCTAACTCACGTTCTGGATTGTTTTCTCCTGGCCGGGCTTCGTGGTGTGTCCTTTACGGCACTCAGAAGGACGGAGTTCAAAACCGTGGGAAATGAAATGCCTCCGCTCGCAGGTTTCTTAAGGAATGAGTATTCGCAGCAGGGCTCCTTGTAGTGTCTGATTGTCAACAAAGGAGATGATTAAAAAAATTAGTATCGAAAGAGACTGTAAACTATGAGCCTAAAAGGCAGATAAACAAGGAGTTGTGGCTTACTTTATGTTACTATCAATAAATTCACAATCTGATACTTAGGAAATCCACATGGAAGAGCTAGTAATAAACTCTGCTGTCGCAGTAGAGGTCAAAACGGGCATCTTTGGAAATCTGATGACCAAAACAAATTTACTATTTGCTCTTTGCCACTGACTAACAGAACAGAAACGTCACAAACCCGGAAAATGGACAACTTGTCAATTTAATGCAGTACAGAAATTCACACCTCATTTCTTTGAGAATTCATTTTAATATTGTCCTCACACAGATCGTATAAGCTGTCTCTCGTCTTAAGTTTTCCAACGAGACTCTGTATGCATTTCTCAGCTCCTCCATACGTTCAGCATGCCTTGGCCATCATCTGTTTCTGGACTAAGCACTCCTAAGCAACTCTGATGAAGAGAATAATTTATCACGTGCGTCGCTAGGCGTCCAGGTCTCTCAGGCAAGTTATAAACACTGGGAACGGGCCAAGCCTTACAGCAGAGCTGCATCAAGTTCTTTAATTGCGTAGTCTTAATCTCTGTCTCTTCAACATATTCGCACTTCAAGCAAAAAGTTCTTCGTAGAAATGTATTTGTAAAGATATGCACGAGGGAATCAATCATTAGCCTCATGAGGATAACTGAGGACCTACTTGAAAGGAAAAGTAGCGGCTCCGGTCTAGAAAACCGAAAGTAACGGCCGTGGGGATCCCTTGCGCTGACCACGCGAAACCATCTGTCTACTAAAGTTGGAACTAATTTGGCCGACAAGTGGCGGTCGCTCGGTCGGTATAGTTCGCTTGCGGACTACAGGCCACGGAATTTGTTTTTTGTTTTGGTCAAATACATGCCTCACCTTGCATACGCACGCTTCTACATACATGCCTACCTTGTATAGTCCATATTGATGTATGAAGTTTGTGATTTCATGTATTAAATATGGATAATGGAAAAAAAAAGATCCTGATCCTTACTCCATCTCTCCGTAAATCACATAACAATACAGAGACACCGCTTCAACAGACATGACTATTTTTTTCTTCTCTGTTCTTACATGAAGCACTCCAAACGAAACCCAGCCTTTCTGTCTTAATGCTTCATTAAGTGACTGCTCCATTTCGCATTTCTTCACTCTTAAAGACTACAGCCCGAATCTTTACATAAAACCAAACGTCCAGAGTATCGAATCTCATTTATGCAACTAAGAGTGCGGTATTTTGGACGAGAGAGCTCGATGTTTCGCAGGAATATATCACCTCCATCTTCACCATCCAATTGTAATCCAATCATATAATCTATCAGAAGCAGGCGTTCAGCTGAATTTTGTCTTAGCTTAAACTTCGACCCTGAAGACGGAGGTGATATTTTCCTACGAAACATCGGGTTCTCTCAGCACAATCTGTATTCCCTCTAGAGATATTCCTCCATACGGAAACCAATATTATTGATGAAAAAAATAGAAATACCGTGATAATAACTGCAAAGTATGGTTCACTGCCACTTCGGTAGCGATAACCTAATTTTAGCTGACGTCAAGTCTAACACAAGGTCGAGGGAGGGGCCATTTCCTCCACATTTCAGACCATGGCGCATGTGCGCATAGAGCTGTCGCCACTCACTCACTCCTGAGCGACAGGAATGCAGCAACTAATCTTCATAGAAGGTAAAGTTGTCCCTGTGCTTAAATAATCAAACACTACGCCATGAAGGCGTATGGGGGAGTGGATCTATGGATCCGCGTTTTCTTGACCTCGGCACTAGCTGAAAATGAGTGGTCAGATTCACGCTTTGGTCTCTTTAACCCAGAGGAAAGAACCCCAGGTACCCATTGGATAGCAGCCTTGATGGGCCCCCAGAAGCAGTTTCGACATGGAGAAAATTTTTGCTTCTACAGGGACTTGAACTCCGACCCCTCGGTCGTCCAGCCGTTAGCCAGTCGCCATACCGACTACGCCATCCCGGGTAATCTGCACTAATAAGATAAATACGTTTAAAATAATAACATCAACAGAATCAGACGTAAGTTAAGGGAGTCATTTTGTATATATAGGAACCTGATCTACATCCAGAAGACAGAAGCGAAGAATTAACAAATGTACAGTTGATGTACGTCACTTGCACTAACAGACCGTTTCCAGATTCGTGTAACGTCAAAATATGTCATCATCATCATCTGTGCAGTACTCAGCGCGCACGCACAAGAGTTTGGTACGAGATTTGTAGATAGCTTTGGTATCTCGCTCCGTGCAAGATGTCACTTGCTATTTCCGTCTTTGTTATCTAACGCACCCAAACAGTGGCAGCCACGCAAATGTACACTGCACTGCGAGAAACCCCATCAGCAGGAGCGTGGGGGGGGGGGGTATTTTCCCGCCCGTNGTCTGTCGATATAAGCGTAGAATGGTATGATGATTAATGAATGATGAAATGTAAATGATTTGGAGAGAAAGCCGCTATCTGCTTGGAGGAACTGAGGGAAATCACGAAATTCAGTTACAATCCTACTGTCCCAGCTGCTATGTGAACAGTCAAGAGCCTTACCCCTACGATATGCCGCCCGCTCGGCAGCAGGACTCTGAATAGTATTCGAGTAGGAAGGTTCGTATGGGGTTCGAGTCTTGGCTGAGTCACTGACACTGCTGATAGAGGCGTTTGTGATTTTTTCAGTTACAGAATGATAGCAAATCATTTAAACCTACTTTGAAATGGGCCACGGTCTCCTACTGTCCCCAAATTTCCTGTTCATCTTACATAACTTCACCGAACAGTGTGGTCTAGAAGTAACGTTCTACACTCTTATTTGGGAGGTGCTAGCCTCGAATCTCGGACGGGACACTGGCTTTCCTAATATTTTTCATGTTTCTCCTCAGCCCCTCTAGGTAAATACCTGGGTAGGGCCTTCAATTAGAACACGACAGGTTCCTTCCAAATCCTTTGCAATTCATCATTCATCACTCGTCTTACCAATTGACGCTCTATGGTCTCGACATTTAAACTGCCTTTAAATAACCCAGTAAGGACATTTATGTACACTTTTTATTGCTAGTGGGGTGGGACTAAGTCCCTTGTACTGCGGCAACTTCTGGCCTATTGTACCAGCCCAAGATGATAGGTGAGGGTGATTGTGGAGCAATTGGTGGAATGAAGATTGGCAGTGGAAACAGAAGTACTCGGAGAAAACCTGCCCCAGCGCCACTTTGTCCACCACAAATCCCACTTGACCAGACCCGAGATCGAACCCGGGCCGCCGCGATGGGAAGCCAGCGACTATTTATGTAACTTAGTCCAAGTGACGTATACAGATAATTCAGCGTCGATAAAGAGCCGGAAGGTACAACCTAGACTCTGTAATCTTCAACCATCGTTTAATAGGAGTCGGTAAGTTTATCACGGGATGAGTGAGCATTCAGATCCCAATCAGCGGTCGGTAACGGGCCGGGCTGCAGTCGGTTCATTAGAGCGTTAAGGGCAGAGCCGACATTAACCAAGGCTGCACACTCTTCCAGCGGGCTTTAAGAGCGCGATAGTGGTTACATAAGTGCATCGCTGCCAGAAATAGAGAGCCATTGGGAGGGCACAACTCTACGAGGTAATTATTCGCAATACGTGAGTACAAGATCTTATTTTTAATGTACAACAATTATTTACATCGTCGCGTGTTTGTGATTAGACGCGGGAATGTAGATTGGTAGCTGAATTTACTGGACCCTTTAACAACACTTAACTACACAGTCTTCTATTTTCGCTAGTTCAGATATTTAGGAATGACAGTAAAAGAAATCAAAATTTGATTCAGGAGTAGTTCAAGACGGGACCGAATTCGGGGAATGCCAGCTACTATTCAGTTCAGAACCCACTGTTTGCTCGTCTGCTGTCTGAGAACGTAAAAATTAAATTATATAAGACCGTAATTTTGCGTGTAGTTTTGTACCGGTGTGAAACTTGGTCTCTGACGTTAATAGATCATAGACCGAAGGTATATGAGAACAGGTTGTTAAGAAGAATATCTGGACCGAAGAGGGGTCAAATAATAGACGCAACTTGTCTAGCATGAGAATGCAAAGTCAAAGTCAAAGTCAGAATGCGACTGACGGTCAGTCAGTATGTCTTGGTGTCGAGTCCAGCCTGGGGCTCATGGCCAGATATTTCTTTCAAATGGAAGTTACTGTCCTGTCCATGTGGGGAACCCTCTCTGACGAGAGGTCCAGCCTGTCATTTGTCAGTCATAGTCGATAGTATTAATCCATTGTCACTATGTACACTTATTTACAATTGAGTCTTAATATCTAGTACGTATAATATATACAAGGCCTCTGTCAGTCTCATCTGGGGCTGGTACAATAGGCCAGAAGTGGCCGCAGTACACGGGACTTAGTCCCACGCCACTAGCAAAAAGAAGAAGAAGAAGAAGGTGTTTTCCGCTCTCTCTCTCTCTCTTAATTGGCCTTAATACATAGCAAAGCGTCTAACATACAACCCACCGCCTTTCTGAGTGCCCTGGAACCCGGCACTCAACACTCTCCTGGGGCCCCGAAAACTCTTAAACCTCCCTGTGTTCCACCTAATTATAACTATAGTTACTGAATCAACATGTAGACACCTTCAGCGACATTAGATCAGCCCCAGAATGCCCTAGACGGGGAATGTGGATATAGTACATCATTTGGCGTAAGAGAGCGTCCGTGCTGAGATCTACAGCCACTGACATCTATTGGCAAAGGAATCTACTACTTCGTATCTTCCTAGTCCCCGCATCGCAGCGCCGTTCGTGCCAATGCTTGTGCATTTCATTGCCAGGCCAAACTAAGAGATTTATCACAAATCTGACAAATCTATAAGAAAAGGAAATCAAATTTTAAAAAGATGTACTGTAAATTCTAAAGGGTTATGACGATGGTGTATAACACTCAGAATTACTGGGTTAGCTCTTTCTAAGAGACTCAACTAAGTAGGTGTCTTCCCCCCTCACCTGAGTACGGAAACAGATCCAGTTTCCGAAACGTCGTATTTTCTAGTCTCTAGAATACCGGATGAGGGAAATGACCAAAAACCTCGTAGTACTGATCTGTAAGCGCAAATAACTGTATAAACATTTGTAATGAATCACGACCAATCGGTCCGGTTAGGTGAACAGTATCCCCTGCCGTTGCTAGGTAAAAATTATTTACAGACGTTCCGGCGGCAACGAACAACTGTTGGTGGTTTCGTGTCGCGTCAAAGCAAAGTAGGCGATTAGTTCTGTTAACACTTTTTTTCATTGCTAGTGGGGTGGGACTAAGTCCCTTGTACTGCGGCCACTTCTGGCCTATTGTACCAGCCCCACATGATACGTGAGGGTGATTGTGGAACAATTTGTGGAATGAAGATTGGCAGGGGAAACCGAAGTACTCGGAGAAAACCTGCCCCAGCGCCATTTTGTCCACCACAAATCCCACTTGACCAAACCCGGGCCGCCTCGGTGGGAAGCCAGCTAATAACCGCTTGAGCTATGGCGCGGCCCTGTTAACACTTACTAGTGTCACTTCTGATATCCAAATTTGGTTGGGCCCAAATTTCATCCAAAGATCAGCCTGGCGTAGTGACATATATCAACATTTATATTCAGAAGATACTAGGTTCGAATCTCTTGACTCGGGTTTTTCGTGGTTTCCTTCAGTCACTTGAGGTAACTGCAATTATAATACCTCAATTACACCATGAAGGCTTCCTTGTAAAATCCTTCCCATTCATTACCCATCAGCCGTCCTACCATCCAATGCCAAATACTCCGACTATGATGGAGCCGTATATAACCCACAAATAAACTAAACAAAAATAAACTTTGTGGTTTTAGTCCGCAAGCGAAATATACCGATTGAGCCACCGTCGCTTGTGGGCGAAATTAGTGCCAACTTTAGCGGATAGAGGATGTCGCGTCGTCAGCGCAACGAATACCCACGGCCGTTAATTTCGGTTTTCTAGACCGCAGCCCCCATTTCCTTGAAGTAGCTCTTCAATTTTCGTCACGAGGCTGAGTGGACCCCGTTTCAGACCCACTACTTCTTCCAAAATCTGGTAGCGACGGGAATCGAACCCGCACCTCTGGATCTGTAGCCAGGAACTCTGACCACTAGACCACAGAGGCGGTGTATAACCCATAAGGAATTCATTTCTTCCCACAACCACATTTTAAACGCACCATCTCCTTAAAAATTCACCGGACCAACACATCGTCAAAACAGATCACGTAGTTGACTAAGTTAGATTTCAGAACGATATTTGCCATTTTCAGAAATGTCGTTAAGATATTGTCGTCAGATTTAAACACCGGTTATGTGGTACAATTTGGGTTCCACTGTAACTTTCGTAATATAGGAATTGCTACACAGTAAGAATTTTCTTCAAATGTATTTTTCTCCATACGCTTCAGATATAAATTCAATTTCACAACACGATGTCTCGTGGTGCCGTGATGTTGGCAGCTTTGCTGTTTCTGTATTGTGGCCTACAGGAAGGCCAATGCGCAAGGATCCTAGCCCTGCTGAATCTCGCGTCTCCGAGCCATTACATCTTCAACAGAGCGCTGCTCATTGCTCTCGCTAACAAAGGCCACCAGGTACTCAACTTCATTGCATTTCAAGTAAGCAAAAGTGCACGGTTCACACTGAGCCGACAGCCGCAAAGAAATGAGCTGCAGAATACCGCAAGCGTCTGTTAGCGCTATACGTTAATTTTTGTAAGCTTAATTATTCCTCCTTACTGCTGCGTCTTCAAATAGTTTTCTTACACGCAGTACAGTCATTAAGTTCGTGGACTGTGGTTCTATCGCCTCATATTACAAGGTATTCACATACATTTACACAGATCCATATCGGCCCTTAAAACAGTTGCCGTTGGCCGCTACGCAAGTCTGCCAACGTTGATATACCTGTCAAAAACATTGCTGAAACATATAGGCAAGAAATTCCCGTACGACGCCTGGCGGCCATTCCACGAAATTATTGACTGTGGCAGTATATAAGATTTGAAGTTCTCAGTCCGATGTCTATGAAGACAGAAGCAGTATGTTTCTCCGAAACCACGGTAAACTTCTACCTAATTATATGGCATCACATCCCAGAAGGTAAACCTCTTCAAATTATTCTTACCGTCAAGAATGAAACAGCGTTACTATACCTCATAAAAAGAAACTAAATTGTTTTCTTTGTGCATTTAAACTTTTATTGCATTCTGAAAGAAGGCAGAACAGAAGAAGTGTGGAGTAGTATAGCCATGGCTACACTTGTCAACTTTGTAATGAAATTAGTTCATAACTGTTGCTATAATCTTCAGGTATTCACATAGAATATTTTCGAAGCATTCATTAATTACAAATTTTTAAAGATTTTCGTTACAGATGCTTTCGTTGCTCTTCTTAATTTTATTTCTCTCTTTTTGCGTGTTCAGGTGACGGTTGTAACTACAGAAGTTGAAAAACACCCTGTGCCCAATATGAAGACTATTGTCATGGACGGCATCTACGATACCAGCATAGAGTATAGAGATCCAGTGTCCCTGACCGAAACGTCCGCTGTAGAGATGACCTTCATTACCTACGACTGGGGACATTACATGTGCGAAAAACAGCTTCAGTCTGCGGGGGCACAAGAACTGCTCAACTATTCATCATCTGAAAAATTCGAACTCATTATCACAGAGGCAGGCTGGGGGGAATGTTTCTTTGGATTCATACACAAATTTGGGTCGCCACCCGTTGTAGCAACTTCAGGAATTGGAGTACCTCCTTGGATAAGCCTCACAACTGGAAACCCAGAAAATCCCTCGTACATGCCGAATTTCCTGCTTCCTTATACAAGTCGCATGAGTTTCTCTGAAAGAATCTGCAATTTCTTGACCCACATTTTCGTGACGTTTCTGTACGAGTACAGCTACATACCCAGACAAGAAGCCTTGGCAAGGAAGTATTTCAAACAGGATCTTCCTCCCTTTATGGACATATGGAGGAACTTCAGTATCGTTCTGGTGAACACCCTCGCTGGGCTGGACGATCCGCGCCCGCTGTTGCCCAGTGTGGTTCCCATTGGTGGGATGCACATCAAACCACAGCCTGATCCCCTGCCGCAGGTACTGATCAGCATGCCTCATTGTTGCAAACCCGACACCTTAGCCCAAGGGCCTCTACTCTGATCTCTTAAAGAAGAACATAAAATTATGCGACCCATGCGCAATCCTGCTGCTCAGCGAAAAGTGTATCAGTTCTGCACACTGTTTCAGGTCCATACCAGTCTGTACGGTGACAGCAGCAACCTAAATAGCTTTACAGCCTCTGTGCACCTGCAGTAAGCTATAAAATGCGCCAGTACAGTCACGGAAAGTGCAGTTCTGCACAATGTTGCAGGTCCTTATCAGGCTGTACGGTGACAGCAGGAACCTAAATAGCTTTACAGCCTCTGTGCACCTACAGTAAGCTATAAAATGCGCCAGTACAGTCACGGAAAGTGCAGTTCTGCACAATGTTGCAGGTCCTTATCAGGCTGTACGGTGACAGCAGGAACCTAAATAGCTTTACAGCCTCTGTGCACCTACAGTAAGCTATAAAATGCGCCAGTACAGTCACGGAAAGTGCAGTTCTGCACAATGTTGCAGGTCCTTATCAGGCTGTACGGTGACAGCAGGAACCTAAATAGCTTTACAGCCTCTGTGCACCTACAGTAAGCTATAAAATGCGCCAGTACAGTCACGGAAAGTGCAGTTCTGCACAATGTTGCAGGTCCTTATCAGGCTGTACGGTGACAGCAGGAACCTAAATAGCTTTACAGCCTCTGTGCACCTACAGTAAGCTATAAAATGCGCCAGTACAGTCACGGAAAGTGCAGTTCTGCACAATGTTGCAGGTCCTTATCAGGCTGTACGGTGACAGCAGGAACCTAAATAGCTTTACAGCCTCTGTGCACCTACAGTAAGCTATAAAATGCGCCAGTACAGTCACGGAAAGTGCAGTTCTGCACAATGTTGCAGGTCCTTATCAGGCTGTACGGTGACAGCAAGAGAATAAATAGCTTTACAGCCTCTCTACACCTACAGTAGGCTATAAAATGATCCTGTACAGTCTCGAAAACAGCTCCGAAAGATTTCGCCACCTGCCGAAAAATTCACCGGGAGCACCTGAATTGAATTTTACCTGCTTCCAAATTGCATGGACAGAGCTTATCCGCATACGTCCACATATTTGCAAAGTGCAAAGTATTCAGAATACTTTAAAATGAGTTCATCAAATATTCATATTCTCGTGTCACTTTAACAGGACCTGAAGACATTCCTAGATGAGGCAAAGGATGGATTCATCTTCTTCAGCCTGGGTACCAATCTGCGGAGTAACAAGATGGCGCTAGACAAGCGACAGGCGTTCCTCGAGGCGTTCTCTGAACTGTCCCAGAGCGTACTATGGAAATTCGAGTCGGGCATTCTGCCAGGAAAGCCGCCCAACTTAAAGATAGGAAAATGGCTGCCTCAAAGCGATATTCTAGGTCAGTGATTATTTTAAGCACATTTCTTCAAGATCACCAATGATTAATGAAAAAAAGTTTTTTTCCAGGAAAACCATAAACTTCTAGACACACGCTTCCCATCGTCCCTAACACAAAAGCAAGCTCTCCGGGATCTGTTATGTCCCGCTCCAGAAGCGTGGCTATATACGGGCCATGGATCTCTCATTGAATTTATTGACTCAACTCGGAACTTCAAGTAATTACAGTGCTAGCGCTGATTTCCACATTTTACGAATCACTAGCACACGTTAAGTCTTCTCAGACTTCACTAGTCGTATCCTGGCAACGGATTTAACACACTGCAGATTCTTCAGCTTCGTGCACTCAAGTCCTCTTGTGACAGTTGCCCGTGCAGAACTCTTGTTTTTCAGTTCCCTCGACTGCCAACTGCCAACTATCTACTCGTATAGCGTCATCACTTCTCGATCTCCCTTGCAGAGCTCGTCGTTATATAGCACCGGGGCGGACTCAACAGAAAACATCGCTTTCAACTGTTCCTCTATTGTTGTAGGCGTCTTTACCGATCCGTTGCCTATAAACGTCTGCTTATTGATTCGTCTATTGTATAGTAACGACTGGAATCTGTACTGTATATTTATATTTCAGGTCTGTTCTCGCACACACTATGTTTACCAACAGACGCAAAGTAAAACGTCTCGAGTTGCAAAGATCGAGGTAGGGGTCTGGAATATTTTCTGGAAGATTCTAATATTCTAGGAACTGACACTGTGAGTCTAGTAGAAATTTATCTACTCTTCGGAGTAAATTACTGCTTCCATTTTCAGGATGAGAAAAGTAACGCAAGGAAGCAACCCGCGATAAGCCAGCAGAGTGCGGTTTGCATTATTCTGAGCTTCCTCTTCGACCGGAAAACGGAAGCAGTACGCCCCTCCGAAAAGCAGGTAGGATTCTACCAGACGTCAAGGTGTCACATTCCAGAAGACAGTATACAGTCAATGATGTCAGAACCTCGATCCTACAATTATTTTCTTTCATAAAACAATGTTTGTATATTACAGCGCACCCGAACATCCGGATGTTCATCACACATTGTGGGATGATGAGTAGCGTGGAAGCCGCATATAGGGGAGTCCCCATTGTGGGAATCCCCTTCTTCTTGGATCAGAAAGTCAACGCCATGAAGTTTGTCAAGAGAGGGCTCGGAGTACAGCTCCATTACGACAAGTTAACAAAGGAAAGCGTCCTCACAGCTGTGCGGGAAATTCTGAACAATGACAGGTAGTGTGTCCTTTCAATGTCATGAACATTCAAATATGAGCATTTAACAAATGTTCTTCCGAGCGGGCTCGCGTAACGATAATGTTCGAGACTCGTGGAAGGAAGGTTCTCGGTTCGAGTCCCTATCGGGACACTGGATATAAGGATTCTCGTTGTTTTTCCCAATCCCTATAGGACAATTCCAGGACAGTTCTAAGATCTGATAAAATGTGGGAGGTTTGAATTGAACACCCTGTATTTCGATCAGATCACAACCGTTTCCTTCCAAATCCTTCCCAAATTATCATTCATACATCATCGTAGCATTCGGCGCTATATATAT